CACGTAGTGTAAAACAACAAGCATGAAGTGGATAGCCGTCTGATCTAGCCGGGCGGCTACTGCCCGCCTATCAGCTACACTTGTCCAACTAGTGTAATAATACTACGTGTAGAATCTATGTCAAAAGAAAGAGGGTTCAGTCAACCATGTTCACAACTGATAAGAAGCAAAAGCAGTTGTGTGGTAGGTGAACAAGCTTTTCCGGCAGTCATCTAGGTTAGTAAACCTGCCCCCAAGTCTGTGACGTCGTCTTGGCACATGAGCGACCAGGGGTTGGGAGATGGTCTGTTTCTTCTTCTGGTCCAAATCTGTCTCCCGCAATCGTGTTGCGTGGCCGCGATGAAGGTCGATCCAAACATCCCTGCCTTGCCGCTTTGGGCCTGTGATCTAACGTCATTGGGTGCTTTTTCGGGGGTTGCCAGGTTCGAGAATGGGAAAAAGAGGCGCGGGGAAGATGTAGTGTACTGATCTATTCTATCCCATCAGGCCCCCATCAGTATGGCGTTTCTTCTGAGACCATCCCGCGCTCAGCGTCTAGGTTGTCTTGGATGCGTTTGCCGTACACTAGAACACGTACGTGACATGTGACCCAACCAGGCCAACGGGTTGGTCGTCGAGATGTGTCTTGACATAAATAATCTGGTTCAATATCCTGTTCTCTCCCTGGCCATGTCTCCTCCTAGTCATGCTGATTACATCTACAGAATGGGGACTCTTAAATTGGTGTATCCGTACACTCATCAGAAGAAATCCGGGACAAGGCATGCGTACGATCCGCTCAAATCGAATGTCAAACTCAAGTTGGACCTTGACTTTGGTTTGCATATGACTTGGGCTCACTTGGATAAAACGGGCCCGGATCTCAGACTCTACAACGTATGTATCATCCTTGATACACATGATCGTCAAAGGCCCAACATCATGATCATCACTTAAGTCAAGTGCCTCTGGCACATCCTTTGTCCTGATCAACTTACCACACCTACCCAACTACCTAGGTATTCAACAGAAAAACGTTCACACGTCAACAAAAGACACAAGCAAGTTGGGGCAATGAATATTCTGGTGTGTCTACTTCCAAACGTATTACCAGACTCCAGATGCCCATTTCCATCTAATTTGTCATATTTCCTCTTGCCGCCTCTACACGACTTGCCGTCCAAAGAAGATGATATCCAGCCACGACCCGCTCAAGCAGTTACTTTCCACCTTTTGCAATCAAACAACAACAACAATCGCATGAATGCTCCCACACCAAAAAATAAAAAGCAATTGTAAGCAAGACTGTTCCCCCAAACGCCTGTACAATGACTCGACGCAAGTCGTTCGACAGTAGACAATGCCAGTGCAGTGATCCAGAAAGAATACGCAAGAGCTGAGCTTAGAATTGCCGAGGCAAGCGAGTGATAGAAGCACACGAATTGTGTCATAGGTCGGATACTATCTGATAAGACTGATGTAGTGCTACAGACTGACGTGCGCACCATTAAAAAGCAATTAAATATATAGGGCGCGTGACTGTAGGTAGGTTGTTGATGAACTGTCAAGATTCATCTATTGAGGAAAGTAGACGGTGCCGGGCTGAGGATAGTAGTAGCCGTCTTGGCTGGACGCTGCCATTCCATTGACGTTCATGACCCCATTGGCCGCGGGATAGCCCTGGGCGGCCGTGTACGGGGGATAACTTGGCACCTGGGGAAGTTGCGATGCATCATAATAATACACCATGCCGTTGACTTCTTGTGCCACCAGGTTTGGAGCGCTACCAGCTTGCCCATTCGCTTGTGCGGGATCAACAGGGCCTTGTGGCGGCTGAGGCCCAGGAACGTAGGCAGGGGCAGCTGCGGGATAGGGGTTTGGCGGGGGGTAGTAGTATCCCTGTTGAGGCTGCACCATCTGATAAGGCGGGTAGTATGCTTGCTGCTGCGAGAAGTGTGTAGGTTGAAATGGAGCAGCGTGGATTGCTCGTTCCGGTATTTGAGACAGTGGAGTGCCCGTGGTGTGTCTAGCAAACGAGCCATGGCGGGGGTGAGGATCAGCGTTGAAGCCGTTGGAAACTTGAACAGGGACCTGATGGTGGAAAGCCTGCTGGAAGGATTGCGTGTTTTGCAGCATCGTCGGTGATTCGATATTCTCAAGTGAGACGGTTTTCTGAGGTCGCGGTTGATGCATAGGAATTGACGCCGGCTGACTTTCCTGGTGAATTGGTTTACCATGGACCTGGAAATCTTCGTATATGGCGGTCTGACCGACTGCTGGCGCTGGAGCATGGATGCTAGCATCAAGCCCCTGCGGCTCTGCTCGTGGAGGTAGCCTTACGACAGGTCGTGAAGCATCCATTGCCATGGGCGGACGCGAGATGGCCGAGCCAGTGGGAGAGACAATATAGTCCCTGCCCATCTCAGGTGCAATGGATGAGCGCCTGCTAAGTGCCACACTTGGAGAGTATTGACTGCCGTTGTAGTAGCTTCCGCCATAGACACTAGTCCTTCTCGAAAATCCGCCCATCGATCCGAATCCCGATCTGGGTTTGCCACGCATGCGCTGTTGGTTGTTTGGTCGCAGTGCCCTCGGAATGAAGATGAACGAACGGTCTGTAGCTGGGAAGATATACCGAGGAGGATAGTCGGGGAGCGAAATGCGGACAGGTTTGTCGCGGCGCAGGGGTGGGCGATGATCTGGCAGCTTGGTATACTGCTTGACCGGGATTGCTGAGAATAATATAGGCTTATTCAAAGATGGAAAATAGACCCGAATTTGTACATTGCCAATGTGCTTCTCTGTGGACAAGGTCCTGTTGATAGGGGTCGCACTCATGTCACACGTTGGAATGTAGCCATCCCCATTAGGTGGGCCATTGTCTGTAATGACCGGGCCGCCTTGTGCGGACTGGCGGGCTGAACGAGTAGGCTCTGCAACGGCTTCATGCATGTCATGGGCCCACGGCGTGCTGATGATAGGATCGGCCGGTGGGTAGGGTTGGTGACCGCTACGCAAGTCAGCTTGTTTTCGTGATGAAATTTGGAGAGGGGCATACCTGGTTGGAGCAAAGGGGCCCCCAATGCCACGACCTCTGCCTCGAGCACCTCTGCCAAAGGGTCGGAAGCCATTGGCAGCAGGACCGGCATGTCGATGGTCGTGCATGAAGAAAGCCCCTCGGTTCGGCACAAACGCCGGGTCCTCGTCTCGTTTCTTTCTGTAGTCGTCGTGCTCTCTCCGCCGCCGGTCTTGGGTGTGATCCTGTGACTGGTCCATGGCGGCCGAACTTGAGCTGACAACCAGTGGGGCGGTGGACTTGGGAGGCTGTGTCCCTTCAACATCACCAGAAATCGTCTCCTGGGCATGCTCTGTCTTGTCCGAGACGGACAGCCCGTTCATCATGCTTTCCGCGTCTGAAATGGCTGTTTGGCCTGGCTGACTTGTCTTGGATCCGGATCGTGTTGCAGAGCTGCCAGAGCCTTTGGAGCTCTTCGTTCCCGCATGACCGTTTGCCGCGCGAGCTTGGGACTTCCGCACAGCAGGAGAAGTGGGTGACGCCTCATCAACATTGCTTGTATCGCTATCGTTGGCAAGGTCGTGATCATCCGAGACTACCGAGCCCTCGGTCAGCGAATCGTCATCGATGTCGTAATCGTCATCACCCTCATCATCAGCCCGTCGCCTAGACACAATCTTTCTTCGACGAGAGGCAGCCATGGTTGTTGTGTGGGATATTGTTTTGGGCCCAAGATGGTGCCGCAATTCTAAAGATGATGGAGTCCGATGGTGGCGAACAACCTCGAATGCGCGCAGGGACAAGAGAAGAACTGAGGAAATTAGATGGGGGTGCGTCCGCGCGCCGTGGGCATCGAGGTGGCCGAGACAAGGGAGTTCATGCGGGTTCGTGTCCTCTCTGCGGGATGCCAGGTAACTGGGTCGGTCTCCAGTGAAGCTAGATAGCTTAAGCAGGTCAACGGCTTCAGACGCGAGACCGCCTGCGGTGCCAGAGCGAAGGGAAGGGATATGTAGGGAGAGAGCCTCAATTAAGCGTAAAAGGCGACTGTCTTGCTACAATTCCCAAGGAAGAAAAAAAAAATGTAGCAGGAACTGGAATTACGGCCCAAGCCAAGCACGAAAGGGAGAGACGCGGACGGGAGAAGCAAAAAAAGAACAACCCAAAAAAAGAAGAAAAAAGGGGGGGAAAGAAAAAAGACTGGACAACTTTTTTGGGGATATGCCTCCAGGCCCGATGACAACGACCTTGACCTCGTGTTGGGACGTGAAGACAGTCCAGCAGGTCGATGGGTGCTAAGTAGGGTGATCGGGGGGGTTGAGTTGAAGCTGGAGTCGAGTTCGAGAGATGGAAAATCATCAGGCGGCGGGCGGAGTCACAATGAATTTAGGCCCGGTCCAGATTCGCGTGAAGGACGTAAAAAAGGCTGCTGCGGCACTCTACCTAGCTGTCACCCAACCCAACAACACAACACCACCCCAGGAACGGGACCACCCCCGACTCTCGACTTTTTCTTTTCTTCTGCTTGGAACTGGGTCGGGATGAATGGGCAATTGGAATTGCAGGTGCGCGACTGGGTCTCTTTTAGCACCAGCTGCGACCTGTGCTTTTGCTTGCTTGCTTGCACCTCTGCCTTATATGTTAACTGTATCCACGACTAAAGGTACATTTAGCTAGCTGGTCGCAACCGGCGAGTTACAGCACAGGCAAATGTAGGTAGCCCCAAATCAACACAACAGAACACTGATCCCTGTTGTTCAATTGTCGCAAATTCTAGTCGCGCATCCTTCTGGGCGGGACAAGAACATTTTTAGTGAGTAGGTTGGTGACTTGACGACCTACATAGCTCCCTTGTTTGGCTCAAGCAGTGTTGATCCCATTTCCCTTTAACTTCATACTTGATGGAGTCGTGACAGATTGCTATCCTATTTTGGTTCTCAACTCCCTCTTCTACTTTTTCTTTAACCAAAGTTGGTTCATTAATAGCTTTGGCAAGCGGGCACAACATGGGTCGATGGAGTACTATGGGATGACTTTCTCCGAGTGCCATGTCCTTATCCCCGGTCAGAACGCAGCAGCTCATCAAGTGAAGAGTGACCTGCCTTCACTGGCCTTCATCTTATTACGGTCCGGCGACAATTGGTCCAGCAAAGCATTGTGGTCGGGTGATGCGTGTTTCTGAATTCTGGTCAGCATTTTTTTTCAAGAACAGGACGAGACTAATAGCACCGTCACGTCGACTTACCTTTTCTTGCACAAGCAAGCACACCTACCTAGTACTAAAAGCACGATGGCGACCACTTTGTCAAGCTTGAACTTAATGCCATCTCGCCACTCAAACAACATCTTCTTAGCTGGCTCTCAACTGCGAGGGAGCGACTTGGCAGCAAGTTCAGAACCAGTCCTGGGCTGCTGCTGCCACCTTTCGCCCGCATCGCTCAAGCGATAGGTCATGATGCGAAGCGCGTGCACGCCGTCCAGCAAAGCAGCTGTTATGCAAGTGGGCTTGCACTTTGTAGCAAACAACCATATACCCTTATAAGTGCGCTGGCCATTGAGTGATAAGGCCGATTCGGGCCACACGCTGTTGGCATTCGACGGAAATATGTCGCGATGAAACAACAACAAAAACAACCAGCGTAAACCACGACCATTCATTATGCTCGCAAGAAATGGCGGTAGGCATCTCAATAAGCTTGAAGTGTGCCTGCATCTCCGTATGCACTTTGAGGAGCGCTTCATGCTCAGATCCTTTTTGATCCATTCCCTGTCATAGTAATAGGCAATGTCTGAAATTATATGATACAAGCCACTTCCCCTCCCAGGCTGCATATCTACGTATTTTAATGGGCAAGAGAGATTGTTGCAAACAAGGCTCCAATGTTGTTCTAGAGGGTCCGTTCTTGGGTTCATTACCTATTCGGAATCATTCCCATCCAAACATATAATGTAGACACTCTTCTTCGGGGAGCGCCCCTTCAAAACTTTACATCTTACACTAGCAACATGAAATGAACACCTTGACTACATGTTATTACATGTACACTTCCTAAGGTATTGTCACTACCGGCACTGGCGCTCGGGCTATTTTCATTAGCCGCCTGGGGAAGCGTGGAGGGGAACTTCTAGCCAGTTGCCATCCCCGCACTCTTTGCTACCACTACCACTACCACCACTCTGATCCGACGCACATCTGATTTGCTCCGGATCTGATTGGTAGAAATAGGCACAGCACTTTTGATGTTTGGCATTCAGCTCCTCTGGTTGGTAATGATGATGGAGGGCCATGATGGGGGGTTTCACTCTTCTCAAGGTATGGCTTCGTCCATCTACCTAGATATCGATCGACCTTTTGAGTACTTTGATTACCTCACGATAGTTGTTGTCTTGTGCTTTGTAAGCAGTCCTCCAACGCACCACATGTGCGCTATGTAAAAATGATTCAACGAGGCCGCCTTCGTCATCTGAACCGATATATCGGGAAATTCATAGACAGTCCAGGTCAAGTATTCGTGAACAGAGTTCATAATCGATAGTTTTGGACTTTGCAAGACCAATCATGAATGACGATTTATACACCAGTGATTGCGAATGTAATATATACTGACCGGTCTAGTAGGTAAGTATATATGTCTATTCGGGCAATACTCTAACCTATATGAATTGTGTTGCAATTGCTGGCTTGCAAGTCGGAGCTGCCCCGCAGTAGAGATAACCAAGGCACGTTCGTCATGACGTGCTTGAAGCAAATAGTATGGGGAAAGCCTCTGCTAGACTGCGGCGCAGGCTGTCCTGCAATAGAGGTGTGTTTGGACGGTTTGCTGGTTGTTGACTTAGGACTTGAACACATTGATGTGCAGACCAGAGCGGACCGAATAACCTCTTCTGTTTAGGCTTACCAAAATGCATGATCGGGACGTTGCCCTTTCCGTGCGCAGCACAGCCAAACAATGTGGAATCAAATGTGACCTGGATGGTTTCTTTTTACTTGTGCTACCAGCATTATTGAATCGGCATACTTCTTTTCATTGTAAGCCTCCACCCCAGTGGGCGTACCAGCCAAGGCCACTTTTATTCAATGTTATTACACTGGTCTGCCAAAGACAGTACCTTGTTACTTTATATATGTGATAGATGACGCCAAAAAGGACGACCAGTACCTAATTGTGTAGTTAAATAATACATTTATGCCCGTTGAAGTTGACACTGAACTCTGCGGACCGTGTGTCTTTGCGCCAGGCGCGGCGGGCGTCCAGAGATGACTTAATAACTTTGCAACCAGTCCAATGTGCAACTTCGGCAACTTCCAGTCATTTATGCACGGTGAGATGGTGTGGGCGTCTTGTTCTATCGTCTTCTTTGCCATGGTGGCCATTTATTACCAAGCAGGGCGGCTAGGCAAGTCTTTGATTGCAGTCCACATATACCCGGCTTCTGAATGCTAGAGGGAATATGTGTTGTGCTTACTGGTTTAATGAATCGTGCAAAGACGTATGTGATTGAAGCCTGAGGTATCAATAATGTCCTACGATGTCTAGCTCGGACCAAGACGTTCATATGAACGCCTTGACAACGATTATTTCGGTATGTCGACATACGTAGGTGCTCCGTAGCGTGATCAGGTTGGCCCCGCTTCTTGGTTTCGCCCCACTACTATTACACGAAAAGGCCGGGTTTGCGGGTGCTGAGGCAGGAATCGTTCGCTTGCTTGATGTTGTATGACCGCCACCAGACCATTCAATGTTGGCCTCAGTGCTGGGTTTAGTCAATACTAGGTAGGTACGTACCTCGTTAGTGAATTGCCTAGTTGCGAAGGCTCGCGTCTGCCTGTCGGCGGCGTGTGTTCGCCTGTCGCCTCAGTCCAGTCGGCTAGAAAGGAACGGAAATGTATTAAAAAGGAAAATGTAAGCCTGTTGGCTCTCCGTTTTTACCTTAAAACCCTCCCAGCGCCAGGTTGCTGCCGACCTACATACCTTGACATATGCCCCTCCGAGTCCTACCTGAGGAAGCTCTGGAACAGCACCTCTAAAACGTGACCGGTACCTACCTAAGGTACTGACTGAAGCCTACATCTGGAACTTGGAGCGAGACTGTGACCACCTGCTTCTTTCCACCCCCTCACATATTCTCCTCAACCTACTCCAAGCCAAACTCACCCCCCCATCGGGCGTTGTTCATCAATTAGCTTGCAGCAGGTTTCTGACATTTCGAGACTCCTCTTTTTCTTCTCCTCTTTTCACCACTGCTGCTGGAGGCCTTCGATTGCCTTTCTAGTCATTGGCCATTCATCCATCGTCAAGACCGACGTCTCTCGGTAAGTACCTACTTATCCGTTCATCGTGAAACCCAGCACCCAATTTCCCCAGAGTCAACTGGGGATCAGAGATAAGCTCCTCCCCCGACGACTCCATTTCACCGCCTGTACCTTAGTACCTTAGCAGGCAGGCATCCCGTCCTTTACTGCGCAACCGTCACTGGCCCACCTGACCGATAAGCACCGGCCTTCCTGGGGCCTTTCCTACGTCTGTTACCGTTTGGACCGACAACCATTACCTTGGAACACCTTTTTCTCAAACCTTCCTTCTTCCATTGAATTCATTCCATCATTACCAAGCATCGCCCGATTCATCCATTAGGTTTATCGTGGATGTTTTCTATAAAGATCAACTACTAATACCATCTGCAAAGTATCAATACTACAACCCAGACACCATGGCGTCGTCTGCGGCTGCCACTCCCGATACCCCGATCACGCTGAAGATCAGCTTCGCGGGTGTTACACGCCGGTACAAGCTGCCTCTGCGTGAGCTTGTCGCCACGACCCTTGAGCACAAGGTAAGTTCAAAGAGCATCGTCCTTGACCTCACGCGCCACTTGGGCGTCCTTAACTATGCACTGTTCTTCGATATAGAACGACCTGGTTGTCATCTATACTCTTACAAAACTACATGTTCATTAATACTAATGCCATGTGTTAGCTGCGAGGATTCCTCCACATTCAGGAAGACACGCAGATCTTGATTGAGCGCTACTCGGATTCTGCTGCTACCTATGTTGTCCTCGATTCGACAAACCCGGCCGTTTACAAGCAGCTCTTCCGGGCGGCTAAAGCAAAGCAGAAGCTCAAGCTCAGAGTACTTGCCATGACCGACAGCAACCCTTCCGCTAGTCCAAAGCCTGTCACTGTGGAGGATGAAGCCGAATCATCTGAACAGAAGGAGGAACTTCTTGCATCATCAAAGGAGGAGACGCCTGCCTCGATAACCACCTCTGCAATCGTCAGCGTGGTATCCCAATCGCAGACGCCAGGCAATGAGGATAAGCGGGCTCGTAGCATGACATCGTCATCTTTGGACAAGTTCCTTCCCGTCGACATCCTTGAGCAAAAGAGCGACCCAGTCTCGATCCAAGCTCCGATTCTGGACGTCCCGGCTACAGAGACTTCTAAGTGCCCATGCCCGCCCTTCTCGTCCAGCCTTCTCCGCCGCCCTTTCACTGTCTGCTGCAACAGCTGTGACCGAGTAGTGCCTGACGCACATTTCCACTGCTCCACGTGCGACGATGGCGACTTCGATCTCTGCCAGGATTGTGTGAACCAGGGCATCTCGTGCTACAATGATCAGCACTGGCTCATCAAGCGCACTATTATGGACGATCAAATCACTTACAGTACCACTCATGTCGCCCCAAAGACCAAGCCCATCACCTCGTCAAACAAGCCATTGTTCACTCCTGTAGCCCCGCCTCAGGCTCCATTCCCAGTCTCTCTACCGATCCGCCCTCTCGAGCCTGTGTCGGACGCTCTCCCGTCTCTGCAGCCCAAGGCAGAACGTAGCTCAAACTTTGTTCCTCTCTACACGGCCCGCACTTGCAACAGCTGTGTGCAAGAGTTCCCCGAGAAAGAGTTCCTCCACTGCCTGATCTGCGAGGACTTTGATCTTTGCAAGAGCTGCTTCACCAGGGACCAGCATGGTCACCATCCCAAGCATGCCTTTACCGCTGCTGTCAAGGGTACCTCATTCGATGCTTCGATTACAGCACGTCTCAATGCCGGTCGCAATGCCCGCCACAATGCCATATGTGACGGCTGCAACCACTATATTCGTGGTGTTCGCCACAAGTGCTTGGACTGCCCTGATTGGGACTACTGCTCGGATTGCGCGCAAAATGCCGGTTTCGTTCATCCCAACCACCGCTTCGCTCCGATCTATGAGCCCCTTCCCGAACCTCACCGCGTGACAAGCCAATGGGTTCATAATGGAATCTGCTGCGACGGTCCTCTGTGCACCTCTTCGCAGTCTGGCTCTACTTATATCGTTGGCGTTCGCTACAAGTGTGCCGTCTGTCACGACACGGACTTCTGTGCCAGTTGCGAGGCAAGCCCGGCCAACACTCACAACAAGACACACCCCCTCATCAAGTTCAAGACCCCTGTCAGGCATGTTAATGTTACAACCACAGGTGAACATCAAGATGGCAAGCGCCTTCCAGTGATGGGAGACCGAAATGTCTCTATCCCCAGACGCACCAGTAACCGCTCTACCGAAACCGTCCCTTCGCCAAGTGAGAAGAATATCGCTGTGAACCCTGTTCAGACTGTGGTTGATGTCAAGCCTACTGAGGCTCAAAAGGAGGTGATCAAGACGGAGGTTACTGAGAAGGAACCCGTCAAGGTCGAGGAAGCTCCTGTTGCAGAGAAGCAGCAGTCTCCTGAAGCTCCCGAGCCTGATCTGATTGCAGTCTTCAGACACGACACAATCGAGGATGGTACCATCATGCCTCCGAATCACACGTTTGAGCAAACGTGGGTTTTGCGTAACGAGGGCAAGGTCGCCTGGCCGGCAGGATGCTCCGTCAAGTTTGTCGGCGGTGATTACATGGGTGCCATTGACCCTACCCGTCCTACTGGGGTCCGCGAGTTGATTTCGGCATCCGAGTCCACTGTCTGCTACAACCAGCTTCAGCCTGGCCAGGAGTTCCCCTTCACAGTCCTGATGCGCACCCCCGAGCGCGATGGAAAGGTCATTTCCTATTGGCGACTCACCACCCGTGATGGAGTTAAATATGGACACAAGCTTTGGTGCGATGTGACCGTCCAGACTCCACAGGATGCTCCCCAAGAAATCAAGGAGGAGCCCAAGGAAGAGGAATCTCTCCTCGATGCCAAAGTACCTGAGATGACCAAGAGCCAAATGATCCTTCCGAAGCTTGACCACGAGTCCCCTGACTCGAGTGTCCTTGTTCCAAAGGCCGAGAGCGAATTGGATGTCGTGACTGAATCCGATACAGCAACTCACGGCGACGAGTTTGACGAGTATGTTCACGACCTCCAGGATGAGGAGTGGGTTGAGGAGTCGGAAGATGGATATATGACCGATGAGGAGTATGAGATTCTTGATGCCTCTGATGAGGAATACCTCTATGAGCAGCAAAGGGCCTCCAGGAAGTGAGAACTTCTTGAACGACTGCCTGCACAAATGATGCAGTGCTCATGCCATGTTATGGGAATTGGAGTCCTGGACTGAAGCCAATTTTCTGCCTTGTGTTCGTATTTATTGCGATTTCCTGACAATTGCGGGGGACAGGGGGCGTTTCTTTCTTTGCAGTTACTTGTTCTTGTTCCACAGGTGTGTTTCCAGAAACATTTACTCGATGACATTTTATTCGCTCCCTCGACGAAGCACCCTCAGATTGCTAGCACATCGAGGTATATGGGTTCGCTCGTACGATAGTTTGTGTACCTGAATTTATGATTTTACTGACTACGTGTCCGACATGAATGCTCTTGATGTGCCTGAGCTTAAATTTTCTGTCCTGTACTGCACCGATGGGTCGAGAGAAAGATGAATCATGCAATCATGTATGAAAACTATGTTTTCAATATCTTCACAATTGCTAACCTTTACTGTTCCACATCAATTCTCATGGGTATATCCTGCCAACATAATTCAACCTTGATGCGTCCGTTCCGTCCACCGAATATTCGTGGATTTCATCTCCATTAATGCCATAGAACATGGCATCCAGAGTCATTGCAATAGATGAGAAGTTGGCCGTCGGTCCGCCATCGAAATTGAGACTAGAAAGGGCATTTTGCTCTGCCTCGTCCTCCCACCAGCTGCCTCGCATTGTCCCGTCGTCGAGGAGGGCATAGCAAAGAGTCCTGGACCATGTACCCCATTTGGTCACGGCTACGTGCTGGTTTGATGCAGGAAGTGGAACATCGGGTATCACATCGTCGGCTGCGGTTGATCCGTCAGCATGAGAGTCGCCACTGGAGTGTGCAATTTTCACTTGATGATCCGACTAAAAGAGGAGAGCATGGCTATAGGATTTGACTCACGATTCTTATTCCACGTCTGGTTAAAGGAGCTCACCTGGAACGGACCGGCCGTCTCGCTCGTGAAGCTCTGGCTGATGAGACCAAGGTTGTCCTGGACACCACCGTACTGCGGCACGAGGGCCAGGGAGGTGTTGCCGGCAACTTTGTTGGCGTCCACGGCGTTGACACCGGCGCTGTAGTCACTAAAGTTGGCCACCTTGATGAAGCCGCGGTCCGGTCCTTGCCAGGCCACGGTCCAGACCCCGACGTCGGTGGGCGTCGAGCCGCGGGCCCAGGCGGCGGCCAGCTTGGAGCCCGAGAGGGCGTGGAGCTGCGCCGAACCCAGCGTGTCGTTTTTCCAGAGGTCGGGCAGCTGCACGGGGCTATCGCTGTAGGCGCTGCGCACAATGTTCCAGGGGTCGAGAAAGTAGACGTGGACATTGTACGCATTCGGCCAGTCGAGAGCGGCGCTGGCCAGCGTGGTGCCGGCGGCCGCCACCAGGGGGGACGCCGAGTTGGCCGCCGACGCCGTCACGTTGCTCGTTGCCCACGTCTGGTTCTGAGAGTCCCAGCGCCGCGCAATCACCGAGTTCCACGGGTCCTGGAAGAAGACGATGCGGTGGTTGTAGCCCCGGCCGTCGGTCCAGTTGGACGCCGCGAGCGACGACGTCGCCATGACGTTTACCCTGTTTGCATCGGCGGCGCCCGTCGACGAGGAGGAGGATCCGTGGGTCAGCCCCCCGGCCAGACCACCTGCCAATGCGGCGGCGGCGAGGACTGCTGCGATCACGGCGACCCAGAGAAAGGTGCGTCGCTCGAGACCACATATTCGCTGCCGTTTGCCTTGGGGCTTCTTCTCTGCAAGCGACTCATCCGCCGCCGCCGCCGCCGCCGTCCAAGCTCCCGTCGTGTCTTGCCCAGTGCTCACGTTCTGATAGAGGTTCTGTCCAGGCACGGCTTCCGGGGCCAGGACGCCCTCGGGGACGGAGATCTTTTGGCTTTGGTCCGCGTCGAATGTAGACTTGATATAATGTGGTGGGCTTCCTGGTGCCGCCGTCACGGCCTCGGGAAAACGTTCATAGTCCTGCTGTGCTGGTGCACTGGTTACCAGGGGATTTGAGTGCTGGTTATGGTCGACCTCTAATGTGCTATAGTGATCCATGATGGATCAAGGAGCCTCTCCTCCAGGGCGACGACCGAAAGGGAGAAAAAGAGAGAATGGACTCTTGGGTATATGTTATTTGGGCATACTCAAAAAGGTCAACAATGTCAACAAACTTGTCGATCGACTAAAGAAAAAGGAACGGTGTGTCCAGGAGACAGTCCATTTGTTGCGCGACATGATCATCTTCTTGTTCTTATTTCTCTTGGCCATGTCAGCCTATGACGGTACCTTAGTGCTCACTGTCGATACTGTCGATCCTCTGACACGAGCCATGCAAGCCATGTTGGAGACCATTGAGGAACGGGCATAGAGTAGGTTGCTGTATTTGGAAACCCGCCACTATTATCCCTTAGGCCGTAGAAAAGTCGGGACCGTCAGCCACGGCATAGTGTCGAAGGAGCATCAACTAGCATCAAGTTTCGTGATGATTGGTGTTGGTTCGGGGCCGGGGCTCTTGGCATTTCTCTCCAAAAGTGGCCACAGCCCGACATCTCGATGGGCGGTGCAGGTAAAGCAAAAAAGCCATTGGCCCCCGGCCTCCGTCAGCCTCCCTCTGTTGGAGAGATTGATGGGGTTCTAGTGCCCATCCCATCATCTTGAAAAGTATCTATCTCTCTTCTTATTTACTAAACTTGCCCCCCTTTGTCCTGCCATAACTCAAAAGGTTATGCTGTAGATAATCGCAAGTAATTCATATTATAGAGTTGCGCAATACATGATAGGCATGGCGCAATATACGGCACTTTCGAGCCACAAGAGACTTGGGTTACCAACAACGTGCACTTCTCTGTGGCAATTTTGTAAGAGAAATAAACCTGGAATGGTTCATTGGCTTTGGTCTGGAAGTCTGATTAACGTTTGAATGGATGACATTTTTGGGACTTTGCATGGGCCCCCATCCTCTTCTCGTCTTACACACCTACAATTCTTTTTCGAGATCCTCTTACTGGTTGCTTTGTGCCAAGGTTCTATTGACTATAATTGCACAGCAGGAATTATGCGCGAAATGCTGAGTTGCTGTATAGACCGCATGAGTCCTTTTGCAAAGGTGTGACACCAACACAGGGAGTTGGATTTTTACCTTTGAAATAAGCTTAGCCGTTGTTGACTGGCATTATGGCTCCCATTGGCTCAGATAAACATATTTGGTATTCAATGTATCGACTTGAACTTTTATCAGACCTTGGGGGGTGAGGACTCTGTGATTGCCACCGTTTGACTTTTCTTTATTTTTTAATATTTTTTTTATACTTTTCTCTGATTCCTATCAGTATGAGAATGCTACTTATACAACTATGTTATTATTGATACAGATATTTTCTACATTTACAAAGCAATTCGATCTGCAACTCCCCTCTCAGAAGCCGTGGCTTTTGAGAAAGTCCTGAATAAAGGTAAAAGCGCCGGCCGCCGAATAATGCAAATTCAAGCCATGACCAGCCATGGGCGCAGCATACGTCGCCGTGTTATTGGCGGCAACACTGGGATACAGCTTCAGGGGCACCTCGGCCAAGAGATTGGTCGGGTAAGAGCAGTTACCAAAACAAAAGCCCAAGTCCTCGTTGCCAGCCACGACGGCCACGGGCCCGTGGAAGTCGGCGGCCGGCTGGACAATGGCACCCGTGGTGAAATACTCGCCCAGCGTGACGGTGCCCTTTGTGGCGTCGGCGAGCGAGAGTATGGCCGGGTCGAAACCGGGAAAGTGGCAAAAGGTGGTCTGCAGGGCCGACGACGAGCCGACGACGAGATAGCCGGCCGGTAGGCCGGCGAAGCGGTAAGGCTGGTTGATGGACGCAATCTCGGGGATCTGAGCTAGCGAAAAAGACGGCATGCCGCTGGCGTTGGTCGAGAAGCCGGTCAGGACCGCGGCGTCAAAAGACTGTGGATAGGCGGCCGTGACTCCCTGGGTCAACGCGCTGCCAAACGAGTGGCCGACGCCAATGATGCTTGTGAAGTGCTGATTGCCGCCTAGGGCTCCGCCCCGGAGCTTTGTGACCAGCTCATTGAGAATCTCGAGCTCCAATGGCGATTGGATCGTCTTGATGGGGTCCTCCTTGGAGGAGACGCCGACACCGAGACGGTCGTAGAAGAAGACGGCATAGCCCGCTGCTGCGGCCACGTCGACGTAGCTATACCCCGGCGCAAGGTCCCAGTAGCTACGGTCGAAACCAATGCCGTGGGTAAGGACCTGGAGGTGAAGTGTCTGATTGCCTTGCTTCTCCTGCGGCAAGCAGAGAGTGACACCGATATCATAAGTACCATTGACCGAAAGGGTGCCATTCATAATCTGCTCTTTCAATGGTGAGCCCGAGTCCCACAGGCTGACGATTGTCTGCGTGACCTGTGACTGATTGACAGGAGCTTCGTATGCGAAGTTCATATTGGCATCGGTCCCGGCTTCAACTTGAAGAAACCCGGAGACACAAGCAGTTGCGCCACCTCGGGATATGTGCTATTCGGAGAAATATGAATTAGTCATTTGCTCTCTTGGGTTTGTGAGTTGCCTATTTGGACAGTTGACATGACCCAGAGGATACTGCCAGCTTGAAAATACATGACACCGCGCACTTACCTGTACGGGCTGCGACAACCCAGAGGTATCAGGGTAAATTATTCCCACCAGGAGAGGCTCTGCGTTCTGGGCCAGAACTTGCGCAGCCTGGCTGGCGAGTATGGCGAGACCGAGGCTGAGCATTGTAGTAAAATGTTGACGGTGGCTGTTTCTGGTAGATCAACGAGATTTAACAAGTGTCAATGTCTTTGGCATGTACTATATTCGAGGACAAAGTATTGCCGTGTCGTAGCAAGCCTGAGTAAACATGTTGCGAGAACCAACTTATATAGATTCTCCTAGGAACAGAAAATGTCATGTAAACACAAACCCAACGGTCATCATCAGAATTTGGAATTTGTTTCCGAGTAAGTTGCCTGGACAGCATGGTGATTTGGAATTCTTCTTCCAGCCTAGAGACGAAAAGTAAGCCCTATGCAGCACCATTGACAAGAAGGACCCAGCTTGAAGCCGTTGATCAATCGTTGGCTCAACGAGTTTATACCATTTCATCACCTTGCGGAACCTCCGGTGGGTTCCGGGGAGTTAGGGAACGTTGCCGGAGCTCGGATGAAGTCTCCTGGGCTTTGTTTGGCCGTATCCGCAGGCACCGGCGCTTTCGCCGGACTCAAATCGGACATTGTATTAATTGGTTCATCTCCTGAATCACTTACAATTGGACCTGAACTAATGTCCTCAGGCAATACTTGTCATAACACTGCCACTTACCTAGTGGGAATGATATAATTTGGAATTCTAGTGATATACTTTGCACCGCGCGTTTGCGCATATACCAGCCGAGACGGTATAAAAAAGCCCCGCAACATGCCGATTGTCTTCCGTCTTCGAATTGCCGAGTGTTTCTTTGGTACGACACATTGCGTGACAATTTGAGAAGTCGGAAGAGCGCAAGAATTTGAATAGAGCACTTGCTACTACTACTACTACCACTACCACTACCACCACCAAGGAGTATGCGAAAACTCCTTACCAAAAAGAAAATAAGAATAAGAAATGATAGCAATTTTGTTGTTCTCACGGTGTAAGAAAAAGCACAAAAAGATCGGTCGGCCTATTTAGGACCGTATGATTGGTGGCAAGAACTGCTAATTCTTGCCCACTACTGGAGTCGAACCAATTGCCTCCTCATTACTAGTGAGGCGCTCTACCGATGAGCCAAGCGGGCTTGAGAAGATCTTGTGGATCTCCTGTTGCTGTTGAGACTTTGTCTCTAATTGACAATTATGTCAAATAGCTCATTATTGCAACCGTGTCTTAATATTATGTGACCTGAGCAGAATGGTGGGCGACGAATAGCATGGCTTGCATGGACAATGTCTAGGACCTGCTTGTTGTAGATCTAGTCTGTATGGACGGAGAAATTAATGGGTGGAGCATGAGTATAGTAATTCACGTAGACGAGAGGGAGAGTATACCAAGGCGGCACAGCCGTTGTGTGTCTGGCGAATCCCACACGTCAGCAAGAGGTTCAAGTACTAATTGTAGAAAGCCTAAGGAGTATGATGAGGCAAAGATGAGAACAGTACTACTTTTTTTATGTCTTTGATGGACACGTGAGTTGGTGGGCAATCAAGTACGGCACTACAAAGAACGCCATTGAAACGAGATAATCATGAACTTTAGATTGAAAATCAGACTAAAAAATCACATGCGACCTTAATAACGCCAGGTATCCCAATATACTTGATGACCCAGGAGACCGCTTTTTAGCTCTAGTATACTATATCAAAATCGCCTAGTCATGGTATCCTCCCTTTTCGTTGCCAATCATGCCCATGCTCTGCTGTCTCTTCCTGCGCCCAATGACTTCGCGAATCCACTCGCTGATGGTAAAGCCCCAGTGTCCAGCCACCACCACACCAGACAGCACGTTGACGACCTTGACCAGGAAGGCGAGGTAGCTGTCACGGGTTTCCTCGACGGTAAGCAGGATCGGCTCAATGTCGTACTTGAAGAAGATACCAGGGAACATGCGCTCGTTGATCTCGTGGCTCTGCTCGTTGACGGCGTACTGGTTTGTGACAATGGTCTGCGAAGCCGAGTGCGCGTGGCCGACGGTGTAGACGGTCGGCACAACCGACATGAAGTACTGGAACTTGTGGAAGGCGGTATTGGCTACATTGACGGTACGGTCGAGAGGGTTGACGAGAGACGGGTAAAAGGGGCCAAAGGAGAACTCGTTGATGATGTGGGAGAAGTTGAAAGCTAGTTCATCAATTAGTACGTCGTTTGCGCCATGGCAACTACACTGCGCCCGGCCAACTTACCGCTGTGGTCGAGATGTTCGCCAAACTCGGCATATCCGTGTCCACGAGCAGTGATGTGGAAATCACCCTGCACCTTGTTCAGGTCCAAGCTGCCGTAGATGCGGCAACTATCACCGCCGCCGCGCCCCCACATTCTTGGTGTCTTGCTCCATTTCGGCTTCTTCTTTCCAAGCGCGACAATGTCGTGAACGTGCTCTTCGCCGAAACCCTCATCGTGAAATCCGGCACCGGTAACGACCTTGCCGTGCGCGTCCTTGCCCAGCTTGTGTACGCCCTTGTTGTCAACCCACTGCACCCAGTTGGTGGCGTCCTCCTGCAACTTCGAAGCGGCGAGGATGCGGTCGCCGGCAGCGTCTTGTACGTTGACGTGTATATCCTTGCACTTCATGCGCAGAACAATGTCCAGGTTGATCTGCATATTGTGGCCGACGCCCTTCTCGACGGCATATGTGTGGTTCTCAACACCGCGCCACCACTCGCCTATCGCCGACCAGACGAGGACGAGGGAGATGACACCCATGGCCACGGTCCATTTTCCGCCACCGGCCGATTGTTGAACATATTGCGGTTTCGACTTGGCTGTGAGGTAGGGAAAATGCCAAGTCAGTAATTGCGACGACAGAAGCTTAGTAGCTGAGCAGAGCAGCAGGGGCGAGGGGACGAGGTATCTTACGAAAGGCGTCAAAGGCTCTGACGAAGCTGCCGGGTTCCGGCTCGTCGTTGAAGCTGTGCTTCTCGTCGTAGCCGTTCATCATGTCGTTTCCGCTCTAGTACCAGGCTCGCAGCGTTCCAATGCGTGCGTACTTGACTTGTAAAACTGATGACAGTCTTGCGCGCGCGCGCCCGTGCCTCTGAATTGCACTGCAGGCTTTCAGAGAAGGAAGGCCGCGGAGCCAGCTACCACATCGGAGGTTTCGTCGCAAGGTGCTGCTTGTTGCGCTGACTGGAAAGTAGAAATGACAATGGTCATAGATGGGCTATCATAAAATGGGGTGCTGAACCCTATCTCATGTCCTTGAAGGCGGCTCGTTGGTCGATCGGGGGTTGGATCACTTTCGTTGTCAATCCTTGGGCTCAGTCGATCGATACTGCAACAATGCACTTTTTGGTTTGATAAGAGGACAGCTTGCCAAACCATCAAAGCAGTAGCAGCTGTCGGACCCCTGATGCAGGGTCCAATTGGCGCATTTCCATTGGTCTGTTTGGCCAGAGACAGCGGCCGAGTCAACGCTAAGTGTGGGGCGCAACGCTCGGGGGTTCCTAAACCGGATCATCTTTCAACATTGACTGGATATGTAAGTAGGCAGGTAGGTATATGTTATGATTATTTCATTCAACTAGATTGTTGATTCAAAAATGGACAAATATGTTTAGACGTTTTCTTCTTGTTGCAAACTTGTACGATATTACCCTTTAACTGAATCACTCGACTTTCATAGATATGCATTCACCAATGGTGGAAAATAAATAACAGTAGTATTTTGGTCTCTATATGGGTAATATCCTTTCGTGTCGTTCGTACAAACGGTTTCATCCCGTTCATCTATATGCTGAGTTCCTCTATCAGCAAATCTTTTGAAACCAATTTTCGCTCATCCGGCAACGCAGACTGGGGTATTTAAATGAGCTGCTGGAAAGCCCGGTTGATAGGCGAGCGGATGTTGGGGACGTCCTTCCAGAAGTCGATGGTGGCAACGGCGCGCTTGGCAATGCCCTCGGGGGTGAACTCGAACTTCTATAGAAATGGTTAGTCATGCAAATATCGACAAAACTCTGGGGGATTGAACTTGCCTTGTAGACATCCTTGTAGGCACCAGAGGCACCGAATCGGTTGATACCGAACTGCTCGTGGGTGTAGCGCTCCCAGCCCATGGTGCTCATGACCTCAACGGACAGCGAGGGGATACCGTCGGGCAGAACGCTGAGTCTGTACTCCTTGCTCTGGGCATCGAACACCTCGAAGCAGGGAATAGAGACGATACGGGCCTTGATGTTGTGCTTCTCAGCAAGCTCCTTGACGGCGTCAACGCAGATGCAGACCTCGGAACCAGTCGAGACCAGGGTAACCTGGGCACCCTCGACCTCGCTCAGGACGTAACCACCCTTGCTGGCGCGCTCAATAGTGGAGCCCTCCAGCTGGGGAAGGTTCTGTCGGGACAGAGCCATGATGCTGGGAGTGTGCTTGGAGGTGAGGGCAACGTAGTAGGCAGCGCTGGTCTCGTTACCATCGGCAGGGCGCCAGACCATGCAGTTGGGCAGAGCACGGAAGTGGGCCAGAGTCTCGATAGGCTGGTGAGTAGGACCATCCTCACCCAGACCAATCGAGTCGTGGGTGGCGACCCAGATAACGCGGACCTGGGACAGAGCCGACAGGCGGACAGCGCCGGCGGCGTAGGAGACGAAGTTCAGGAAGGTACCAGCGTAGGGGATCAAAGAGCCGTAGGCGGCAATACCGTTCATGATGGCACCCATACCGTGCTCACGGACACCGTAGCGGATGTAGCGACCGGCGTAGTCACCGAGGCCGGTGGAGGGGGGCTGGAAGTCGACGGCACCCTTCCATCTGGTCAGGTTGGAGCCGGTCAAATCGGCGGAACCACCAATCAGCTCGGGAATAGCAGACTCGAGCTTGGACAGGACAGTCTCGGACAGCTTTCGCGAGGCGACAGCGGCATCTGCGGGGGTGTAGACGGGGAGGGCCTTCTCCCAGCCGTTGGGCAGGTCACCAGTCTGGCGACGGACGAGGTCGTCGTGCTCGGCCTTGTACTTGTTGCCGTACTCGGCGAACAGCTTGTTCCACTCAGCCTCGGCGGCGGCACCGGCGGCGGAAACCTTGCCGTAGGCGTCGTAAACCTCCTGGGGAACGGCGAAGCTCTCGTTGGGGTTGAAGCCGAACTTCTCCTTGAGCTGCTTGATGTCATCGGCCTTGAGGGGCGAGCCGTGGACACCGTGGGTACCCTGCTGGGTGGAACCGAAACCAATGGTGGTCTTCAGCTTGATGATGGTAGGCTTGTCCTTGCTCTCCTTGGCCTTGGCAATGGCCTTCTCAATGCTGTCAAGGTCGTTGTCACCGTCATCGACGATCAGGACCTCCCAGCCGTACGACTCGTACCGCTTGACGACGTCCTCAGTGAAGGCGCAGTTGGTGTCACCGTCAATGGAAATGTGGTTGTCATCGTAGATGGCAATCAGGTTGCCGAGCTGGAGGTGACCAGCCAGGGAAGAGGCCTCACCAGAGACACCCTCCATCAAGCAACCATCACCGAGGAAGCAGTATGTGTAGTTGTCGACCAGGTTGAAGCCGTCCTTGTTGAAGGTAGCACCAGTCTGGGCCTGAGCCATGGCGAGACCAACAGCGTTGGCGATACCCTGACCAAGGGGACCAGTGGTGACCTCGACACCGGGGGTGTCGTGAGCCTCGGGGTGACCAGGGGTGATGCTGTCAATGGACTGTATGATGTCAGATCTACAATCTCGCGATCCACATTTGCAGAATCTTTGCATGTCAACTTACTCGGAAAGCCTTGATGTCGTCCATGGAGACAGCATAGCCGAAAAGGTGGAGGAGAGCATACTGAAGCATGCAGCCGTGGCCGTTGCTAGGTCGATTGGTTAGCAGGATGATTGGTGTTGTGCAGTGGCCTCAGGACAAACTTACGAGAGAACGAAGCGGTCACGGTTCAACCACTTGGGGTTCTTGGGGTTGAACTTCATGAACTTGCTGAACAGAACGTGGGCAACCGGTGCCATACCCCTATAATTTTTCCTGTCAGTGGACCATATTTACCTCACAGATAGATGGCCGAAGGTCCCGGCAGCATCTTTTGAGTGATTGGAGCTTACATGGGCGCACCAGGGTGGCCGGAGTTCGACTTGGCGGTGGCATCGGCCTGTGGTGAAGCTAATTAGCATTGTGTTCTCGTTGCGACTATATGAGCGGCATGTGAAGCCCAGGCAGCCAGCGACTGTCGCCCTCGTCTTCGTTGCGGCAAAAACGTGTCCCTCGACAACTTTTGTTGACGATGGAGGGGCAGGAGTCGAGGCGGGGGCGGGGTGTTGGGATTTCGTCACAGAGACTCAACAGGGGAGAGCAGTAGCTTACAGCAAGAACACGGATCGTGTTGATGGCCAACCAGTCCTTCTCAGTGTAACCCATGATTGCGATGTTTGTAAAGTTTCGCTCTGGGAAAAGAATTGGTGTTTGGGGGGAGTATGAGGTAATGGGAGGAGGAAGAGGAATTGAGAAGAATGGTCGGATCTCGAGTGGTTTTCTATCTGCAAGGAGGGACGAGCGAGCATCCGCCCCGTGGATCCCTTGACACAATAAGTGTGAGAGCGGCGGGTAGGCGGGTTGGCGGGCGGCGGGCCTGGGCGAACGAGCGAGTGAGCGAGCGGCAGCAGTAGCAGCTCTCTTTCTTTCTTTCTACCTTACTCACACAGTCTGATCTCGCGTCCTGTCCTGCCTGTCCTGTCCTTGTCGGCTTGGGTGGTACTTGTTAGTGGTGCTCACTAATGGCCCTGGAAGCTCTTGAGTAGAAGTGGGGGTGGGCAAGCGACACCCCTCCGTTCCATTGGGGGTCTTTCTACATACTACTAGCTGTAAAAGTGTAGGATAAATGCAACTTCTGCCGCCGGGTCACGATGATGTCGGTACCTGCCCCTGTTCGACATTTTCAGCAATCCTCTGGTACCATGATGGACGCGATCAATGTATCTCTGGCATCTGTCCACAGCTTCCGGAACAGATGGAGATTTTGGGGGTCACCATGGACGAGAGGATCCATCTTTTGTTTCAAGCGATATGTAAGCTTGAGAGAAGAAGGCCCGTAACCATTATCTACAGCCTCGTTTCTAGCTTGTTCTCATGACCGTGAGTGTTTTGCTACATGATTCCATCGGTGCTGGCCGTGGCATTCTTTCCATTAGTATTGAGGAATCATTAGCCGAGCGTGAATAAAGGATGCGTTGCTGAGTGATATTATTGCTCTTCACTATTGACCGCAAGTACCCTGATGAATCAGACCGAGGAAGAAAAAAAAAACATGACCTCTCCGCATTGGATCGCATATACTCGACTCGCATTCACTAGTCAGAAGCCTTGTTGGGGGGTAGTTACATGGTACACCACTACGGAGTTGCCCCCCAGCCGCGCGCAGTCTCTCTACTACCCAGGTAAGCTTTATGTACCTTATTATGTTGTGACCCGAGCCGACCGCGCTTGGGAATTAACTTTCGGTGCTGAGACATCAACAACGAAAATGTCGTCAATTTGATTGATGCCTTCAGAAGAATGCCCGTACATTCATCATCCATTTCTAGTTCGCCTCGTAGCAGCAGAAGTCATCGTCGGTATGTCTTCGTCGCTAATACGGGGCAAACCTCCCACCAAGCCTGTGCACAGGTCGCCACCGGCATGAACGGTGACGGCAAGTGCGGCTTTTTTCGCCGAGAGATGCCCCTCTGTTTCTGCGGAATTTGCACAAATGACGATGGAAATAATGGGGCCCTCGTTTCGCAGCATTTGGAATTCTAGGCATTCTGCCAGTTTTGCCCACCCACGTTGACTCGAGACGCGCCGCCTCATTGGTGAACAAGAGGGAAGGTCACCACATTTTTCTCAATGGCCGGTACTCGCACTAGCTACACTTCATTTCCACCTCCAACCATCTCCGTATCGGACCTCACAAGAGCTGGTGTGCATCTATGATTGGCCAGCCCTATGCTGCGCAATATCCATGGTGACAAAGCAGAGCTTTAAGTCCGATGATATCTATTTGCCTGCAAGGTACAATATGTACATAGGTATTTCGTTGAAGTAGGTAGGTATGTATGCACCTACTACTACTCTCGCAGCTTGTCGTACGTCCATAATTTATAATGTACGATCAAGGTTTTCCCATTCGGTGCTTTAGGAACAAAATAATCTTGTCGGCTTGAACTTTGCTTGAATGCAGGGCATTTTCAAGAGATGAACTCAGCTGTTCGTTTCATTAAAACAGGCAACTCTCCTCTTCTCTTGGGGTGTCTGGTTGCTCCGGGATTTTTTTCTTTCTTTTGCGGGATGAAGTCTCAAGGCTACACTTTTGTCGTTCGTCGAGCATTGACCTTTCTGGCTGCTATGGAGGGAAACATGAGCTTTTGCCTACCAATAACAATTGGATCGAGTCTCTGCTCATTGCGGAATGTCTGTCAAGGAATGTCTGGCAAGTGCACTAATAGACACCTTGTTATTATGTCAGCTTGTCAACTTCATGATAGTCAGTAAGACCCAGTGATACTTATTATGCTAGCTTGTCAACTACATTCTAGCCAGGGAGGCCCAGTCATATTTATTCTTTATCCCCCCAAAATCACCTAAGAAGAGCCTCGTTTGTGCACTCCATGTAAACCTTTACATACAGTGCGTCGCCAAGGAATTCGGTGTGTGACTTATTTCGTTGAGGAGTGCATGTGCATCTCCTCCGGAGAAAGGGCGCCAGGTCTCCCTGAAGCAAGAGGCCTGATCTTTCTGTTTGCCTGGGCTTTCAAGACAGCTCTTGGACATGCAGCACGTGAGCAATAGCGGGCCGAGTGTGCCTGTCGGTAGGTTTACAAGCATTCACTTGATCCCAGATGATCCTCTCAAAATTGATGGCAGAGCAGGCTTGGCTTGTCGAGGCAGGGGGTAAAGTACCGGCCGGTCCTTCAGTTTTGGACATTACCTAAGAATACAACAAGGGCAGAAGGGTAAATAATTGATGCGATGAGAAAAGCTAAATGGGGGCCATTGTATCAAGCAGGGTATCGACAGGCAGATCGATGGTATCATGAGAGCCGATATTGATCCGAGGCCCAGGAAGTTCGCACACCGTCCAGTGGTGATTCCTCTCAAACAAATGGGTCGGATATTCTGCCAAAACAACGTTCAGATTGTTGCACACGCGTCATGCCTCTTCCCTCGCGCCCCGAGTCGTTTTTGGCGCAAACGGAAACCAATCGGTTTATTCACGGAGGCATTCTTGCGAAATGGAATCAGCTGGTTTACACCTTGAACATGTCCGCCGGCTATGCGCACCATCGTAGCTTATTCACCATCACCATCATATTCTTGTTGGCGGTGTTGGCATTACGGATCGTCCAGCGCGTGCGGAACTTGAGAGAGTCTTTCAATTTGCATGGTCTCTGTGGGCCTCAGCTCTCCAGAGTCGGCACCGGAAACCAAACGATGTGGCCGGGGTCGCATTTCTAGGTATTGTTCGAAATGCCTTTGACATCCAGTCAACACACGAGTCACCAGAAGCCACCCATATACTGTCAGCAGGGTACCTCTCTTTAAAACCTACTGAGGGAGAACCTTACATAAGGTCCGGCGCCAATATGCAAAATTCTCCAATAACTGAAGGCATGACACTCGGCTCTCCCCTAACAGGGTATCTTTGGAGCAGAAATACTCTCTACTTGCTTGACAAACTTTTGCTTAAGGTACGATGGCCACTTCTCGGATATTGTTGAGACGGGTACAAAAGCCGCGAGATTTTCCCTCGCTGCTCGAAACCATCCATCTTCTACCTCCTTCATCTTCTCTACTGCGTAATTTGTGCAGATACCAGACCTTAACACACCTCTCAGTCGGATTGCCTCGCTCCAAGTCTGTGGGATTCAACATGTCGAGAATAATACCAACCCTCGACGCAGAGCAAGCCCTGGACACTCTGAACATCATAGTTCAGCCCGCCGACGTTGTGAATGGGGATTTCTGCTCTGATTGGCTCACCTTTCAGTGTTTGGGTTCCGATTATACATGGACGTTTTTCGGCGTCCGTGACCTAGACGATCCCAAGATCACGGAACTGATCGGGATCTCACTTATCCGGACAGTGACAGTGGACGTCAGGGCCATAGCACCAACCAACTCCCAGATAATCTACCAATGGACGAAGCTCCGGGATGTCGCTTGGATTCTCCTTAGGCTTCTTTTTCGCTTCAATCAACTCTCGATAAGACTCCACGACAACCAGCCCATGCCGCGGCACGCGCGACGTGTATTCAGGGAAGAGCGATTTGCCATGCATGTCGAAGACTTGTATATCCAGTGTGATTGCAATTTTCTCTCGCTAGTATCCATGGCGTTGATCTTGCCCATCATCATGGAATTGAGGCAGCAAAGAAACCTGGCTGAGGCGCAACCAAGGATAGAAATCATCGACGGCTTAGATCTCAACATGGCAGGAACGCAATCTTCGCCTGTGGCCGGAAGCAAATATCGAGTATTCGATATGGAACACCCATCAAGATACCTGCCGGGTCATGATATTGTCTGCCAAGCCCTTTGGCCACGATCAGATGTCTACTATCAAGCAGACGATCTTCCAGACATGTTTTCTCAACTCACGAAATTTCACGCGGATATTGATGACGCTGTGGACGAAATAAAGGGCATCGAGGGAAATCTCCTTCGACGAGAACGTATGAGACTTCACGAAACATCTGATCGAAGCTGCTTGTCCAGCGAAGCCCAGGAAAAGCTGCAAGTATGGTCTCGTGAGCGAAGGGATAGACATCTGCGGATAATGCTCGATCCTCACGAGAGGGAATTGCCGCGGATGATGGTTCGGGATGCCTGGGATCGTTTGCCCAGACAGGAAATCAGCCCCCATCAACTCGAGCCCCATGAAAGAGATCGAATGAGGGAGAGATGGAAACAAGATTACTGGGCCGACTTGTATCCCCGTGGGATCCCACCTCTCCAACCATTGTACGATAGCTTGCTTGAGAAAGCCTCGTCACCGCCAGAGGAAGACTCGCAATGGTCGGGAGAAGAATCACCGGAATCATCAGAGCCGATTGCTGTAGAGCCAGTGCTTATGGTTACTGCACCGGAACCCCTGATTGCTTCCATCGAACCCTGTGAGGTCTCGATATCGGAAATGACAAGGAGGCATCGATGGGATATCCTGAACTCACACTTGAACAAACCAATCTGGGAGAGGGAACCCGAAAGTGAAGGAACAGGCCCCGAATCACCACTTCACAGATTGCACAGACGGTACAGATTGGTATTTGCGAACCGGCAAAGGATAGCTAGCCTACGCCGATGACACATCCTCTCATGGCGAGAACGACTCGGAGGACGAAGAAAGCTATGACGAGTACCGTCGAAAGGCACAGGCACTAAGGACCCCCCTTTCCTACAGGTTTCTTCTAGATGTTTGCGCTTTGGTTGTGTTACGTTACTCCTTTCTGATCATTGTTGGCTTTGTGTATATAGCCTTAAGGCTACTTATGAGTTATACAAGAAAAGCCTCTACATTCTATTTGTGCGCGCTTTAGTTTTGTTGTCTTAGATCATGTATCTTTAGTATTGTCTTTTGTTTTGTCGATACGATCGCATCAAGCTGCGTAAATGTCAAGTATACGGCGTTGGAAATCAGGCAAACCCACTTTATTCAGGAGACCAGTTATAGTAATTTGAAATGGAATCATTCAAAATGTGCGAAAGTCTTATGCGATTCAAGTGGCTACGTAAATGCCAACGTGTCCAAATGACCTATTGAGCGACGTTATTCATGCTCATACTGAAATCAAGTAGAATATATGGTTCAAAGGACTAGAAGTTTCCCTCTCACCCTTAGGCGGCTGGGAGTATTTCTTCAACAATTGTGTCCTCCCGAATCTCCAAGTTGGCCAGCATGTATTCATAGTCCTCCTCGTCCTCGTCTTCATCACCGTGCAGCTCTCTCATCTGGTTGGGATTGCCAAACTGGGCCTGTTCATCCCACAGCGTGGCATTGCGCGGCAGCACGACAAAAGCACGCTGGCCAATCTGCGCGCCTCGGGGCAGATCTAGCTCCAGACCCGAGCTCGTGCGGTAAACCGGGGCGCCGGGGCTCCTCTTGCCCAGACCGTTGCGCTTCGGAATAGTTCTCTTCTTCTTCTGGCCGGCATCTGGATCGTCATCGGTACCGTCCTCGGCCGAGTCGCCGTCATTGGCCGTGCCACCGGGACCAATGACCTCGTTGTCATCGTCATCGCCGCAGTTTTGCATGTCGCAGTACTTTACATTGCCGGCGTTGGAGAACTCGACGGAAAAGGTGCACTTGCCACCATTGTTGCCGGTGCAGTAGCTGCTCTTGTAAAAGGCGCTGATGATGCCTCCTTGCTTACGGTTCTGGGCCGCCGGTACGCAGCGGTTTAGGCGTGTGGTTTCGCCATTGTTGGGAGTCGACGACGCAAAAGGATACTCGTCGCACTGGTAGCCGGAATCGTAGCCCTTTTTGGTCGAGCAGCGGTTGCCGCCGGACGCGATACATCCGGCAGCCTTGCGACGGTTGCGCTTGGTGGACGAGTCGGGTTTGTCATATGTCAACCCTGAGCCGATGCCGGCGCAGTAAGCTCCTGTGATGGGATAGAGTAAGTTAAAAGGTCATTGAAGTGATAAAGATGTGGAAAAATTCGTACCGTAGCACATATTGGTGCATATTTCGTCGAGCCCGTCATCACAAACAAAGATCATCAGATCGTCAGGGTCAGACCCAGCCTGAGGGCTTCTGTCGACGACATTGACAGCAGATGAGGCCACGGCAAGGCCAAGGAGAGAAGCGAGCAAACTGAGGTTTCTCATGATGATAGATGCAAATACGAGGACAAGTAAATCTCAAATGGCTAGATCTTGTGCTTTTGTGCCTAGACCTCTGTTGAACGAAGCAGTTGAGTCGGACAAAACCCACGCATCTACAGCATGACTTTATAGAATTCTCTTTGCCAGTATCTGAGTATTCACCAGACCAAAAGTTCATATTTAGAAGTCATGCGACCTTAAGAAATCCTCTCCTCCAGAACATCCTTCATCCTCCTCGGGCGTATGACCTTCCAAGACAGACCGATCTTTGGTACCAAGGAACAGCATTTTCTGCATCGTGAGAAGTTGCTATATCAAGAGATCGCAAGTAATGCCAGACCGCCCCTCTGATCATTTCCGCCTCGAGCGTTATTGTGAGATTTTAGATACAACGAGGCTGTGGTAAGTCTTACATAGAAACTCCTGGCAAATCTTTGACTTCTTGGGATCTTGAATAAATAATACCAGCTGTTACGGTAAAGTATACAAAACCCATTGCTTTGAAGACGTTTATTCGGCCACAAAGGCTTAGCGCTATCTTGGGGGCCATTGTCTCAGCTTCTACCGTATCGTCCAGTGAGTGGACAGCCTTGATGACTCTGGTTACAGAAAAGGATGGCTAAGGAATGTGTGGCACGGCGATCGTCAATGCCGGCAGAGACTATTGAAGAATCGATGAATGATGACATCACAACTACTATAATATCGAGATCGATCTTCACCTTGTGTAAACTGCCGGTGCTGAACTTCTAGAAGGCAGAGCTTCGAATTGGACAGTCGAGAGCATTCGAAGGAAGACATACGTAGACAGATGCTTTGCACTTGCCTGACATAATAGCGTACGAAACAACCATCGATTGGTAGTTTTGATGTATATACTGCTTGATTTGGTCGAGCTGCAATTGGAGATGAGCCTTTACATTCTGTTTCTTTAGGTGTCACATGATCGACATCTTCAAATCCATTCGCTGAGAATTGCCGTGATCGACGGCTTTTGCGTTAAATACAGAGCCAATACATCCCTTATTGATTTCTTTAGCAGTGTCTTTAAATTAAGCAAAATCTCTTTACTACCAAAACAAGAATTAAATACCAAGCAAGGAGGTTGCATTGAAACCATGCACCCCGTCTTTGTTCCTGCGGCCGCGTTAAACGATCGATCGAAGATGACATGGCACGAAACAAGCCAAAGAGACCGAAATACCCGAATGCTTGTTTTTGAAGGATTAGGTCGGCATTGAGTCAGCCTGTCAGCCTACAACATTCTTACATAGATACCTATCCAGGTAACTCGTGTAGCGGCAAGGATGATTTAGGCAATGATGAACTGCTTACAGCGCTACAGGGAATCATGGATCGCAGGTCTTTCGACCTTGTGCTTATTCACACTGGTGATATAATTCTCGTCCGACCATATTTATCACAAGAGTGCGTGGACTGTACAATGCATAAAAATGATCGACTTCAGCTGCGCCACGGACTCTACCTAAGCGGTTGAATCAGCTTTGTGGGGGCGATTCCTATAGGACTATGAAAAAGGTATCTCCTGTTGGAAAGGCAAACCCCAAGGTTCAATATACGGTCTGTATAAATGGGGGCTATAATTACAAAGAATGCGTTCTCTCGTGCCATTGAATTACCTACGTAATGATTGCATAATGTAGGTGCCCAAGTGGCACATCTGAGACAAGACAATACATCGATACGCTCTGCCCATCTTGCCCCGCTTTATAGCAGCTCTGGGTGTTTGTTCTCTTAAAGAAATCATCATACCTCTCTTCTCCAAGCTCTGAGACTTTTACTTCACACGAGTTCTATTCTCTCAATTTTACGAGCTCTGAAAAATCACTATTTATGGTTCTATAGCATGGGACCAGTGCTCAAAAGTACCACTCAATTCGACAACTGAAAATCATGTCCCAACACCCAGACCTTTCCCTGCCCACCAGGGCTCCGTCCATGGCCCGCTATCACGACCAGCCTATGACTCTACATCCGGCAGCACTCTATACACTCGTTGACTTGACTGATGCAGAGTTTCAAGCTCTCCAGGATGAGTGCGAATCTGGCTGCCTCGAAACAGGCCACGAGCGGGGTACCAGCGTGCGACCTGCGCCACAATCACGTTTTGTCGGTCAGCCTCTGCGCGCAGTCTTTGACTATCATGTTGGCCTGGGAGCACAAGACACCTTTGAACCCAGGTACTTTATTGCTGCCGTCGAGAAAGATTGGCGAGTCAAGGGTGTCATCCTGGTAACGCTCGATGACGATGATCTCGAGTGCAAAGTTGACAAGTTTCGCATCAATGCTGTTGATTCTGGCCTAAGTATAGTGAATCTGCAAATTGGAAATTCTTCTTGGGATGAAGAGAAGGAAGGCTACGAATTGCAGCCCGATGATGACGATGACAACGGAGATGAAGACAACGACACCGACGATGATGGGAATGACGGCGATGGGCCGCCAGCACCAATCAAGAACATTCCTCTCGGCTACTACGTCCCAATCTACATACACGCAAGTCTATCCGAAGACCAAGTCATTGCCAACTTGGAGCCAGCATTCAAACAAAAGTCACCCGAAAACTTTGCCTGTCGCGTTCAAGCCAGACTCACCCCTGGAACCTCTGCCCCAGAAACGACACCCACTCAAGACCTCATTCAGCAAGCGGCTGCTCTACACCCTCAGCGCTGTAAAAAGAACAAGTATCTCCACAAAACTCACATACTCGTCATTGATACGGATGACCCTGTTGAAAACGGCATGCTCATGGTCAAACTGCCCTCGTGGCACGAGAGTCACTCGGAGGCGACCGAAAAGCCAGCCTTGAACGACATCGGCAGCCAACTAGCCGAAGCGACGCTCCAGAATATCCGCATCCCGTATTCCTGCCATGACGGCTTACAGACGCGCTTCTTGATCTTGGCCAACGGCGATGCCGAGTGGCCGTCGGAGGCCGTGCGCGCCCAGCCCCTTTTTGTCGTATTTCAGTACAACACACAATCCAAGGAGCTTGGATTCGGCGCCACTTCAATTGATCCCGACGCGTCGAAGCGGAAGCCGGGCGAGGAGAGAGTGGTGTATGTGCCCAGCCTGATCAAACAGCCTGGCCGTGGCCTAGAGAGGATTGCATGGAATTATGATGAGGCTGTGAGACGCTTCCCTTGGTTTTGCCGAGAGAAACGTTTCGTTGAGGGCTTGGACAAGAGATTCTTTGCGTGTGTAGACGGGAATGATGTGGTCCAGACGGGGCTGCTACTCGTACACCGAAGCTGGGATGAGAATGTCTGGAATCGGACGCGTGACGAGTTGCTAGACTTGCCGGTCGAAGGCGTGAAGAATGTGAGGGTCCCCATCAAGCAAGCACTGGATATCCTGGAAAAGGGGAGGCAAGGCGAGACGGACGGGATGAGTGAGAGCTTGAAAGAGTTCTTTTCCTAGGCACTTGGTTCGGGTCCATCATCTTTCCCAATAGGCTCTCTTGCTACGCCCTGGGAATTCTAAACTCTGACACTACTTACTGTTTCCATGGTGGAGGTGGAGATCTCTAGGAATGGAGCTGAGTCTCGACATCAGAGAAAAAGAAATTGCCCCATATTGACAATTTGATTGAGAATATCTTTGGGTTGTGAGAGAGCCACCTACTTGCTTCTCGACAAAGTTCCGCCAATCCGGGCTGACGGATGTACACTGTAACCCCGTTTCATGCAGCCATCGTAGACATTATGGGTTCAGCAGAGTCTGTGCCAATTGGCCGTGGTATCAGAAGTAACCGGTGAGGAATTCACAGACAATACATTCAATAGATACACAAGTGGCTTGTTGTGGGTCAGTCTGGACGATCTACCAAAATACCAAGATGAGATGTGACAAAACCAGGCTATCCTCGTGTGTGATTGGCTATGTCTTCTAACGACGTGTGAGTACATAGTCGGCGATCAGAGAAGACAACCCACATTATCGTGGCCGAGGATTCTTGCTTCTTTCCAATCAATGAGTCCTCAGAGAAAGCAACAACTTATCTAGATTAGCGTGCTGTATGATATTGATAAGCGAGATGCGGCTGCAACTCCAGCGCTGACCCAATTGTCTCAGGTGCAGTACAACCTACTTGAAATTTCGGGCATCAATAAAATTGGGAGGAGGCACCCAATGGAACAAGTATCTGATTTTGAGATCTGTCGTTGTAACGATGTGATAGGTCGATTGAAGCGGCCTCCAGCCCAGTGAATAGGGGTAGATTGAGTCGGCAAACTGATGGTGAAGCCCTCAATAACAGCTATTCCATTACTGCTTCCAATACAGGATGAGGCTGCATCAGAGTTGCAGTGCGGCTGCAGCAATGCTGACCACCTAGTATCATATCCACTTTTATTCCATCAAGAATGAGCTGAAAATTCCAGGAATCAATTAATTGCAGCTATGAGTACCAAATAAGCACAAGCTGGGCCGGCCCGTGCTTGGACTTGAAAGGCAACTACGATTTTTATTTTTATTTTGTCACTTGTAGAAGTGGCCAACACAAAGCCATTGATGTGGGATGTGAGGAGGGCATGTGGCAGGTAAACCCCGGTATCAGATCGCCGATTCGAAATTAGCCATGATGAGTATGGAGATTGATTCTCTGCTAAGTTCCTGCAGTACCGATGTTGTAAATATATCAATCAATTTATGGGGTCTTTGTTATGCTACGTAATTTCAACTCTGTGCTGTCGCTTGTCGTATCCTTTTCTGCACACTTGTCAGAAGCCTTTCTGGCCACTTGTCATTGTTCTCCTTTCCAATAAACAACACCGAATTTGCGATTATCGATATTAATGCCTTGGAACTTAGATCCAACTCCAAGAGGACAACCACAGTATCTAAACACGTGCCTCTGAACAGCATCGACATGCCGGGCAGTCCAGCATTCGGAGGAAGCGATTCTGCCGACAGATCTGAAGGCATCGCGGACGCTGCAGAAGCACGTCTTAATCCAACAGATCATGCCCTTCAACGTGGAGCCACGCAGAATGACGATGGTGCTAAGTCCTCCGCATCTGCAGATGTTGACGGTATCCAGGAGGCAAAAGAGAGAGCCATACTAGACGGTACTCACAACACCCTCGGCAACCCTTCACAGGCTAACCAACCAACAGTTTCGAATCAGGCGCAAGTCAACACTCGATTCCTTGACGCGGCACGCGATGGAGATGAGAATGGCCTGGTGGCTGCCCTGGACGAAGCCGACCCAACTGCTACGAATGAATTCTCGGAGACGGCACTTCATCTAGCATGCCGTTATGGCCACGTGCGCATCGTGGAGAAATTACTGAACCTTGAACTGCAAAAGAAGAACATTGAAGCACGAGATATCGACGGATGGACACCACTACTATCAACTTGTTCTGAAAACCATGATGATGATGATGGAACCCTGAAAATACTCAAAGCTTTACTGAAGCACCAACCCGACATCAACGCGAAAAGCTCTATGAAACAAACTGCGCTCCATTTTGCGTGTTCCTATTCATCCGCGGCAGTCGCTGAACTTCTTTTGAAGCAGGAGAAAATTGACGCAACAGCCCAAGATGAAAATGGCAACACGCCTTTGAATCTAGCTTGCCAAGAATGCACAACCACGGAAATCGAGGCATTGTGGAATCTGGGATCTGGAGCCAATGTTGGCGCTAGAATCGGGGTCAATATCCCCAACAATCGGAAATCCACGCCGTTAACCAGCGCATGTCAATTCCAGTCAGCAAAAGTTGTTAAGTCACTGTTGGCGATCGACGCCGACGTTGAGATTTCGGACAAAGACGGAGATACGCCTCTCATCTTGGCCAGTAGATTCGGAAATGTGGAAATGGTGAGAGCAATTCTTGACCGCAAGCCGAAAAATTGGGACCACAAGAATGAGGAGGGCAAAAATGCGACAGACTACGCCATGTCGAACACGAGTGCGCAAGAAATCATACCGCTGCTACTCAACAGAGGCCTTAAACTCGGTGATGAAGATGCTTTGGAGATATTCGCGGGTGGAACCTCAAGGGCAGTTCCAGCGACCCATCTGCAGGATAGTGCGTGGTTGAAATTAGTCCGAGATATGCTCACGTTCCATTCGCCACTCGACCAACCCTTACTGCAAACGATAGAACCTATCATGAAATTTGCCAGCAAGGAAGAGAAAGTATGGTCGATACTCAATACTGATACCGAGCAGCACTTTCAGATTCTCAACACATTGACTAAGGATCTGGGGATGTCCGAGGAAATTTGCAAGATGATTTGGCGCGGTCGCCGTGACCCGGAGGGAGCGCTGGTGTCTCCGGGTGATCTTGATCTGGTCAAAGAAACGCTACCCTCGACGGAAGAGTGGTCCAATTCGAAGTCAGAGCTTGTTCCAAAAACTCCATTGCAGTGGTCAGCCTTCTACGGCGAACATCAGCTTGTGTGGTGTCTTTTGAAGGAAATGCAGTCGAGAGACAACGGAGACGTTGGGAAAGCGCTAGAGATAGCCAAGGCAAGAAAATCAGCAAGAAGCACCAAGGGCAGGAAAGGCACAGTTCCAACTGATAACGAAAAAGAAAACCGAATGGATTCAAAGCAATCAGGCCGTGCCAAAGACTCGAAAAAGTCAAGCGTCGACAAAGAAATCAAGCGCTATGAGTACACCATAGACATACTGAATAACGCAACAAGCTTGGTGAGCATTGCCAAGAAGCAACTCATCCTCGCAGATCCAATTGAGATCAAAGGAAAGGAGGATGTCCTGCAGCAAAGTACTGCTACCGTCGTAAGCTTTTATGAGCGGGATGGCCAGATTGATATCTTGCGATCAACCACCAATATTCTTGAGCTGATCTACGCGAACGATGACAAGAGGGTGAATGCCGTTCTGGATATGGCGAGGCAGACCTTTGACGAAATGACCAAAAACAGACAGAGTAATGAGGAGCCCAAAGAGAAGCCACAAATGCGCTGGATTCATCTACCTGCAAACCATGTGAGTTATGAATGATACGTGATCGAGTTCTTACTAACTTGTGACCTAGATGGATTGGATGGAGGTACGTTGAACATTTATTGACGTGAGTCGAAGTCAAGCTAATAGAAGCGCAATCAGGACTTGACTGTGCGTATCCACAAGGAAAATCATAAGGACGATGATTACTTGGCATCTTTCATGGACTTGGTACAACGAAGTCAAAAAGAGCTTCCAACAGACAAGTCTCAAATCAAATTCATGAAGCCTATTTGTCTTGTAAGTTGATACCGGCTGCAGGCTGGAATGTCGCTGATCATTTATTTAAATAGAGAGAATTGGATAGGAAACTTGCAACAGATGAGTCCAATGCAGCAGAGGAACTATCAGCAGAAGAACCATCTCAACAAAAAGAAGGAGGTATATGCTCATCAAATACATGGAGAAAAAGTTTCTGGACTTCTTTGACTGATCGCTCTACTTCTAGTTGATGTTCCGAGATTGGTATTCTATGTAGGTAAATTGGTATGACCTTTTCTTTGCACCAGCTAATCTCCACAGACGCCATATGTTACATTCGGGTATTGTTATTCCCAAAATGAAAAGTCGAATAGAGAAAGGCACAAGGAGCTTTTGGAAAAATACAAAGGGCGTATTCTGCATGGACCAAGATCCCTGGATCGATTCTACTACAACACGTTGCCACAACCTGAAATGGACGAACGCGATCAGAGCCAAGTGATTACTCGTGGACTGCTCAATTTGAAAATGGGAGACCCATTTCCAAAAGTTTTCAGAAAATGGCCATATCTTACTGTTGATCAACTATGGGTCTGGGTCATTGACGAAGGTAAGCGACAATTCAACGTTGTAGTATTGCTGAAATCCAGGAATCTCGCTAATACCTGAGAATATCCAGAAACCATAATCACTTCATCAACGCACCGCGAGGATGATTTCGATGCTCTTCTGTTCGAAAAAGTCTGGGACAATTTACTTCAAGCCAGTCAAGATGGGTTTCGAGAGAAGCTACCTTCTACTGTCACCGAAATGAGCCATTTTCTCGTCAGCACTTGTGCTGATTTCATCAATAATCTTACATGGGAGGACGTCTGTGGTGAAAACTACAAGGAACTTCCTAGAGAAGTAAAAGACGCATGGTTGAAACCGATACTGCTATGGTACGCCGACAGCATCAACAGTGCCGTAAGTGAGAGCTCAAAAAGTCTTCTGATTTGACCGTGATGACTTCTGGTTGAATCCGATCAACAAAATATATGACTAAAGGTCTCTATTTAGGCAGCTAAGGAGAAGATATTGTACAAGTCCTACAAAGACAGAATGGCAGCGGCAGCGAGAGCGAAAGAAGTAGTAGAGAAGAAGACGACTGGCCAAGATAAGAACCATCAGCAAGACGCTGAAAATTACGACATGAAGAAAGACGAGAATGACTGGAAGACAATCAATTCTGCTGCAACACTCTTGGACGAGGTCAAGGATATTCGAGATGAACTCATGATTATGAGACTTCTAGTTACACAACAGGAAGGTGTCTTGAAGGGCCTGATGGGTCCAGATCCGAAAAGTCGGAAGATGCAAAGCCTCAGTTTCATTGTCAACGAGCTGGATAATATGGTCAAGACGACGGACTCGATCCAAAAATCGGTACTACAGATTTCTCTTCTTGCTTGGCGTTGGATAGCTGACAATTGCCAGATCGACTACTTCATCAATATTAAGCAATCCATGATGTCTCTGGATTTAGTTGACAAGTCTGCGAAACAAAGCCAAGCTTTAGTTGATTTGGCGCAAAGAGCCGACAAACAAAGCCGAGCTTTAGTTAATTTAGCGGAAAGAGCCGATCAACAGAGTGTGGAAAATGCCAAACAGAGCGCAGAAAATGCCAAACAAGGAAATATTCTGTTTATTTTCACAATTGTCACTGTCATTTTCGTCAGTATTATCCGCCTCATATACATTGTATCATCAACTAACGATTCATTTCAGACACCTTTGTCATTCTTGTCATCTCTCCTTGCAATCAACACCACAACATCCCGACACAATGATGATGGGGAGCTTGAATACGAACCGGCATGGATGTATGGCATCATCTGTAAGTTTTCGTCTCTACCTGGCTGTCACCCGGCCTTGATAACCAAGGAAGGCTAATTTCAAAGTCGGTATATCGGCCATCATCGTTTCCCCCTTCTTGGGATATGCGTTCTTTCATCAAAAGAAGAATGAATTTAAATTGATGACCTTTTTATTATGGTGGGTATGGAATCAGACTGATTTCCAGGGTATTTGGAATGCAACAAGCGCAGGTCGGGAGAGCAGGCCTAATAGCAGGCGCATTCAGGACATAGAAGCACTCCTACCTGCAGGCAACAGTACATCTGAGCCTTTGAGCACATAGCCGAAATCATTGCAAGCTATCTTGAAAAAATTATCGGGGCGGAATATTATGAGGCGCTATTTGGGGGCATGTAATTTTATGAATTGGATTTCTTTCGTTCCGCTTCCATGATTATTTGGAAATGTAATCCTGATGATTTTCTACTTCGGACTCAGCCGGCTGAAGAGCTAATCATGAAGTTGTTACACCAAGCTGCAGGGTTAAGTTAGGTACCTAAACTAACCTATTGACGGGGCGAGGACCCGTCCCCTGGCAGCCGCTGAAGTAATCGTCGCGTGGGAGGAGTATACGAACTCGAACACAGTGTGTAGGGGACGCAGACAGGGCTCGAGCTGACCACGAAAAAGGAGCAGAATTCATCCATCATACAATCACCGTCGGTATTGCAGGAATCGAAGTCAAAGTCTCCGAGCTCACTACAGTAGTGATTCACCTGGTCGGCATCCCTACTACAGACGCAATTATCGCTGCAGCCACCACCACCGGGTACATTGGGATCTGCTGTCGGATTACATGTCGGGTACCGTTGAGCTGGCACTGTTTATCAGCACATGTATTAGCAATCATTGTACCAATATGCTTCCCCCCCCTCCCCCCCCCCTCCCCCCAAAGGTGCTCCCAAACGGGAATCCGCCGGCCTCAAGTCTCGCAAGAAGGGAGCCCGAGTCAGCGTGTTGTGAAGTGGCCCTCAAGACGACTTACCGGTGGAGGTGGCGGTGCTCGTCGTTGTGGCCGTTACTACCGTTGTAGATGTCGTGGTCGTTGTGACGTCAGTGAACTCTAGAGAAACACTAGAGAATTTGGACGTTGTCGTCGGCTACGAAATCAGGAATAGTTAGCGAACATTTTTTCGAAAGAAGTTACGGCGTCAAGACAAGATGGACCTGGGTTTTCCTCGAGTAGTCTCATAGCGGCCTGTACTAGGGCAGTTTTCGTTCCTGACAGCAGGGAAGCAAGAAAATCATGCGCTTACAGTAACCGTGGTGAAAATGGTACTCGTGTCGTATTTAGTTGAGGTCACCGTCGTCCGTGCAGTACTTCTGCCAGCTGGTGTCTTCGTCACTGTCTTGGTCCTTGTCCTTGTCCGAGTTCCCGTCGTTATAATGCATTTACACTTGGTGTACAAATTCAGCATTTATACGAATAGTATCAGGTAGAGTACACATACCACTTGCTCAATCACTGGTCTTCCCTGTGATTGGAACTTGTCAAGGACCGCGGGCGCCACTGTACGCTTGGTTGCACCAGCCTTAGACACTGTAGTAAAAGCAGTAGTCGTCGAAGTTGAAGTTGTAGTTGCCGTCACGGTGATCACCGCTTCGGTAAAGACCGACGTAGTAGTTGTAGTAGTCGTGGAAGTCACGGTAGGTGCTGTTCTTCTGTATTATCACAATAGTAAGCGAAAAGTCAAGTAATGTAGGTTTGAGGTATGTTACGTTCGAGTGGTGCTTGTTGTCAAAGTGATGGTCCGCGTATAAGATCTTTTCACGGTGCTGGCATGGCCATTTGTCGTCTTTGTGGTCGTAATTGTGTGAGTTGGTTGCGGGAATACGCTAGAACAAAAGGATTGACCCAGTGCATGTCCGGAGAGGGCGGTCACCCAAGAGCGAATGCCGACGGAAGAACATGGATCAATAGGGACGCGTGGGGGGCCTTGAGGAGGACCATGAGGAGGACCATGAGGGTTTCCCTGAGAGCCGTGGCCAGAGCCATGACCAGACCCTTGACCAAAGCCTTGACCAGATCCGTGACCAAAGCCTTGAGAGCCATGACCAAGCCCCCCACTGCCACCACCGCGCTGTGATGACGCGATGGTGACAAGGCTGCCAAGTATTAGCATGAAAGGAAGAAGCATCATGAGATAACGATACGTCTTCTGCCCAAAGAGTGCTGAAAGCTGACGTGGGGTAAAGTTGACCGGGAACTGGGTGTTACTGTAGCTTAATACATATTGATTTACTCTGGGGGATGAACACAGACAGTAGCAATTTTAAAATTGAAAAGGAGGGACGGCTGGTGCTCTTGTGGCTGTCAGGACACGGAATACAGCTTTCTAAGCCGCTTTGTAGAGCCTATAGAAACTGACAAGAGCGGCTTGCCATGTTGTTGTTGAAATAGGAGCCCAGCCTCCTTCTTTTCGGGCTTCACGCTCCACTATAGACTAGATACATATACCTTTCTCTACTCCCATAGATACGTACAGATACTCAACCAACTAATCAATCACTTCACTCACCATAACCTCGTTCATCTCAACAGTTGTAAATCTACATTATTGGAGTTATGTGCCAGTGTGCTTGCGACTCGGCAGGATGCCGTGTGTCACAGGTCTAAAGCATAGAATTAGGGTTCGTAGGCTGGCAATGCGGTATAGGGGCATCGGTGATTTGTCAAAGTGGAATTTATAAGGCTGAGACCGGATCGAAATTACATGCACAAATCATAGCGGCTCTGCAGTCCATGACATCGGCTGAGACTTGATGAGGTCTATGACCCGGAATACGGCAGTGAAATATTCCAGTCTTGTATTTCTTAGAGAATGGCCCATCCGCATGTAGAAGTTATTCTCTGGCGCATTTGACATGATTGGACGCTCTCTCAAGTGTATCTGCCAAAACAAAACCTTGTCTTGTCGCGTTTGGATAACTTCTTGACCCTCGCGAGGCCCTGGGCAAAGGGGGAAATGGCTCGATGATAGGTGAAAGCAGGCGGCGAGAACAAAGTCCGTAGGATGAAGCACCCATATTCACGTACGAATAACCATTGGGTCATTGGCGGTATTGTTTAGCATCAGCGCTTTGGGTTTAGGTCAATAAAACCAATGGGTGGTCCCTTGGAAGCTACAATATTGAAAATGTCAACTTTATAAAAGATGCTATCATGAAATATGATCCACAGCAGGAGTAGATAATCTGTTCAGGCGAATTCAAGCTTCCAACATCGTGTGTCTAGCTCTTGTATGCCTAGATTGTGCCACTAGGCGCTAGTTACTGTTGAATAAGCAAGATGTGTGTCTTTGTTAGTACTGGTTCAATCTCTCACACAAGGCACATGGAATCTAACCATTCGTAACACATGCTGGCCAATGGAGCTGATCAGCCCGTTTGTGAAAGGCAATGTAATAACGCCAGAGCGGTGAAAGGTGGAGGCATATTATAGGCGGAAATCGCGTGACTGATCACATATCCAGTGTCCTGTTTGCTTGAGGGAGGCGTACAGGCTTATCCTTGATAGCAAGCTAATATTGGCACAATGTTCTATGCAGACACATGCATTTACTCTTGTTTGCAGAAGAGGTGAGGGGAGCGTGAGGGGCAGCCGCTATCGAATCTCTTTGAGTAGTTCATGTGAAACCATTACGCCCACTTCAGCTGAAGACATGGTAGCACATAAATCCGCTATTCGTCATGTTAAAAACTTGGATAATTCAGCAAGTTTGAACTCAGAAAATTGGATACATGATCATTGAATCATTCGACGCAGCTCTTAAGCATTTCGACGACTGACTGGAGTACAGGATCTGAACGAAAAACACAAACCAAGCAACTGCACGTAGGTATCATGGACGCTCTACTCACCCAAGAATTATCACACTTCATCATTGGAACTCTTGTGGGCAAGTTGATCCATCTCAATGTGTTTATTCGCCGCGAGTGGCATAAGTCGGCTCCTACCATTTTCATACTTCACGCTTCATCCGCCATGATCCTGCTTATTGCTAGGTGCTTGGTCGCGGATGACGAAGCCATGAAGATGGTCACGGGAACCACAATGGTCTTCTTGGGATACATCACTGGGCTCATGACGAACATGACATTATACAGGGTCTATTTCCATCCCCTTGCGAATCATGGCTTCAAGGGACCACGGTACGCCGGGATGACCAAGCTTTGGCATTCCTGGGCAGCTAGAGATGGACAAAACCACCTGCTACTGGAGAGCCTCCGTCATCAGTATGGTGATTTTGTGAGAACAGGTGAGGGGAAACTTTTCAAAAAAAAAAAAAAAAAAAAAAAACAACGGAATAGGATCGTCTTGGATGACACGTCATGTGGTTAAACAGGCCCTGCGGAGCTTACTGTCTTCCACCCAGCGGCCCTTGCAGCTATCAATGGACCCAAGTCGACCTGCATCAAGGGCGAGTGGTACGACATCTTCTATCCGAATATGCAATCTATAGTTACGTGCCGGGATAAGGCGGACCATGCAGCACATAGGCGCGAGTGGAACCGGGCGTTTCTTCCTGATGGTAAGCAGCTTCTATGTTCAAGTAAATCTTGAGACTCACACCATTGAATAGCCCTTGCACATTATGGCGATGTATTCTCGAACAACCTGGAAGCGCTAGAGGTCTACCTAGATTCTTGCGCCAAAGACAACCAGCCTTGCGAGATGCGCGATCTTCTACTTTGGTTCAGTTTCGACGTCATGGGCGAACTAGTTTTCAGCACTTCTTTTGGCATGGTGCGGAACAAAACATGGCACCCCATTGTTCGTCATGTAAAAGAAGGCCTTCACCTTATAGGTCTCCTCAGTGCTGTCCCTTGGCTCACGCAAATCGGCTTCAGGTTAGCACCGCCTGTCAGTATCATACGAAATTGGCACGGGCTGGTGGATTACTGCAAAAACATAATTCACCAGCGCATTGAGAAAAACACCAATGGTCAAGCCGGACACGACTTTATGCATTACATGTTGCTGCAGCAAGAAAGGTTTGGGGATAATGGCGGACCTTCATGGCTTGTAGGCGATACTTTGATGATGCTCGTGGCAGGCAGGCAAGTTAGATACTCACGCCCTTCCCTGATTCCTCATCTTTGTGAATCTTGCTCAAGTATGGCTCGCTGACTTTTTAATAATGACTAGTGACCCAGTTGGAACTTCCATGTTGTTTATTCTATACAATTTGGTCAACCATCCCCACCACGCTGAGTTGATCTACCATGAAATAGAAGGTATTGATATCGACGATAACAAAGCTCTGAGTCAGCTAAGTCATTTGAATGCTGTCATTAATGAGTCTTCTCGCTTGGGTCCGTCAATACCCACTGGTGGAAATCGAAAAACTGGGCCAATGGGCCTTATGATTGGCCAGACCTATATCCCTCCGGAAACGACCATAGTGGCTCCACGTTATTCTATCTTTCGAAGTATGTTCGTGTCCTTGTCCTTAACACTTAATAAAGAGAGTGTCACGCTGAACATTTCTATTTTCCAGGAGAAGATTGTTTTGAAAAGGCAGATCAATTCATACCTGAACGATGGACTACACGTCCAGAAATGGTTCGTGATTCAACTGCCTTCAAGCCATTTGGAATGGGTAAGTCATGAACCCCAGACCTCGACCCCCCGGCAGTAGATGGTGCACGGCACTGGGACCATGTAACGGTGGGATTGATGACAATTATACAGGGGATACCTCATGTCTGGGTCGGACCTTGTCACTTCGCATACTACGTCGAGTCATTGCGCAGCTCGTCAAGAAATACGAATTTCGGTTTGCTCCAGGGGAAATTGGGTGCCATGTATACGGGGATCTCGCTGATCATTTCTCGGCGACCCCTGGTCAATTGCACCTGTGTGTCAAGATTCGGGAGCAACAGTGATTGATATTCTTTCATAAAAGGTCGTATGTAGCAGCATATCACCAACCGACCTAGATCATTAGTATTTCTTGCGATGAATAATATTTGATGTGTAAATCTGAATATTTAAGTAGAGCAGAAAACTCAAAATCCAACCCCTTGAATTTGGTGCTGTCAATGAATGCCCCCAAGCTGCAAGTAACCCCGCCCTGGGGGTTTATAGTCCTTGGCTCTCCACCACACATCCGACCACCGGCAGATCGCTAAAGATGATCGACTTTCATCAGGGTCTTCTCCCCGCAGGCTTTATAGCAACCTCCCACGTGTACAGGAGACGCCTGTCAAGCCGTGTTCTACCGTCATACCTAGCCTCAATTGCTTCACTACCTGGCTGGTCAGCTAAACGACATGATGCTGTTGAATTCCAGTCTACCGAGCGTCTTGTGGCTCATCATGGCGGCAGCCATCAGCCGCTCTGCGGCCAGTGAAGCTCTGCACAGGCGAGAATACTTTTTCGTCGGCGGCGAATACGTCAACACGACGACCGGGACGCTACGACAGAACCAAATGTACGTGGAAAAGTTGACTCCGGCCGCAAATTCTTCGCAGCCGTACCCCCTGATACTGTTCCATGGGGGCTCTCAAGATGGTACCGTGAGTAGGAAATTCATTCATAATCCCAGCTTGCAAAAAGAGAGCAAGATGCGGAGAATGCGAAGCTGAAATATGCTGACTCGTCTATTTTCCTTGTCACAAGAATTGGCTGAATAAGCCCGACGGCGGCGTGGGCTGGGCGTCATGGTTTCTGGATAATGGTTACGAGGTCTATATCGTCGACGAGCCATCGCGTGGCCGGTCGGCGTGGAATGCCGCAGCTGGGTTCCCGACCACCACTTTCTCGGTCGAGGTGATCACTTCTCGGTTCACCGCGACTCTGAATTCTACCGCGTGGCAGCAGGCCAAGCTGCATACTCAGTGGCCTGGTGTGAGTAGACGTGCCCTTCAGCCTCTTTCTTGATATCCTAGGAATTGGTCTTACAAATTCTGCATATCAAATAGATATCCCAAGTACTTGCTGACAAATTATATGAACAACACAGTCGGGAGTCCCTGGCGATCCCGTATTCGACACCTACTACGCTTCTGTAGTCCAAGGCATCGCCAACAACACGGAGCAAGAGCAGGCGGTGCGCGAGGCGGGCATAGCGCTGCTCGACCATGTCGGACCAGCCGTGGTGGTGACGCACTCTCAAGGTGGTCCCTATGGGTGGTCGCTGGCAGACGCGCGGCCGTCTCTCGTCCGGGCCCTGATCCAGATCGAACCCAAGGGACCGCCGTTCCGCGAGGAAATCTTCTCCTCCGACTATACGCGGCCCTGGGGCCTGACCTCGATCCCGCTGACCTATGACCCTGTGCCCACTAACCAGTCGGCGCCGCTGTCCATGCACCTCGTCCCCTCCGACTCTGCCAACCTGACCGACTGCATCCTGCAGGCTGAGCCGATTCGTCAGCTGCCCAACTTGGCCAAGGTTCCAATATTGGTCGAGACGGGCGAGGCCTCATATCATGCTGCCTACGACCATTGCACCGTTGCTTTCCTCCGACAGGCTGGTGTCCAGGTCGAACATCTCGAGCTGGGAAAGGCCGGGATACATGGCAATGGACATAGTAAGCAGACCAAGACGCGACTTTTATCTCGTTTGACCTGGACCGAACAATACTGACTCCGAGGCTTCTGGCAGTGCAATTTATGGAATTGAACAGTGACGAAATCGTTACCAAGCTCCATGCGTGGATTCTCACCTCAATTCAAGGTTGAAATATGTTCACCAACGTGTGCTGAACCTGCTTCACGGCATATTTTTGATGAGATTGCGCCAAGGCAATGAGGACAAACGCTTTCAAAGTAGTGTGTAGTGCATGTGATTTCATGTTCTAGAGTATCTGCATGTGACAGATGTACGATGGATACAAATTTGAGAAACATGTATGCACTGACGCTGAATCCTTTTCTCCTTTCCGTGACCTTCCAAAGTCATTCTTTTTTCCGATGCAAACAAAATACAATGAATACTCCTAGACAAGACCCATCAACGGAGCAGTCGCCTTGTGGACTGTACAGCCTCCTCACCCTTTGATAGAAGAAACAACACGGAACACCAATAATGCCAGCCGAAACATGGAAATCTACTATAAACCGCGTGCTCCTTCATATTACACATGACGCAGAGAGCTTTCGCTCTCAAGATCGTACATACGTCTCCGGCTCCCCACAGGCGCGAGGAAGGACCATGAGCACGACCTTCCATAGCCACGATCATTTATTAGACGTCTTCCAACTCTCAAAAGCCGCAGCGAGCTTCACGGCAGACTCTGCCTCCTTCATCTGCAAGACCCAGGTTTCTAGGCCAGAACCATCATCTTTAGAGACCATAACTCGAACGGTCTTTTTGTCGGCCTTGTATTCAGGGCCTGATAGCAAGCTCTTATTCATGGCAATGTGGCCACGAGGGTCGGCGCGTAGGAGGATGCGCACCTGGCCAGTGTTCTTATGCTTGAGAAGACGCAATTGACCAACACCTTGAGTCTGCCAAGGGGACTTGGACGCCGGGCTGTCCTCGCCAGGCTTGACATCGACATATTTAATGGCCTTGGCCCGAACTTCATGCAATACCTCTTCATCTTCTTCGCCTGGGCCACCCTCGGTCAAGGAAATCTGTTCCTGGGGTGGTTCAGCATCCCCATCAGCTTGGGCAGCCTGTGGTTCGGGGGTTCCGCCGTTGACAGGTGTGGTGTTGATGCTTGAAGCCGCGGGAAATGGTGAATTGGCACCAGGGGCACCATTGGGTTGCAGGCCGCTAAAAATACTGGTGGCCGCCGAAGGCTGAGGCGCGAATAAGTTTGAGGAACTTTGGGTAGGAGTGGGCTGAGGGGTAGCCGAAGTAAAGCTGAAAGTAGGGGCAGGAGTCGCACCGTTTGTCTGGTTGCCAAAAAGAGGCTTGCTCTGATCAGCTGGCGCGGGCGCCGAGGATGACTGTCCGCCGAATTGGAAGTTAAAGGACCCAGATGGGGTAGGCGTGCCCGAAGCACCGCCACCGAAAGACTGGGATGGGCCATTTGTGCTTGCAAAGGGGTTGGGAGAATTACCACCAGCACCAGCACCAGCACCAAAGGTGAATGACCCTCCAGTAGGAGCTGGACCTGCGCCGAAGGTGAACGACGGAGCACCAGTCGCATTTCCGTTTGCCTGCGAGTTCTGACCAAATGTGAATGACGATGAGGCATTGTTATCGACACTGGGAGCAGAACTCTGCTGCCCAAAGGTGAAGGAGGTGTTGTTGTTGCCACCAAAGGGGTTGCTAGGGGCAGGAGCATCTGCTTTGGGTGGCTGAGTTCCAAAGACACCCGATGCCTCAAAAGATGGTGCAGGCGAAGGGCTTGCTTGTCTGGCTGCTCCAGCGCCAGCAGCTCCTCTTAATCTCTTTGGAGTCAAGATCTTTCTTCCCGCAACAGGGCTGTTGGGTGCAGCAGAGTCTCCGGTAACGTTGCTGAACATAGTCTTCTTCTCGGGTTGGCTACTGGCCGGTGCTGTCGATTGAGACGCACCAAATGAGAATGATGGAGCTGATGGCTGGCTTGCTGCATCGTTGTTGGCATCAGCTCTGCCAAACATGACCTTTTTAGCCGGCTGAGAATCGTCCTCAGCACTTCTCTTCGAGGAAGTGGTACCACTACCCGCACCAAAAGGATTAGCAGGCTGTGCTCCGAAAAGATTGCCAGTCGCGGCTGATGAGTTGTTATTGCCAAAGAGAGGTGCCGAGGAACCCGTGGCAGTGTTGCCAAAGAGATTAGCGGCGGGCTTTGGCGGCTCTGTCGAGGGTTGGAAGCCGCCGAAGAGTGGTGCAGCACTTGGGGTTGAGGGAGTTTCGGTGGTGGATGTTCCGAAGCTGAAGCCGACTTGAGACGGCTCTTTCTGAGCTGCCGAGAAACCGTTGGATGTAGGCTGGGCTCCGAAGGTAGGTTGCGATCCAAATAGAGACTTCGGCTGCTCTTGTGTCTCCGCAGCAGGCGTCTCAGCTGGCTTGCTAGATTCCCCAAACAGCGACTTAGGAGCTGGGGTGGAACTTCCAAACGAGAACGTCGTAGCTGGTGTTGGTTGTTGGGTGCCAAAAATAGACGAAGTAGCAGCAGGTGTCGCACCTGTCTTGTCGTTCTCGGCAGGCTTCGAAGAAGTACCGAATAAGCTCTGTGAAGATTGAGCAGGCTCGCCGTTCGACTGGCTGGATGGCTTGGCGCCAAATAGCGAACTCGTAGATGTAGACGATGCAGGCCTCTCAGTATCGGGCTTGTTGAAGCTGCCAAACAGTGGCTGCGAGGGTTGTTGAGCGCTCTCAGCGGGTTGTTCTGGTGATTTGACTCCAAATAGAGATTGGGTAGGCTGCTCTGCGGGCTTGGTTCCAAATAGAGATTGAGCAGGCTGCTCGGCAGACTTAGCACCAAACAGAGATGCAGTAGGTTGATCTGGCTGTTTCGCGCCAAAGAGCGATTGAGAAGATGATGATGACTTTTGCTCTTTATCGGCCGGCTGCTCTGAGGGCTTCGCACCAAACAAGGACTGCGCTGGTTCTTCTGGCTTCTTTGCACCAAATAGAGATGCAGCGGGCTCTGATGGTTTTGTTGCAAAGAGAGGTTTCGGGGCTTCGTTTGCGGGTGTAGGCTTGAAAAGGGAGTTTCCAAAGAGCGACGATGACGAACTGGGCTGCGTCTTCTCAGCTTCCTTAGATTCAGTGGCTTTGTCTGCGGCTGGAGCAGGTGTGGCAGATGTGAAACTACTATCCTTGCCGCCAAAAGTGATAGGAGTGGTTGCGGCGTTGAAAGTGAAGTCGCCAGGGGCCTTGGCTGGAGTCTTTGTTGACTCCACTCCGTTGGCAGCCTCCTTGGCTGGCGATGGCGCACGAGACGTCTGTTCAACGGAAGTCTCCCGTAGTGGCTGGCCATCAGATCCAAACGATACGCGTCCGAACAGACCGCCTTTTGCCGCGTTGGCTGCAGGCTTCTCTGACAGGTCTTCTGCGGATTTATGGAAGCTACTAGCAAATGGGTTAGAGGTAGTGGCGGCGGGTTTGCTGAGACCAAAAAGTGATGGCGTCCCGGTACCAGTTGTGACCGGTGGTGTAGCAGTGCCAGTACTGGCCACCGCGCTGGGCTCGTAACTCGGCGGAGCATCTTGACTGCCAGTCTCGGGCTGTGACTGATCAGATTCCGAGTCACTCTCATCGTTGTTCTCCGCACCACTGTTGTTTGCCGAACTCTCAGATAGATAGCCAAAGATGTTTGTAGCCTTGGGTGCAAGGCTCGAGCCAAACTTGTGAGTGGACAGCACTGAATCTGAGCTGGTGTTCAGTGGCTGACCTGGCTGGAACTGGGTCGACTCCAACTTGGAAGTGTCGACAATGCCGTTGGACGGCGGACCGTAAGGGTTTGACTTGACGGCAAAGGCGGATTTGGGAGCATCAGTGGCCTTTGATACACCGAAGAGGGGCGTCATGGGCGCGCCCGAGGTGGCGCTCGCGCTTGCACCAAAGGCGGGTCTCTTGAGTGGTGATCCTACAGGAGTTGAGCTCCCCGATTGAACATTGTTAATAATGCCCTCCAATCTGGAACGCGCGGCAGAAGGTGTGGATTTTGTAAGCTTGCTTCGCGAATTCTCGTCGACATCTTGACCCTCGTCAGCTTTGCGCTTGCTCTTCATGGGAGTTGGGGCGAATCTGTGAGCCTCCTCAGCAGATGCCGGGTCAAGCGTTCGGCGCTTGTTCTGGTTGAAGGCAGAGTTCAGTGGCTCGGCACTTCTCGACGGGGCTTCGTCATCAGCCTTGCGCTTGGTCATGGCATTGACTGAGTTGCTCTTCGCAGCACTGCTGATGCTAGCCGACGGGACCTTCTGAGACTCTGGTGCGGGCTCCGGCAGGTTGTGTGCTTTGCGCCATCTGCGCATAACTTCCTCTGAAGGCTTGACATTTTTAAACTCGTAGAGACCGTACCGCAACATGATGAGACCACGACTCTTCTCATACTCTTTGGCAAAGTTCATGATATTCAGTTTCCAGTCCTTTTTCGCGAAAATTTCATTGGCGGCAAACTTGAGTCGCCGTAAATCGAGAATACAGAAGAATTGTCTTCTCTGGTCATCGTCAAATTCCGGCGGGCATTTGTGTGCCAAATATTGATCGGCATATACCGTGCCTTTGCGGTTCTTCAAATTGTTGGGGACAGCTTCTGATATAGCTGCGCCCGTCAGCCCGGGGTCTGGGGAAGGTATCCGCTGCTTAAACAGCTCCTGCGAAGCCGTGCCAGCCATGCCATGTCCAGTGCTCTTGGACGCAAGTTTGCGCACCGATGCGGGCGTCTTGGTCACCTCTAAGGGAAGCTTGGGGGCAAAGGGCGTGGTGCGACTCGGCTTAGGAGTTGTCGTTGTCCTAAAGAGGTCCTTGACAACAGGAGGGTTAGAAGTGGTCGGGGCTCCGGCAGCAACGCGACTCGGCCGTTGAGAGCTTCGAAGCGGCGAAGCGCGACTCATGGGCACAAGAGAGGACCGAAACCTGCTAGAAGCTGGTGTGACGGAGCTGTGAGAGCTGGAGTTTGCGCTTGGCCGGCGCGGCGTTGGGATGGGGTTGAAGCTCGCAGACATGATGGCTAAAGCTCCTGACTGAAGTTGTGTGAGAAAGGGGATAGCTCGGGCCCAGCGATGGCGAGACTGTGCCTAGTCGCGAACGAAGCTCAAAGTTGAGCAGAAGCCGTACCGCGCGCGCTGATTAGGATGGACTCGTCTAGAGGTCGATGGGTCGACGTTGTAGCATGCTTCGAGGCACCGAAGACAGGGCGAGGCAGGAAATGCCTTGGAAGGGCCAAGGAAGGCAGATGCGGAGGAAAAAGAAAAAAAAGGAAGAATTCAACTGATGGCCAATGGTCAATGCAAACCAACAAGTTTCATCCTTTGACACGATAAAAATCGCGTGTTTGGGGGGTTGTTTGATCCCGGCGTGATGGGTCGTGTATTGATTTTTTGGCGGTTGGTATTTTTCAGGCGTTGCAGAAATCGCAGTCGGGTCGTCGTTATTTTGGGGGTGGATCAGCAAGCACAAGAGGTGGGATGGGCGCAGGCACGCCACTAGGAAGGCAGGCAGGCAGGGAGCAGGAGGTAGGTAGGTAGGTAGGCAAGCGCGACCGTGGCTTCCTTGCTTTGGCTCTGGCTCTGCTTTTTTTTTGCTTTTTCTTTCTTTGCTTTGCTTGTTGGGTGAAGTGGTAGCAGCCAGTGGTAACAGCGGGCAAAGTCGCAGCTGCTACTGGCTACTCCCTTTTTAGCTAAACCAAAAATACGAACCCGGCAAGCCTAACCTAAGACCTAATATGCACGGACCACTTCCTTGTCCAAACACTTGACTTTCCCGTTCCCGCCCGTCGTTCGCGTTCAATTCAATTCCACCCAACACGTCCCAAGCAAAGCTCTCAAGGCTCCTCTCATCCAGTCCTACTACCTTTTATGCTGACCAGTTGCACCCCATCCATCCCTGCTTAACGTACCCTGCTGCTGCTGCTGCTGCTCTCAATGCTCATGCCCGCGTCGGTACCCTTTTTCTCGTGCTTGCCTTTCAGTGTCAGCTCGAGCGCGTCAAGCTCACCCGCGTTTTTTGGCGTTCGCGTTTTCCTTGATTGAATCAATCCATCCATGTCTGCAGGTCCTTTCTAATGCCCCTGCATCTATTCGCGTCTCTCCCTTTTTTTGTTTTCCTTCTCCATTTTCTCAATTCGGACAAAGTGACCTCTATAAACTCTATTAGCATCTGGTCAACAGTAAGGTGCTGTCAACAAGATTAGTCTGCTGCTAACATTGAGTGTTCGTTAAAGGCAGTTATAGTCAAGCCTGCTGTCTACCTAAGGTAGACTATACCCACGCACCTTTGATCTATTCCAAGCTAAATGGCTCAAGTCTGGCTCAAGGCCAATTTCAGCAGCTCTGACCCTATAAATTGCCATATGTGTAAATATATATCAGACTGCGGCAAGATGATACTGTCGAGTGACCTTGAGCGGGACCTTAACTGATGACAGAACTGTACGGTAGCTCGATTCTCATTAAAAAGCAAACGTTTGGCAAATGGATGACAGGTTGGGATTTGAAGCGACATGCAAAGAAAGACTTGTGCGTCCTGCACGTAAGCTGAATCACAAGGCCCAGCCTCGATGCAAGGCACCGCAATTGTTCAAGTATGTGCAGCTGCATTTTCCACGTCCTTGGAAAGACACATATCAACCCGCAGTCTGAGTCATCCTGCAATACAGGGTAAGCTTCTTGTTATTAGACAGTTCGCACAATTACGCAGTAGCTTGGGCCTTTTTAACATTATACTTGTATTGGTGGTGTGTCATTCTCTTATCTGCTCCAGGAGGAGGGAGGGTTCAGTCCCGCCATCCAAGCGTCTATAAGCAACCATCACAAACGCAGCCAGACTGTTCTTGAAGTTGGGCCAACTGACATGATATCAAACATGTACAAGTCCTCGCGAGGTCCTAGATTGCGGACATCAAGTACAATGGTATTTACAGCTTGGCCTTGGTTTGGGCCTTCTTCAAGATCGGTTCCATCTTGGTTGCCTTCATCACGTCACCCTTGACCTTGAGCTTTCCCGACATGAATAGTCGTTGTGCGTTGGCTTGTCCGGCAACCAATTTGCCAAAGTCCTCGTCGGATAGCGAGAGGGTGACTGTAGTCGGGAAATCCATTGTCAGCAACTAACTTGTAAATGTAGGGCTACTTGCGCCAGCTGGTCTTTTTCTTCTTCTTTCGGGTTTTGTTGTCGAGATGTTGGGGGGCGCATACCTGTAGGCTTGTTTCCTAATCCCTTGCCGACTGTACCAGTCTGCTTGAGGTCGATATTCCAGCTTTCTGTCTCGCCGGCCTTGTTCTTTAGCGTAAAGGCAAACACGGCGTTGCCCTGCTTGATGGCATCCTTCTTGTCGGCCTCGCTGGAGCTGAGCACAGCATTGATGGCCTCGAAAGCAGCCGAGGACGGGAACTTGTCTGGATAGAACGGATATTGTTAGATGATTGCGGCTTCGATGATGCGACGTGGTGGAATGGGACGCTGGTGCATACCATTCTTGAGACTCATTTTGGCGTTGATATGTACTATTATGCAAGCTGATCGCTGTAATTAGTTCTCAGGTACTTGAGAATGGAATCGTGTTGTTTGAAGGTAAGATTAATCGGTGGTTGCAAGTGGTTGAAGGAAGGATTATTTCGTGGGCGAGTTGGTCGTCATAAGCCTCTTGAGTATGACATCGACCGACTCGATCGACAACCACATGTCAATTGTACCTCGGCGCACGTCTGCTGCTTTCATTCATGTGGTTGAACCGAGCTCCCTGTCTCTAGCGCTAAAGGTACCGAGCACCGAGCACCGCTAAGAACTGAGTGAGTCCTCTCATCCCCAGATTCAGTCTACCTTAATCTACGAGTGGGGAAGATCCGCGTCCATTGTCATGGCTCTGGGTTCGAAGCACCTAGAACCCGGCACGATTTCCCCAGAGTCCAGCAAACTGCCTGTTTGAATCGGTAGTTTGCTCCATGCATATTTTTAAGATTGATTCATTTGATAGATGGATTGCACTCGGAGTTGATCTTGTGAAACTTTCTACGAGCCTGCTGCCTCGGTACCCACTAGTCTAAACAACTGTATTGAATCATGCGACAAGGAAAAAGTGATGTGGCAGGAAAGTTGCAACAAAACGGTACAATACTCCGATAGAGAATATGTTCGTAGTGTGCTGAGTTGATAACAAGACCATCAGCATTGCTGGGGATCTCGCGGCGTTGACTGAGGGTAGGGTGGATCATGACGGTCAGTCCCCCAGGGCCCCATTAAAGAGACTTCATAGCCACATGGATTCACTCCAACTGCCGAGCAGTCATAGGTCAAAATAGTTAATATCTGCCGGGCTGAATAGAATGGAGGAAAAGAAAAGGAATGAAGAATGAAAAAAGAAACACAAGAAAAGGGGAAGGCCGGTGCGAGAAAAAAAAAATCAAGTATGTATAGCAACGGTAGACTCGGGATATATGGAATGACTTTCCAATAAGCTGCGTGCGGGTTGATCCAAAGTATGTTTACGGCATCAATCTGTACGAAATATCTTGGCTTTGAGCATAAATCTCGATACTCGAAAGCCGGATCAGGCGTCATGAGGGAGGTTTGCAACACTTGGTCGGCGATATGAGAACATTGATCAAACCCCGACTCGAGACCAAAGGGACGACGCCCAGTCAGTGAATGAGCCATTCTTGGCGGTACTCTGCAAACGCTGTCGGGTTGCATGCTTCCCGTCCAGACCTACCCACGTCGATTGCAATCTCTGATCTCTGACCCATCGACGTGGGAGGACCATTTTCTAACTTTGGGCATTGAGGCATGCACGAATCGACAGGCAAATATGGGACCTTGTCTGTTTGTAGTAATTGCGCTTTGAGGGGGGTGTTGTGCCCAGCAGTCAGCTCCCGCCCTGGACCTCCGCCGGTGTACATATATATACCTTGACCCGACAAGCTGGAGAGGGGAAGGGTTGAAAAACCAGACGCCATTCCAGTCACCGATACTTGTGTACATAAATATATTCAGGGATATGTATGTCGCTGGTCCCCCGTCAGCCAGGTACTCACGATGTGCACGTCAAGCCTCGCGGCTGGGCATTTTCTACACCGTTATAAAGCCCCTCCATGCAGTGTCCTTTGGCCCATGCTCTTGCTTGTTACTAATGTACGCCTGCAAGCTCTATCCGTCGCGGCTGCACTGGCGTTCCGGACCTGGTGTTTCCATGGTTCCCGGGATCTTTTTGTTGTTGGAGGTTCATGGCCTGATTATTATTCGAGGCGTCTCGGTTGACCTTGGACTTGGCCCGTCAAGCGAGATCCCAAAGTCCCCTTAGCTGGTAACGCTCGGGCTGCAAACAGGTGTTCTCGATACGTAGTAACATTGTGCCTGGGGCGCCAGCGCCGAGACTGACCAACTGTGTGTGTCGGAGTGGCCTGACTAGGCATGGGCGGCAGATCTACAATAGGTTATTCTGGATTAGCAGGGCCACTGACATCCAGCAGCAGTAAACAGCAGAGCAAGAACAACACAATGGTCCTATGCTCTCGCCCAGGTTGGCGCAGGTAACCTGCCTGTACATGCCTTGTCGAGAAGGAAATGCCACCAATCAAAGGTGGTATGATCAGATAAGTCATCCGGCCTCTCTGGAAACCTATCGAAGCAAGAGACCGGTGAGCGTGCTCTCAGTGTCTGCATCTATTGCGCCAGCCAACATCGGAACCCGGTTGCGACGGGGCGGCTGCTGCCATGCAGTCTCTAGTATGTAAATGAGCTGGGCTGTTTTCTCTCTCTCAGACTTTAGGGTGCTGTAGACAGTCTTACCAGCATGACGTAGCAATTAAAGTTTTGGAGCTAGCAAACGTTGAAGCAGCTTGGATCTTATACCCGTGCAACGTGTAAGCAAAGGGGAACACACAACACGGACGTGCATACGAGCAGGCCATACTATAGGATTCGTTGAAGATTAAAGCTGAGCTTCTAGTGTAAATGTCCCCGGCCAAGGTAATGCATATAATATACATAGATATACATATGGCAGCGCAAGTGTCAACCCCCCCGTGTGTTCGGAGTATCCCTGCCGTCATATCATGTCCCTTTGAGGGGGTGAACGCACGGTACTTCGTCGTTGGTGCTCGAAGGCCTGTTACTTTTTAGTCTTTTATAGTATGAATGCCACCAAGACTGGGTTGGGGATTTGTTTTTTTTTTTGCTTCATTCATGCACTCGAAAAGGAAAGCTCTACTCGTAGCGGTCGGCATATATCGAATGAATGGACTGCCGGTCCACCATCCCCACGCGATAAGAAGAGGCCGACACCCCTCCCTAGACTACATTACCTACCAGGACCTACCTACCAACCTGAGACCTCCCTGGTAGACAAAAGAGACCCAGACGTATGATATATGCATTACAAATCATCAACCACCATTCAATCGTGAATCACTATCAATCACCGTCACCTTCACCGTCGCTACCGACCGACTACATTACTTGCATCTCCCTGTCGGTCTTTGCAGGCTTGTCTTGCAGTAGTAGTAGCAGCAGCAGCAGCATCAAGCAGAGCGACGACGCGGACATAATTGGCCCGGCGTGGTGTGAGCCGGCCTGAGCATTGCGATTGGAGAAACAATAAATTTGGGGTTTCTCCTTCAAGGAAAAGGTGGGAGCAACTGACTTGATACCTACATTGTACATTGGCCGGCCTTCCTTGTGTTGTACGGGGTAGCTCCGTTACATAGGTCTCCATCTTCTCACAGGACAAGACAGGCATGATCAGGCAGCTAGGTAGCTGTCAGACCAGAAAATCAAACCCCGATGCGCGGCGGCGCCTAGTGCGCGTCGTTGGAACTCCTCGAATCAATACTTCGTTCGTACACTACCTACTACTACTTACTGCCCAAGAAGTCCAGCCCAGAATTGAGCCGGCCAGCCGGTGACCCTTCAGTCACGTCGGTCCCATATCTTTCGCGGCTGATCATCGAAAGGGCCGAGCCGTTTTCTGTTGGAGTCAAGTCAGGAGCATAAGTTTCGCTTTGTCATCCCCTTCAAGCTCCTGAATCCTATAATCAATCCTTCTGGGACAAAAAGGTCCCGTAATAAAAATAAGCCTCTCAGCCTCGCTTTCCACCAAGATCATGCTGCAAAGCCCCTCAGCGGCGCAGTTACCACCATCAGTCAATACATTTAGCTGAGTGAGATCCTTATTGAGTGCAACTCTCCGCTCTCACCACTATTTGCCACCTCTTCTCCTCCTGCCGCCGTGCAGCTCCCCCGAACTAGGAGGGAGTAGATATGGAGACCGGAAGACGCGCACAGGGTTGTTGGACGTGCAAACGTGAGTCGAGCCTTGTGCTTGCAGCAGCGGCACAACACACTCGGACACCTGGGCATCTGCGCTGACATTTTCCCGCCAGAACGGAAAATTGGATGCGATCGCGGCGCTCCAGCCTGCAACAATTGCCTTCGGACAGGACGGGAATGTCTGGGGTACGGCATCAGGCTGGCATGGCCCGACCAACCCGACGGTCGTCGCCGAAAAAGTCAACTGCCAGATCATAGCACTCAATTACCTCCGAGTAACTCCAGTTACTATGGAAAGCAGTTTCTAAATGTCACCTACGAAGACTTGGCGCGGATCAGGAGTAGCGACACATTGCATAGTCTCATTCTGCTTCATCTTCCTCCTCGCCCTCGACATGTGTTTCCAATGATCCCAAACCTACTAGAAAGCGAGCCCCAATTGCTACAATACTGTAAGTAGCGATGCAGGTCCGTATAGTTGAGAGTTGCTATACTCACTAATCATGGCGCAGACCGCGACAGACTTTCGCGAATGATTTCCACCATTGACATCAACAATGGCTTTCGCGAAGATCTCTTACCCATGGCGATGTCACCGTACGGTTCGGCCTCGGAAGGTCTCCGGAATGCCATATTCTCCGTGGCTGCTTTCCATCTATGGGGCTCAGAAGGCGCATTGCCTTTCAAGGCGAAAGCGCTCCGGTCCCTGTCATCCTCCCTAGCAGCTGACTCTGTAGGTATAAGCGAGACGCAGCTTGCGACGTCCATGATGCTGTGCGTATACAACGTGAGTGGCCGAGGACGAAATGATAGTGTCATGTTGGCAACGCTGACGCATGCGCCAGGTCTTTGACGAAACGGAAGGCCACTGGCTTCTTCACTTGAACGGCGCCAAAAACATATTACACAGACTCATGTCCTTCCGAGATGGCTATCCCAGATCCGCTTTTCTTTACACCTGGTTCCTCTACCACGAAGTTCTTGGCGAATTTATCGCTCCAGGTCAATACTATCCAGGTGGACCTGCCTCGCTGCAGGTCAGAGGCTACCTGGACATCGATCCAACCATGGTAAGAATCAATGGCGCGTTTGCAACATTTGTCTGGAAGCTGATGAAACAAACAGATCGTTGGCTCCCTGGGCTGCTCCATCGAGGTCATGGAAATCATGAGCTACATCAACGGAATCCGTGCACGAGAAATGCATACAGAAAACGACGAGTTCTCAGCAGAGGAGAAATCTCGTCTCAACGATGAGGTATACTGTATTGAAAGTCGTTTGGCGAATCTGGAGCAGAAGATGGACCCCAGCTATGCCTCCCAGCTGGGCCCACACAAACGCGCAATGATCCTCAGTACCGCTGAACTATACAGAATTGCGACTTTCTTGTACCTGCAAAGGGCCCACAATACCGTACAGGTACACGAGCTCAGGCCAATGTATCTGCAACAGGCCTTTGAGGTGCTGAGATCTCTTGAGGTTTGCACCAGTCCTTGGCCGCTGTTCGTGCTTGCTTGCGAAGCTGATACCGACGAACAACGAATTGATGTCCTCCAGGCCCTGGACAGAATGGACAGTGAACGCCACATTGGCAACATAAGGGTTCTTCGCGACATCATTGAAGTCTTTTGGAAACAGCAGGATATGCACGCCGACACTGGGCGACCACTCAATCCAAAATGGTGGGATGTGATAGATCTCAACATGGCGACTCCGTGGTTTATCTGAGCGCGGGCAGAGAGGATCGGCTCGATCAGCATTGGATAGATCTCGAGATCATAGCACGTCATTTGATATGAAGGCTTCATCGTTTTGGCGAAGCCAAGAGATCATTGCTTATCGAAACTTGATTAGCACAAAGCGGTCGACAGGTCATCCTCCTTACACCACCCAACCACGCATTACGTTGTAGAACGAAACTTGGAAGGACTACAGAGGCATCTTTGTTCTCAATGATGCCACACTTGTATCATGGGCATAATTCCCAGCGACATGGGCATATGGGCAAATCAACGGATGCCACAAGAGGCCAGACCAACATAACAGCAGCCACATCGATAGTCTGGATTTTCTTCACCGCGACAACACTTCAGCCCCTTCGATCCATCCGATTCCATAATATTCGATTATCAGACATTGAGATGCTGTCGCCAAAGCTTTTGGGGGTCGTTGTGCCTTGACCTCCGAGCTTGCTCAATCAGGAGTGCTTCGTATCGGACAACCCGTCTTTGTCATGTCTGAAACTATTCATTGCTGCTTTGTGACGACTTCCCTGACGTCACAAGACAATGAGACCTCGCAGTGGTTAAGACAATCGGTGTGCAACGTGCGCCAATATTTTCCCTTTGCGCAAAAGTTCTGATGTGAAGCCCAGTCGATTGCAACTTCTATGGATCTGGGAGACTTGATTTCCATCACATGACACATTACGGAATAGTCGACCATTTGAGCAGCTTCACGAAAAAATCATCATGACACCTACAAAGACACGAAAGTTACGATCGAGGGAGCAGCCCAAACGGGCAGTCGGGCCACCACGTCCTATATATGTTCCAGAAGTTTGCCAGCGGAGGAATCGCTCAAAGGGCAAAAGGGGCCATTCTCGTAGCTCGAATTCCACTAAACTGCAAACTTCTCGAACCAAGAAAAAGGCCAAAATGTCTTCACGCGTTCGCCTTGGGTCTATGGACTCGATCCTCTTGGACCCATCCGCTGATCCTCTGAGTCGGCAAGACCGGTGGATACCGGAACTTGGTCAACGAACTCAAGTCAGCACAAAGCCGCCGGCTTCTCGTCTTGCCCCAGAACTGTGGGCCTCGTATTGTGCACTCGACGACTACATCTACATACAATATTTGAAGGACTTGCCGGACCAGGAGCAATCCCCGAGTCTCCCGAGGGGTCAACGTTTGCAACCCAGTGAGCGCCCCACTTACGTCGATGCGACCCTTTGGATGGTGTATCGAATGCTAGACGGCTGGATCTTCCGCGCCAGCCTGAGTGCGGAGGAAGCGATTACGTTCCCATTGATGGATGATGTGATGGAATTCCAGTGCGAAGGCGGTGATGCGCAGCCCGTTGCCCCCAAAGGTTGGAGGTGGGAAGACCGTGAATTAGTTCCGGTAGCGCAGACGGGCAGTCAGAGTGCTGGAAAGGCAAAGAAGAAGACGAGCAAGAAGGAAGAAAATCTGCAAGAAGCAAACGAGACGGAGGACCTTTCATTGGAGGCACTCAATTCGCTGGGCGTGGAGTTGGATTTTTGAAATGTCGCAAAGAGAAAAATGGGACCGACGGTACATCTACTTGTGGTCAAATAATCCGGCTTTCATCTTGGTTCGGGAGGCAGTCTGTCTTGTTAAATATAAGCGGTACATAAAATGGATATCTTGTTGCTATAAGCTACATTTTTCAAGACTCTTTCAAGTGCCATTCACCCTGGAACAAACGCCTATAATCTAGGCGGCTAGTCTCTCGCCCAACATATCAATGCCGCTGATGCAATCCGTCTTGTATTTCGTTTTCATGAGAATTATACAAGGTATGTCACATGGCCAAAATGCTCAGATATATGCCAATACCATAGCCGATGAGGCGAAAATAAATTTCAGGGCGGGGGAATCCAACCCATCTCCTCTATGGGCCAGCGGATCCAAAGCCGATGGTTCTGGTCAAGCAGAGCATAAATCCGCGCAATCAAGTGCTCTGGCCAGCCCTGCGTCCACCAATGATTGGATGACTTCTGGAGCAAGGCAGCAAAGAAGGCAAGCAGAACAGCAGCCTCTTGCGGGGTCGGTTCGGTCTGCAGAAGGGGCAGCAATCCATCCGTCACCTCAAACAGCCAGATAAAGGCCATGCGCGCGGCGACACCGTCCTCGTAGACGCCGCTGCCCCGCCGCACCCCGTCGTCCGGGGATGCTGTGCGCCGGCACCCGGCGAGAGCGTGCTCCATCTTGGAGATGGCTTCTAGGTAGACGTTTTGGTTATGGCGCAGCCGCGATACCGTCGCCTCCCGCTCGTTGTCATCAGCTTTGTCTTCTGCGGCCGTGATGGCGGTTGTTGTCTCTTCCGCGATCATCTTCCCAATATTGTCCAAGTGCCTCTTGGCTGGGTCATCATCAGGCAAACGAGCTGAGAACATCCTGATCCACTGATATTTTCAAGGGCGTCATTAGCTACTTGCATCCGGTGATAGGGGTGAAATCTGTACCGGGAATAATAGGAAACAAGCTACTATAAAGAAATGTGATGGAAGGGATGAACTGTTTGATCCACTAAAGGCAGTATTGACACATCTCGTGCATAATGCAACAATATTGCTCCAGAGAGGAAAAAAAAAAACATGGGGATCGCTTACGCGTTGCCTGGCATCGTGTAATAGAGGTTCCAATGCGCCATCCTCTGTGAGATAGGAGTGAAAGAGGCGGGAACCACGCAGCAGAAACATCCAATCTGGGAAACCACTCTCACCGACGAGCAGGAAGTTGGATTTCTGGCGTGGTGCGCCCAGTGCTACGAATCGGAGCGGGGTCAGTACATTTTCATTGATCCTCTTATGGGAGTACGAGTTCCAAGAGTAGTGGCCAAAACGGATAATTGACGGTGATGTTTTCCCAGTAATGGAATCAGCATACCATAGTACATTGTGAGGCTCGAGTAGAGGAAGAGCATTGGTGCATTCTCTGCATTGAGATCTTTCATCAGCTCCACTATATGAGAACAGATCAGCACCATAAGAAAGAAAAGGAGCATGAAACTTCTTACTAGCTGTTCGTGTTGCTGCTTCATGATGCGCTGCTGCCAGCGACGTATAATAGTCAAAGGACTGTTTCCGGTGGTGCGCCAAGTGCATACCGGAGATGGCCAGCAATGTCCTCATGATATAGTCATACTTGAATCCTATCTGCACAAGATTGATCCGGCAGTAGTCCCGCATAACCAGTTGCTCGGACAGGGTGACGTATGTATACGTCGAATAGTGGTGAAGCAATTCGAGATCAGCCATGTTCAGATTGCCTCCCAGTCCGTTTGAAGGAGCCGGGCTGAGAGCCGACACCTTGGCGCAGCTCTCGAGGAAATCGCAGGGCACATTGTGACGGACACAATTTCTGCATTCTGGTTTCTGCTCATCACACTGAGGGAAGGTTGTTAGCGCAGACCATTGAGATCTTGGCTAGTTGTGAGTTGTGACATGGTAATGACAAGGCGACGATACACGGGTATGCAATGCCGTTGCACTACAGCCTTTGTACTGACTACCTGTTTGGCAAGGAACGGCTCATGAAAATGACAGACGGAGCAACAGGCTAGATCTACCTACCTTGACCTTCCTCGACTTACACGTCTTACATCCGCTATCGGCTCGAATCAGGTCAGTCGCCGAGGGTCTTCGTGGGAGTGTCCAGGTGGTTCTTGCAGATCAATGATATACATGGAGTACTCACAGGCGGCTCTTTGCGTGTGAGCGTCTCGACAGCGCCATTCTGCGGACCCTCCCCGACAGACAGACGGATTGAAACTGGTCACCTCCTCATGCAGTCAGAAGGAGTAGAGTTTCAGACTGAATTTATCCTATGATGTTATTCTTGATCCAGCCCACTCCGTTGAAAACGGGTGCAAGACTTCCAGAGATGGATAATGGCATGGGATTCGTTGTCGTCGCAATGCTGTTGATGAGATTGAAATTGGACTGCAGCGCACGTTCACCAGAGTCTTGGGCCTAGGTTTTTGGAACGGTGTTGTTACATTAGGTCAAGTCAAGTTGGGGGGCGTGCGACGGTCGGCGGGGCCTGCACTCATTTCACCGCGCTTCTTCTTCACTGCAAATCCACTAATGAAAGCTTTCCTTGGCTGACTAAATGTGTACGACTACAGGAAATGCGTCTTGAACACGACCTGCGCAAGCACTCGAAGACGTCAATACACACCTAGGTGAGCTGTTTAGAACGCGTAGCCTCTCATCGTAGCCTCTAGATGTAACAGAAAGAGACACTTGAGGTCTGCTGCGCCAGGCTTGGCATGCATAGCATTTCAGCCCCTGGATAGAATCGTGGAGGCTACCTAGGTACCTATCTGGGCCCCCTTAGCGCTCAAGCTTCAGATTCCCATCAGAGACGCCAAGAGGGTGACCCTTTCCTTGCCTACATCAAGTACACTCGTAGCGACTGTGCTCTTCACGATAACCTGGTCAATTCAAAAGCAGGCAGATCCGTCCGGAAAGACCAAAGAATCATTGATTGACAGATTGATGAGACAATACACTTTCTGTTGCTACAGAACATCGCCAACTTGGTTGCATGGCGTCAACCTAATCACGCTCTACTAATATGAAATGGGGTCGGGAATCCACTTGTTTCTTAACCAAACACTCCATCATTCTTTGGCTCGAATTCGATATGAGGTCTCTCCAGAGCAGAAGTGGGAACTTTGATAGGATCATCCGCCGTGATCCCCTCTAGAATTGGGGCAGACATGCCGAGCTACAACAATGCATCAGTATCAACAAGCAGAATTAGAATATGAGGTTTGATCGTGACTCACGACAAAGTATCTGAGCTTCACAGCGTGAAGCATGGTTGCTGCCTTGGTCGTCACCTCGAATCGGAGAACACTCCACCCCAGCGGTGGCAGATCATGCACGACGACAAGCGGCGGATTGTGAAGATTTAGAGAAGGCGCATGGCCATTTACAGCCTCCGCTACCGTCTCATGAGAAAAGTTGGCATGCGCTTGAGATCCCAAGAGCCATGCGGGCTTTCCGTGTTTGTACAGAGGGATGGTGTCGTTGAGTTGATTTTCAACGATGAGGTCCACCACGGAACCCATTGGCAGGCCGTGTATAACCGGCTTCTCTAGGGCACTCTGAGCACTTGGGCTGCTAAAGTTTGTAAAGAGAAGAGGTTCCAAGGCACCTCGAAAGAGCTGCCAGGGCTTTCCATTCAAGAAATATTCAGGGGCAAACTTTTCCGTCTGAGACTTTTGCACTCCAGCTGACAGGTGAAAGGTAAAGTCTGCTGCTCCCTCAGCTAGCGAGTTTCGAGCGCGAGACGGCGGTGCGGGAGGGTATGGGCTCGTCTGTTCTCCGTCAATCAGGCTGCACTTGTCCTTTACGGAAGCGTCGGGTAGGAGACAAATATCATTCTCGTCTACAGCTGGGAGCTGCATGGGTTGGCCGAGAATTGGTTGACGTTTGGCCTGTAAGATATTTATTAGGCAAAAACACTTTTTTATCTCTTCTGGAGTCACAGTCATGGATATGGACATACCGGGTATCTCAAGAGAGCAAAGCCCTGGAGGTTTTGCAACTGGCTTGTCGACGATATGCGCATGGCGTAATCGCCTGGCGCCTGATCAAGCTTGACAAGTATAGTCAATCGTGAAGCACTTGGGATGTAAATGACCTGATTATGTAGACATGAGAAGCTGTACCATAACAAAGGTGGGATGACTTACATCGCCCAGCATCGGCTCGACAAAACCGCCGTCATTAGCGACAATAAAGATTTCGTGATGATCGATGGCGACTCGAACTTCATGTTCGAATCCTACATTTACCAAGTTGAGCATGATGTATCCACGGCCCTCGGTCTCAATAACCTGGAGCCAGAATTAGTCCCATTTTATGCATATTTCGGTACAATCTAGTCTTACCTCGAAATCGGCATCACTGGGAGTACACGAAACTGGTGGAAATCCTGCAGGCTGGATGCATCCTGTCTCATCGAGAATCTGACCGTTGAGCTCATCGTAGCCAGGTGCGCGGCACAGATTACGACCCTTGCCTGAGTGGACGGTTAGTGATCAGCAGTCAGACATTGACTGAAGGGACCATACCGTTCACTAATAGGGAATCATAACAGTGGAACTCGGAACCTTCTGCTCTCATGCGCAGTAGCTTCCAGTTGGTGTCTCTGTGCATGTGATTTTTCAGGGCCAAGTGCTGGATGTTTTGCTCTGCTTCCATGATCTGTCGCAATTCAAGTGGATTGTCGGTTATCAGCTTGTATGGCCGAGGTCGGGCTGGATCTGGAGCCACATAGATCATTCCGTACAGCCCCTGTTAGTGAGTGTCAGTTTTATTCCTCATATTCGCTATCTTGAAGCTTACGTCTGCTGAGGCTGCAGTTGTGTGATCGGCGTACCAACTCAAACCCCAAGCGCCTGTGGTGTCGTGGACATTCGTGTAGTTTCCCCTCGGTAACATGGGGTACTGTCATATTTGTTATTGCTTGACGTTCTCAAAAAGATATCCAGGCATAATCTCACCTGCGAGAGTCCTGCGGTTCCATCGTTCCATGCCTCCGTGCTAAACAACGAACATGAGCCAAACTCATGATGATGATACCGGACCAGATACTTACTGACGATATCCAACTCCAGACCTAGTTCATGTTGTCAGTAAGAGTTCTTTACAGGCATGGGAATGGGACAGAGAACAGCACCAACCGGTACATACCAATGAATGGAAGATTGAAAATAGCTATCGCTGTGAACAGCAATCTCGACCAAATCCCCCTCTTGAGCTTTCAGGGTTGGACATGGCGTTTCACCGTTACAAACAAACATGACTCTCCAACGACCTCCATCTGCAATCGAAAATCAATACGTTTATTCATTGGGTTATTGTCAAATGGCAGGACTTACCGGGGTTCATCCATCGACCGCCAATTTGCAAATCATATTTTCTGACCAACTGCTCTTCACTCTTGGTACTACCCAGATCCAGTAGCTTCAAGAGCTCACCCTTTGTTTGACCAAACCCACGGTAATATAGTGATGAGACTATGATCAGTATGGAAATGAAAATAGTCCAGACGAGCTTTGTACAGTAACTCGCAGGCTTCAAACGTGGACCTGGATGCGCAACCGCATCGTATTCAGCCCGTCTCTTCGAAAGGTCTGCCATTTTCAGATGGATTTTGTTGCTTTCAAGGAAAGCAAAAACTCTCAAACGACAAAACACAAATGACAATCAAGTCAAAGAGGTATACACTGACACTTGTTTCGGCGGACACGGAGAAGACCTTGGTTCCCTTGATGCCGATAGCGATTGCCGCTGTGGCAATCGCCCGGCAGTCGGGTTTTGAGGATCACCGTTGTTGTGATCTCATATCAGGCAACAACTTGATAAATTATCGTCGGCAGTGTGGAATCAGCTAGCTGAAGACGGCTCGATCCGTAAACTAACGACTTGGAACTATGTGATAACGAAGTTGAATACTACCTGACGGCAAACCATTGCGCAACTCTTATTGGATCATGATGGGCTTTGCCACGTGCGTCCTCCTCTGCTGCCATGAGTATAGGCAGGGTATATAGGGGGCCATTAGGTTTGCCGAGACGGACCCTTGGCCCTGTCAGAACTCTGAAAAGTGGACACGGCAATTGGATCTAGAACTAGGCGAGGTATATCGCGCCTCACCTACGGACGACCTGCTCCATGGCCTCCCATCATTTGCATGGAAACATTAGAAAGAAGAAAAAAATAGACCGCTTTGTCTTCTTGACTTCAGCGACGTTTGCTATTGATGCTCATCGTCAGCATGTATATTCAAACTCAGTTTGCGTCTCTTCTCCTTCTCGCGGGCACAAGCCTCGCAAGCCAAGTGAGGAAATACAATTTTACAATCACTAGCCAATGGAGTAGTGGTGATGGGCATGGCCGCCCTGTGTTCATGATCAATGGCCAAAGTCCGGGTCCATTGATCGAGGCGGACGAGGGAGACGAGATAGAAGTTTTTGTCGACAACCAGTTGGCCGCTGAAACCACCATGCACTGGTATCTACAATTACAAACAATAAAAATAACTACACAGGTGCTGACACAAAAGATAGGCATGGCATATACCAGATAGACAGACCTTGGAACGATGGAGTGCCTGGAGTAACGCAATACTCGATGCAGCCACGCGACACTTACACCTATCGTTTCACCGTGCAGCAGCAGTACGGAAGCTACTTTTACCATGGTCACTTCGGCCCTGCCTTTGCTGATGGCATGCGAGGACCAATGTGGATTGCCCCTGCAGCATGGCGACCACGTCCGTACGAGCTGATCTCAGACTCGAGCCATGATGTTGAACAAATGAAGAAGGCAGAGAAGCACCCGTTCCACGTCGTCATTAGTGATTGGAACGCTGAGCCCATGGATATTCTTCTCGTCATGTATCGTGACACGGGGATAGTACCATGGTGCAGCAACTCCATTGTACTGAATGGCAAAGGCAGGACATACTGTCATTCTGCAGAACTCATTGAATCGGTTGGAGGTCCTGGGAGGAATACTCTGGGCTGCTTAATGCAACCTGACCAGGAATTATACTCCAACGAGCAAGTCTGCGAGGCCACTCAGACAGATCTCGAGATATTTCAAGCTGAAGAGGGCCATGAATGGATCTGGATCAACTTCATTCATTCTGGTGCACACCACGAACTTCAAATCAGTGTAGACGAGCACGAGATTGTGGTGGTCGCCGCAGATGGAGAGTTTACCTACCCTCAACGAGTTCATGCTGCGAATTGCAACCTTGGAGAGCGCATCAGGTGAGTTTATTCCAGACTTTGAAGTAAATGAAATGACGGCTAAATCCACAAATTCAGCATTCTTGTTCACTTGAATCAGAAACCTGGCGACTATGCTATCAGAGTGACGTCTCTTCGCCAAGAACAAGTCATTCAAGGTCTGGGAATTCTGCGTTACCCCGGCAGTTCGCATGGGGCGCAAGAAGCTGAACCGCCGGCCACAAAACCATGGGTTCATCTCAATGGCACTCTCATTTCCGACAAACTCCAACAAATGGACGAAATGAAGCTCGCGCCCTTCCCTAGCCGACCTCCGCCGCCTCAATCCGATCACACGTTGAAGTTCTTTGTGAACATGACCGGCACGGGTAGCTGGGCCCTCAACATTGGCCCGCACCAAGCCTTCCGCCAACAGTTGCCGCCTCTCCTATGGGAAGAGGACTCCCGCGGCGTGACCACGTACGAGTCCGACGTGCAGGGCGGATCCATGCAGAACGGATCCGTCGTCGACATCATCTTCACCAACGGTGCCAATGTCAACTCGCAGCACCCGTTCCACAAGCACAACAACAAGGCTTGGGTTATTGGCACGGGCACCGGTGGCTTCCCCTGGGACACCGTCGACGAGGCGATACAGCAGGGCGGCATGGCGGATTCCTTCAACTTTGTCGATCCTCCGATCCGTGATGGGTGCAGATTGGGCAATACTACCGGCGATTGGACCGTCATTCGCTATGATATTGCCTTTCCTGCAGCCAGCATGCTGCATTGTCACATGATTCACCACTTTGGTGTAAGTAGACGATCCCAATATGAACTTTACAATACAGCAAGACTGACTTTAGACAGGCTGGACAACAAGTCGTTTTACTGGAAGGTGTAGAGTCAATGGCCAAGATCCCAGCGGAGATGAAAGATCGAGTGCACTCAAATTTCCGCCCACCACTCCGATATGGACCCCTCGACTAGGTTGGCATTCGTGACAATACGTTATGATGCCATGATATTAGGTATACTCGGAAGACGGATGGACTTTTGAAGAGATCTGGTTGAATGCCACCGAAGACAGCGCAATAGACTTGCCCCAAAATGATGATCAAGATCGTAATTCGTTAAAATATGATGCAGCGAAGACCCGCGCCTTTTACCAATATCGTGTCATGACCTTTGATTTCGGCAGACCATGGACATAGTTTTGCCTAGAAACCAAGACAGGTATCATACCTCTGTCTGTGGAGTGCCCGACTTGGCTTGGCTCAGCCGGCGGTTCCACAGATCGTTCCTGACCAGATAAGACTGTTGCACAGGCTGGATAGTATTTTGAATATGTTATATACATATGAGGCTATGTGTACTTCGGTGAAGTAACAGTATGGTTGACATTGTTTGGTGAATGAAAGTGATTCCCGACTTTCATTCAACGACTAATGTCGCCATCAAACGCATGTTGGTCACGGAGTATAATACTAGGTAGTCTGGACTCTGGTGGTTGCGTGTAATATACAGAGTAGGTATCGCAGGGATATTGATTGCACGACTTGGGCGGCCAATAAGACTCCGTATCCAAGACAGCTTTGAACTCGAGCACTCAAGTCTGGGAAGGGGAAATTATAACAACAAATAAATACGTATGCTAGCTCATGAGTATACTTCAATTTGGAAAGAATCTAAAAAGGAGAGGGGAAGAAATCGCTTGTATAACAGCTCTTTGTGACAAGAGAAAGCTCAACTGCCACTATATAGATTCCAGTCTCCACTAAATGCGATATCTCCGGACCAGTAGCGCCACCCACCCACCACTATTCTGGTCGAGATACCGTTACTTCACCCGCTGCCCAGTGCATTCGCGCAAATCAAACCCTGAGAGCAGTCATATGCGCCTTGATTTTTCAAAGCCACCGCAATGCCCATGAAGCGCAGGCGGAGCAGCGTCGCCGAGCCACTACTCGAACCCGCGACTCGATCGGCCCCGACAAAGAAGCCCCGGCTCGGCGCTCAGGGCCACAGCGCACCATCCCACCGCGACCTCCTCTCGCCGCTGTCCGACGAGCTTCTGGTCCGCATCCTGACCAACCTGTCGCTGCCGCACCTGTTGAACGTTGCGCCCGTGTCCAAGCGCTTCCACCGGCTGTCCGAGGACTCGCAGATATGGAAGCGCCTGTACTATGCGCGCTTTGTCCTGCCGCGAGCGCTGCGCATCCCCGGGTTCCGCGATGGGTCGGCGCGCGAGGGCAAGCTGCATTATTCGTCGCGGCGCGCGGTGTGGGCAGACGGCCGAAGGGGCGGCTGGGTGGACATGCGCAGCGAGGGCACCGGAACACAAGAATCGAGGGACTGGAAAAGACAATACAAGCTCCGACACAACTGGTCCAAAGGGAAATGCGCCGTCGAAGAGCTAAGAGTCGGCGAGGATATCGAAGCGGCGACAGAGGCCGAGCTCCATGACACGCCAAAAATGCTGGTCAAGATTAGCGAAGGTATTGCCATCACCGCTGATGCGACCAGCGGGCTGCGGGCCTGGGATCTGAAGACGAAACAGCTGGTAGCGCATATAGGTCTCATGGATACAGAGTCGGATGCGCCACCAAGCTGTCTCGCTCTAGATGACCAAAATATTTCTCAGCACAATATTGATATAGTAGTCGGCTTCCAAGATGGAAGCTTTGGAGTATGGAAGCTTGATGTCGGGGATCACAAGCTTCTACGACGTTATCGTCACGAAAAGTCGACGAATGGAGCGCTGGCGGGTGCCGCGTTCTCCTACCCATATTTGTTGACAGCCACGGAATCCGTCTTGATTTCACTATACACCTTTGATAGGCCATCCACAGGTATAAATCGTCACGCCAGAGGCGATGCCGAGAGCGAAACCGAGAGAGGGTCCGACAGCGAAACTGCCTACGAATCTGTTCCCAGTGCAGAAAAAGAGCCGACCAAGCAAGAACCGTCTACTGGTGAGAAGCTGTCGGCGCGGTCAAATCGCCTCCCTCCTCCTTACTTATTAACCTCACTCAAATCTCATACTTCACGCGCTCCTCTGGCATTATCGATACGGAAGACAGCTAGCAGCACGGTAGCGTCCATAGCATATACCTTTTCCACGTTGCAGGGATGGTCGCTGGGCATACAGGACCTACATCTGCGCCCTTCCGTCTCAACCTCCAAGACGAGTACGGACGTCACAATGACTCGGCTGGCGTACACAATGCCCCTAAAGACGGGTTCATCACACGGTCCCTCTGAACAAGCTACCCCAATTCGGCCAAGGACGAGTGCGCAAAGCAGAGACGTGGAGACGGCTGAAGATGGGCCCGTAAGCATTTGCTATACTCACCCCTACCTCCTTGCCACATTGCCCGATAATACCTTGATTTTATACCTATGCAAGTCCAACGCCTCGTCTCTCTCCATATCTCCGGGCATCCGGCTCTGGGGCCACACGTCAGGCATCAGCGACGCCGAGATTACCGCGCGCGGCAAAGCAGTCAGTGTGAGCTGTCGCGGCGAGGAAATTCGAGTATGGGAGCTTGAAGGCCGGCCGGACGGGCGCAGTATTGAAGTGAGACCTACCGTCCATAGTGCGCCAGAGTCACGGGCGACGCAGTCCGCATTCGACGAAAGGCGGAATTGGGTAGGATTTGATGATGAAATGGTCATTGTTCTGAAAGAATCTAGGGGCACGGAGAGCCTCATGGTCTACGACTTTACATAAAGAACTCTGAAACTAGCAGCCGAATGGCAAGATAACGACCGATATTTGAGCAATGATATATGATACAGTTAGATGAAGTAACGAAAACAATCTTGAAGCATACACAACTGCCTCAGCGGCGGATTTAATCACTGAATGTGCAGTACATTATTTATAACAAAGTAGAGATACGTTGCTATTGTTTTGTTTCGAGTCTAACTACCAATCTGGGCATATTCCTCATCGGCTACACGTTTCCTTTAGAAAGTAGTCTGTAGCTTTGGGTAGTCTTTGGCATGAACGTCGAGGTCAGCATAGATGGCTGCCGAATCGTCACCCTTTAGGTCCTCCATTCGATGGGTATCTTCATCCTCTAGCTTCTCCAGCTCCTCAAGCGGTTCCTCCTTTCCAGCTTCTTGATCCTTCTTCTGTGGCTCGGTGGCCTTTTCGAGACCCGATGACTCGCCTATCAGAAGAAATTGGGTGTTGACATAATCCAAGTGCTTGGGGCTTGTGGCCGTCCATCGAAGTGAGCGGAAATCATCCTTGACTTCTTGTGGATACTCGGCTCCTTGCGGGAGGGCGACATTCTTGGGGGCATCGTAGTCAGGGTTTCGAGTAGAGATGATGAAGCTACCGCGCTCCCGAAGACCAATCTCTCTCTGTGCCTCTCCAAGTTCGGAGGGAAGGGTAAGCATATAGGCAAGGTGGTTTTCTCTGCCGGTCGTCGTGATGGCGTAGATGCCCTCGCCTACAGGTGTAGCAGCGGGAGTGTGTCGGGTTCCAGCAGTCTTGGTGACATAATCTGAACCAGAAAGGAACTCATCCTTGAGCGTCTGGAACGAGGCGTTTGTCTTTTCAACAAAAGCGATCCACCTATCCTTGCCACTGAGGGGAAGGACCTTTTTGGGAATGGCAATCAGTCGGCTGTTTCCAGCATCGCCAATTGTGCCTTCACCAAGTTTGGCATCCTTGGCAATAGGTCGGAGGACGATATAGCTTCGAGCAAGGTCATCAACACTGCTTGGATCTTGGATACCGACACGCCCACGGAAGAAGAAATAGATAATGCCCTTTTCGAGAATGCTGGCGGGCACAGCTCCTTCGCGAGCCTTGGGTTCCTCGGCCGATCCATCCTTGACGGCAGTCGTGCCTTTTGCGTCTTTTCCATCTTCCTTCTTGGATTGTTCCGGCTCCTTTGCCTCCTCAGAATCTCTGGTCTCTTCAAGGTCTTTGGTCTCTTTTGATTCTTTGGCGGAGCTATCCTGGGCTGACTCCTCTTTCTTGTTATTCGAGTGTTGTCCGCTGGCAAAAGCGTTAGTTCACAGTTGGAGTGTGCCCAGCAAATAAATCGCAAGGCAGAATCTCTTGATCCCCTAGATAGGAAAGATAGTGTAGCCTACCCATTCAATGTCTCTTCAATCGTTTTCTGCTCCTTCTCATCTGATGTCTTGGTTCGCTTGGGTTCCGGGGAAGCCTTTTCGTCAATTCCATGCTTGGACCCAGCAGCCTTCTCCGGTGAGGTGTTGGCTGCATCGCCTTCATTGTTGGATGATCTTGTTGAAGTGGGCATGTTTTCGTCTTTGCAACTAATATGTTTTCCTACTATGCGAAATAGGTAGGTACCTAAGCAGAACTCGATTTGATTGTAATGAGAATTGGGTTTACTGGAGAGGAGGATGAGATATAATCTTGTGCCAAAAAATCTCTCAATGCTTGAGCAGAAGTCGGTGAAAGAAGAATAAGCTCGAGCTGGCAAAGGTTATGACGATTTTGTGATGCCGAAACAGCTTCAAAAGCAAGCACAAACAACCCGCTACTGCTGCATGTCTCCGTGAGTTTAGTGCATTCTGATGTCATGGATCGCGGTTTCGTGGTTCGCCTTAGCGTCAGGAACGCGCCTGAAGCTCTAAGGACATTTGGTTAAAGATCCACTAACGGATGCAGGGGCATTGCAGGGCGTCGCAGGGCATCGCAGGTCATTACTGGTCTACCCCGCGTTGATTGCCGGCAGCACGCAGCACCAAAGACGGAAGAGGCGCCGAAAGACAGGGAAGCTATTGGTCCTCAAAGCACCATGAATTCATATACTAATTTGACTTGTCTGTCACCACTAACAAAAGAAAAGAAAAAGGTTTAGGTGGTGCCAACTCTGATATGCGCATTCGTGTTTCGCTATGTCGAGCAGTCCAAATCTTTAGGCGATTGCGTCATTATATCAAGGGATTCCTTCCAACTCCAATGATGAGTGACAGAAATACATTGCGGCGAAACTAAATGGCTTCTATTTCAGCTCAAGCTTGATCATGCTTGTAATTGAGCTATTGGCCTTGCTACATTGAATTTTCTCTTCATCAAACATCACGGCAAGAGGTGCGGGACAGGAAAGCTGGAATATGCAATCATTCTGGCAGTCATGTACAACATGGTCGGCTTAGTACGGAAACTCTTGCCCGACTAGCTTCTCGCTGAGTTTCCATAGGCGCTCGGCCTCAATCGGACTTGTCGCCCACGGCTTCACCGTGTCAACCCAAGGGTCGGCAATATGAGAATTCTCCAAGTAGCTGCCATTGTTCTCTGCAAGACTCATCATGAGTGTTAATGCAGCAAATCGAAAGAGCAAGGAAGACAGAAGTGAAATTATAACAATATTTGCTGTGTTCCACATACCTTTCAGAGTTGTCGCAAAGGCCGCGAAAACATGAGTGGCGGCACCTTGATCCGGCGTCTTCCACTTAAAATCCGTCCCCCAGCCCTCGGCATTTCCAAGAGAACGATCGAGAGCCACTATATCGCCGTGTTAGATACTTGCTCTGTGAAGGTTACTAGTGGCAAGTATTGAACTTACACAGACCATGTATATCCTCATTCCAATCAATGTGTGTACCCAAATTGGTATTGATGACGCCGGGATGAAGACTGTACGATTGCAGGCCACGCTTGCCTAGCTTCTCAGCCAAAGACAGAGAGAAGAGGATGTTGGCCGTTTTTGATTGTCCATAGGCCACCCATTTGTTGTATGTTTTTCCATTCTTGATTATTGTGCAATTGATTAGTTGATGCTCTTTTAGAAGTTCTCTTTTTCACAACGCCATGCAAGAGATATTCTCAGTATAACTTACATCGAAATTGTAGTCGGCAAATCGGATGGCGCTGGCGCGATGGCCGTCGCTACTTACATTGACCACGCGCGGCGAGTTTGCAGCCAGAAGCTTCTCCATGATCAAATTGGCAAACAAAAAGTGGCCAACATGATTGGTTGCAAACTGGCTCTCAATGCCCTCGGCCGTCAGCTTGTAATCGACAGCCATGATGCCAGCATTATTGACCAGCACATCAATGGACGGTACATCTTGCCACGAATTGACAGTTTCAGCCGACTTTCTCACAGCGAGCAAGGAGCCAAGATCTAGCTCGAGAATACGAATACGGACATCTGGATTGTCGGCTTGGATTGACGCTGCTGTCTTTTCTATCTTGGCCGGGCTGCGAGACGCCAAGATGAGCAGAGCTGGCTGAGCTTTGGCTATGGCTTCAACAAAGAGGGCGCCAAGACTGCCCGAGGATACACCCGTGGTCAGCACAACTTTATCCTTGATTGCAGACGCAAAGTCAGTGACTAGGCCACTGGCCGTTGCCGTCGCGTCGTAGCTAGGTGCCATTATTTCAACCAATAGCTATGTTTGTGGTAGAAAATTCTGGCATGGAGTGTGTAGAGTCAATGCTGGTTATATGATCAAATAATCGAGTCTTGAACCATGAAATTGGAGCCATGAATAAGTATTCATCGTATGTACCACGCGGTATTTCGAGCAAGCAAATGTGCCATCGGAGATAGTAAACGCCGAGTAGCAATCGGCGTTACCGTTATATTTACCTGGAGTATTCGGTTTACCTGTCTGGCATTAGGCCATGGAGATAGCCTCGGGCTAGGAATGCAGCCCGCTATGAGCTTAAATTACATACCAATAAGCAGCTTAATGTTTGTGTCTATAAAACATTATAAATATATACCTCGGTTGGTACTACATTTCCCGAACTTGTTTGCATTGACTATCATCTTTTGGTTCTTGTACGTTTGGCCGTACAATATGCGTCATGCTTGCTTGCTTGAGAAGTGGTCAGCTCGGACTGCTCGGCTTGGTTTGAAATCCTTTGGTCTTGGCATGTAACACCTGATGTGGTATGTCCAAGGACGTCAGTATTTCCTCATAAGTTGCGTGCCCTTACCTCGTGCCTACGTGCCTCCCAAGCCTTGTTATGCTTGTGTCACCATGTCAGAAATCCTCTGTGCTGTCCATTGTCCAGTCTAGGACTACAGGGCAAAGTGTTGCCTACGCCCGACTGTCAGGCTGTCAGCTGTGCAGTGCCGATCGCCATTGGCATGCATGATACATTGTAATTACAGCCACGGTAGGGCGAGATGCGGAGGCTGTATAAGTGATCTGCACTTTCTTTCCGCCTTGCATACCGCTACTTGTTGGCTCGAAAAAAGGGTGAGTTTTCAAGTTTAGTGCGCAAGCAAATGGTCATAAAATTAGACTACGCAGTAGACTAGCCAAATGACAAGCTTCTAGTGTTTCCATTTGGTGTTCGAATCCAATACCCTAGAACGCATCCCAAACAAAAAGCTTGACGCGGATCAGAACCTCGAGGACTCAAAGTGCACGGTGGCCTCTTGATTTCGATCTTGGTATGTTCCATATAAAATACTCCACAACACACAAAATCAGCACTTATCGATAAACAAGACCCAAAAACCAACAGCATCTCGATTGTATGAGGCACATACTGAAAGAGGAAGTGGCTATAATGCTTGGCGGTATAATTATGCGAGTTTTGCGAGAAGAAACGGACAAAAACGGGCCCCGAAGGATTGGGTTCGGCCCTGCGGGCATCCAGAAAATCCTCTTGGCACGGCCACTCGGCACGCGACACAATGCACGTCTGCTCTGTTGGTCATATCACTACGCCCTCTTAACCCTCTTGGCAGCTCACCCAACTCCACACAATAAGGCTCCAGTCATGTTTACCCCTGACGTTTATTACCAATGGCTACCATTTTTTTCCCTTGGATTTTTCCTCTCTCTCGTCACTCCTTAATATTTGGATGCCTAGTGATCCTTTGATACGTCAAGACACGGATCGATCAATATAGGGATTGATCGTCCTGTGCAACAACATTTGCCATGGTATTTGAACCTTAGAGGTGCCATCGCCAAGTGAAATCCAAAAACAATGCTTCAGACTTTCTCGCGCCAAACCGTGGAGCAGCATTTGAAAATGGGGCAGCTAGAATCATCTCACAAGCTCTGGAATATGTATGATATCCTGCCAACAAGAAAGGTCCAAAAATCCGAAATATCCGAGAGACATGAACTAACTCCGACTTCCAGAACACTGCTCCTTGCCACAGTCGTTTCTTACATCCCGCAATATCGGGCCATTCAGAAACCCGCGGCCGCTAGCAATGTATCACTCATCTACATTCTCTTCAATACGCTCTCAGCCTTGGAGCAGTTCACAATCCTCGCCGAACATGCCATGTTCCCGTCGGAACTGCTGACGGGGGTCATGAACAACCCGCCAACTACGGGGGATTGGTTGAATATTGCGCAGGTGACGGCCGTCCTCGTCATGTCGCTGGCTCTGTAGGTTTTCCACCTTCTCGTTATGATGGATATTCCCGGCAAAAGCTGACCAAGCCCGACTTTCGCCAAAAGATTCATCAAGTGCGTCCGGTGCCTTCCCTCAACCGAGCCAAAGGCCGCCTCGCTAGCGATTCTCATCCAATTCGTGCTCATCACGCTCGTGCCGCTGGCGACGCAGGCCTGCTTCCAATGGGCCAACCCCAAGGCGCACGAGGGCATGACGGCGACGATTGTGTGCATGTTCCTGACCATGCACGGCTTCATCGTGAACCCGCTCGTCAGCGCGGGCGTCGTGTGGTCGTACTTTTGGGCCCGGGCCGCGCAGCGACAGCGCCCGCCCCGTCCCGGCCTGAGCAGCCGCACGCTGTGGCTGCAGGCCCTCGTCTTTGCCCTCGTCGCCTTTTCGTGGGCCGGCCGCCTGACGGTCAATAGCTCGGGCATGAAGCCCGTTACCGCGTGGGTCTACTGGTACCAGACGGCGGGCTGGGCGACCATGAACAATCTCTTGTTCGCGTTTGTGCAGGGCGGGCTGTTCTACCATGCCTTGTTGGTATCCCCAATCGCTGGTCGAGACTTGTCCATATATGCTGACTGAATCTACAGGAAAGAACGCAGGGCCTTGGGCGCCCAGCCTCCCGAAGACAAGATCGGCCTTTTGACCGCTTAAGTTTGGTCAGCGGCATGAACCTTGGGACCAAGACTGGATCCGTCCTGGCAATTCTTTGATTTTTGATTGCTTATTATATGCATGGCCTCGGCGTATCGGGAGATCATATCTTGGCTATAGACATTGCGAACGGTTGATTCCCTTGGAAAGGGATGGGACCTGCGTACTGTTAGCTTGACTCGGCAGCGCCTTTGAGCTGCCACAACGTCAATTTTGGCCGGATTCCGGCATTCATCATAGATATCATTAATTCTGGGCGACATTCCAATAGGATTGAGCTCTGTAATTGAATCATTTTCTTCATTTTTTTCTCTTCTCTTTTCGTCGAGTTGTTGCCGCTGCGTCTATGTAGTCTCATATTCTACAGCCGCTTTGCTTTCGGTCCAGCTCATTTCTTGCCTGACCGTTATACTCGTCAATGGGATATCTTCGGTGCGTTCGCCAGATGCTCGTCTGCCGCTGACTGTCACGTCTCGGTCTCCGCGGTACCCCTTTGGCCATAAATTCGTTGGTGATGTTTCGCCGCCCGAGTCGTTTAATCTTTCAAAAGACCCCGCGCTACTTTCGCCGCTCTTGGATTTTGAGGAAAATGCAGCTCTGTTGATTCCCCTCGAGGAGCTGCCCCCGACAATATGTATAACTTTGCTGCTCCTTTTGTTCTTGCGTGTCGACTCTAACGGCTCAGAGTGTTTTGAGGTGGTGATTGTTTTTACTATCATGCCTACTATGGGCCCTCCTACTGTGGGAAGGCAAGCGCAGACTATGCCCATGGCCGGCTCGACGACTGTCCAAGCCCAGAGAGGACCGACCATGACTAGGCAAGATTGTTAGTATCGAGCTGTGCATCTCGTTGTCGACGTGGATACTTACGCGTGTAGTCTGAATTCGGGTCACTCAGGAGATCCAGACCACTCGACAGCCGTAGTCCACCAATCACAACGGTACTATAGTCTCATTAGTATATGCCAATTCCGCTGAACGATCAAATGCAACACATACACGCCACCGAGTAGGAAGATCGACAGAATACCGATCTTTTTTACTCTTGCCATTTGCAATCTTGCCACCTCGTACAAAGGCAATGCTATAATAAGGACGTCGATGCTCAAGTTGGGTATGGCGTTCCCTATGAACAAGCCCAATTTGTCCATACATGTCGTTTTGACGGTGAAAAGTTCCCACATGCCGTTCAGGGGTGTGCACTGCAAGAATGTCACGAGGATAACGGCAATCCACCAAGCTACCGATAAGGCGCCTAGAACATATGTGCCTCGAAGCACCAAGGTCGTTGGGAACACACGTCGGTACATGACGAGGACTGATAGTTTGACGAGGGTAATAAGGATCGCATATAAAACTTCCATGGCCATCAAGCACTATCAACCTTGTTAATCGTTTTCTGTACGCGTGGTTCACGGCACAACTGATCGACACTTACCTGCATGGAAATCACAATGATGTTCTGATCTTTAAGATAGAGGTACATGACGGAATATCCCAAGCCACCTCGATAGACAGCTACCACACATGAGCCAATGTTCGCTCATATCCTCAATGTTTAACGCAAAAAGACTGATGCTTACCTATCAATGCCGCTGCTGCGATAGCATACATAAATGGCTGCATCATATCAACTTCAAGTCCTCCAATCGCTTCGGAACCGCTAGGTCGCATACCATGCATGCTATAATAAACCAATCTTCCAAGTCCAAGTGAGTTCGCGACCATCGTATTGCCATTCGTGCCCCAACCATAAACGTCGACAATATGCTCATCACGATGGTGCAGGCCACCACGGCCTGTATGCTGGCGTAGTTGGCCGCCGGTGTCGTCGAGGAGGTGGCATCTTGCCGCCCCACGATGCCCATCGTGGGCAGCTCAGACATGGGAGAATCGTGCCCGGGTCCCAACCTGCATGCACTGTTCAACGTTGCATGACCAGTCGTTTCTCCCTTTAGGGCGTCCGTCGTATCCAGAGAAAAGGTCGATCGGGTGGGATTTTTTTAGCGAACCAAAGAAACAACAAGAAACCAAGGGTTCAGCCTCGAGAAAAAGTCCCGAGGACCAAGACGGGGTGATAAAGGCTGGCAGATTGTGGCAAAGAGCAAGCGCGCAAGGGTAGCATTCAACTCCATATCTGGTGGATTTATCGCTGCTTGATGAGGAGCAGTTTGCTTTGCAGTCCCTGGCCTGTTACCTTCTGTCGCTCCAGACCCTCCTTCAGCTGTGCTGCAGGGGTCTTGGTGGACAGTCTCCACACATGAAGTTCAGATCGTCGCCGTTCCCTGCGCAAAGCTCCTTGTCGGGAACGTGGCCCACGAACGGCTTTTCCGGGTTATGCATTTCGCGTATCTTGTAGGAACACACAAAAACGACAGATGACAAGACTATAATCTGCAAGTGTCATCCTTTGCCTAGAAATGCCATGCTTTTCGGTATTGAAACATGGTTTCTGTAATGCGACCTGACGGACGTCTTGACAACACCGGTCCCGTACCGAGGGGACCGGTCATTGGCCGCACTATTACTGATCCGCAGTTTTTTTTAGCTTCTCCTTGCCATTTGCTGGGAATCCTGGCCGTAGCATCTCAGCTTTTGGTTTAGCTTTGTGCCGGGTGCTGGGGTCGTGGTGTTTTGGGACTCTGGAGTTGCCCATGGAGCCTGTGGGAGCTGACAGTTGGACACGGGCCAGACACCACACAGTCTGGCAGAATGATAGGTAGAGCCCATGATGATGGGCGTCACTGGGCGTTCACTAATTGACCCAGCACGATCCAGCACGTTGCTGCAGGTCGCCGCACTGGGCTCAGGAATTTCCGACTTGGTAAGCTCTACGCAGTAGTGTGTATAGCAGAGCTGGGGTCTAGATTATGGGTTCGCATCAGGAAAACCTTGCCGCTGCGATCAACCACCTGCCATCCATCAACGACCCTGTCGCCAGGCGCTTTGGCTTGGAACTTTCTTTGCACGTGATGACCTCCAAGTAAAATGTCGAAATACTCAAGAGAGGCCAAGAAAGCACGGGCCAATACTTACCACAGAAGCGCATCCCAGGGACCTGGCAGCCGAGTCGATGCGCAGATCGACAACTCGTACGAGTTTGTTCGGTTCGTTTGAGTTCTGGGAATAAGATTCCCATTCATGATTCGTGTTCCCGTCTGCAAAGTGGCGACGGGGTGTTTGAGGGCATTTTAATGCACAGACCATCTCCAGTTATATTGTAGCCAAATTAGCACATTATTACCAAATTCCTGAGAGGAAGAAAAGCTCCCAGAGATGCACAGGGCCACAGGTATGGCGAGTAGCAATTCATCGCGTAAAATATGTCTCCTGCGGCCACTTTGCTTTGCACCGCTTTGATATTTGCATCTATCAAAACTATGATAGCCATGGCGTATTTCATGATCGTCATTCTCTGAGAAGTGAGGTCAAAAACAGTTGCGTCACATAAAAGGGGCAGGCACCCAAGGGGCAGTCTAGGATTGCACGGGATTCGCCGTAATAGCACTTGACTACCGAACCACGCTGCAGAGCAAACGGAAAACATTTGTGATCCGTCTTCCCAGATCCATGGCTTCCGGTCTTCCATGTGCAGTGCAGGGCAAAAGACTGCAAATGCCCGCGCTGCATGAATCTATCCGTCTCAGAGCATCTCCTTGCCTCCACTTCCAGACATTCCCCGGGCTCTTAGCTGCGAATAGCTTCCTGGGGACGGAGGCGGGAGCGTTGCTCCGGTCAATCACCCATCTTGCCCTCTCCAGGCTCTTTGACGAACCTGGAGGAGTCGAGAAATGCTCGGAAGGAGGACAATACTGCTCACAGTTTAGCTGATTGGCGTTCAAGGACCAAAAGGGTAAACGCGCCCGTTGGCGGGCTCAAGATTAGGCTTAGTGGGCTCTATAGCCTGACACAAGGTGTCAGGGCTGCATGCCGATAGTCGCCAGAAGTGGACGCTCCTGTATGCAGCCTGGGCAATTTCATAATCTGGGCCCCATGCACCATACCGGAGCGACGGCCGTGACCACTGACGGCCGTCTCCAAGCAAAAGTTTCGTTTTTTCCAGGTTATTCTAGTGCCGTAGTGTAGGCTATGCCGCATGTAGGATTAGGGGGTTTTGTATGAGCAGTGGGGCCATGTCAACCTATGAAGGCTTATTTTCTATGATGGAAATCTAAACGTTTGCAACAGTGCAAGCTTCATGTCATTATACTAGATACGGACGATCACCAAGACTTGAGCGTCGTCTGAGGAACAGTAGTCATCTTATACTGTGGGCTTCGGTAGGGCCGACGGGCAGTTTCCTCTACCTACTCCGTATACTGTTGACCTGACTCGTAACGCGTAATGCCTTCTGTGATTACGGCGTTGCATTCTCACAGGTGCACTTTGACGCTCATCTCCGAGAGTCCTTCTATGTGCAGAACGAAATGAATACGGCATCTACTCGACTGCCATGATGAAGCATCAGTCTTATACCCGACGTAAAACGATTATAACTTTCTACGGCAGGTAGCCACGTCTGCATACTTACTTATTCTCTGCCGTACACCCACCAATAACCGTCATCATGGAAACTGACCGTTCAACCTCTTACTAATCGGTCTACATGCGACCGCCATGAATAATGAACTTGTATCCTCCTTGTGGTAATCTGTTCCACAATATTATGGAATTGGATCAAGATGAGAAGCTCATCATAAAAATGAACTATTATCATTCTTGTTGCTACTCGAGACAAAAATTTGGTGATTGCGACGACAATGACTACCTCGCACAGTTTCTGGCTTATCGTTGATCATGGCGCTGCTTACAAGTGTCTATGCTCTCATGTTTATAGCAAGGACAAAGGAATGCAATGCCTTATTCTTGTGTTGACGCGATTATCGTTATTGACTGGCCAGAGCCAGTCTACTATATACATAAGAGATATTCATAAACACAATATTCATCATCAATGCATCACATTATCTAACCACGACTAAACTACAACTTCGGAACAGATGGCTTTCTTCATCAGCCAAACGGTTTAATGCGCTCCCAAAGTTAGTGACAATGTCGCCAGAATCAATCACCCCACGAGCGGTGTTGTCATTGGAAAAGGTGCCGGTGTTGCCGCCTAGATATTCGTCCAACATGGAAATGACGGTGATTTCATTAAGCTAATGGTGAAGCTTGCTGCGGGTAAATGGGTCGAAAATAAGGTCCAGAAAGAAATTGAGCCATACTGGAGAAGCTCACATTCGCACAGCATATTGTTGATGTCGTGGACTTGGATCCGAGAACGGATGCCGAGAACGAAGCTACTGGCGGGCAGCCAAAAGCGACTCGGGCCACGGAGTATCTGCCCAACGGAATTTTTGGCGGGGCCATTGACAAGTTAAGAGCACCAAAGCATATGAGATTTCCGCAATAGGTAATATGGTGCGTGTTCCTGTGTTTAACGCGTGTCTGCGTGGCAATGGCGTACCCCCTAAAGGGTCCCAATGTCGAAGCCAAAACTATTCCACCCAATACCGAACACAGTACACTCGTCCACGGGGACATAACAGTCGACAGTATCTGTATCGATGGACTTGAATCTATTCATCTTGAACCCCTTATTCCGAGAATCAAGGTGAATCCACTCCCATCAACATAATTGTTAACTGATCAACAGCTGACTGATCTTGGCGATTTCCGTTACAAGGACTATAAATTTACTCACCCTAACTACGGGAACAAGATGGGCATGTACAAGAATACGTTTCATACTGGCAAGGTAATGTTGACGCTGCTTACAAAAGGCAACGTCCATGTCTCTCTCAGCAGTGACTCAATGCCTTGCGTTTCTCGGACATCAGCGAAACGGTAAAGCAACGCGACTGCATTGGTGTTGAGCACCTGATAGACCCAAATTATGACGCCTCTTTGCAAATGCTAACTGAACAACGCCTGGCGGAGGAACCATCAGATCGTCTAGAGCTGAATGAAATGCTCACCTTGTGTGAGAATGCCGTGGCCAAGGCAAATGCGATTCCAGGACAGACACCTACTGCAACTCACCTCGGAAAGTCGGACGTCATGATTACTGATTTTTCAAAGAAGGTATTAATCAATCTCAAGAACAAGGGCGAGTGAAAACGCCCGAAAGATTTCGCACCGAAGTGCTGCGACCGAGGTGGAAAGTCAACGAGCTCCCCAGCCAAAGAAAGACCCAGGCCATAATGTGATGAAAGAGGTAGTTATAGGGAAGCGGGTCGGTGCTATAGGACGATGCTATGGTAGGGCTCGGCAAGCTTGGCGCACATACGAGCTGTAGGGACCTAGGTTGACAGCAACAATTCAATCCATTCATGTTGTTACCTTTACATGAACTACTAAGTTGACAGTAGTATTGATCTTGATACATGATACTGGAAGCCATTAATCTAACCAAGTAGCGTTGTGTAATGTGGATTCGGAATGGAATGGATGCACCGCTTCCTCGCATACCAAGGCTGCATGTGCTAGAACACCCGAGACATACATGAAAGATCTCTCATCTTGGAAAAGCTTTCTTACACGTTCCTACGCCGTCAGAATGTTGCATAAATTCACGGTAGGCAATTACCAGACGTTTGTTCTTGTCGCCGACCTGGGTGGCTGCTCACAGTGATACGTTGAGAGGCACACGTCTGGCACCTTGGCAGCCTGGGCCAACTTGACTCGCCGTGAGATTCGTAGTGATTACTCCAGTTGAATAATCGGCGTGAAGATTCTGCTCTTTGAAGAGTGCCCAACCTTAGTCCATGTTAGCCTGGGACAAACGCAACTCTTGCAGCATCACGTCCCTCCATCTGGCCGGTCAGCCGTCTTCCTTTTCAAACACACTGCACAGTCGCCAGAACCAGCTGCCAGCAACATTTCCCGGTCAGCCTGGTATCCGCCTCAACGTTCATTGCAATCCATTGACGTTCCAATTCCTGTCTATGGGGTGCTCTTTAGCCTCTTCGAATCTTTCCGTCTCCTTTCATTTCTTTGAGTTCTTGCCCGAAATCAGCGTTCTTCCTGCTCAAGTCAAGACTTCTCGCTTCAGTGTTGGGAAATCACGACTGATTGCAATCGCCGCCCTCAGGTTTTGCCCCGACAGTCGGTTGAGCTTGAAGAGGGTTAGACCAAAATCAACTCATCTTCTGCAGCATCGCAACCTTTCCTGCCCAACCGTGCAAGTCTTGCACTAGACAAATAGTAGGCGCGACACAGGCAGCCTCATTGGCAAGCATCTTTTTTTTTACTCTTTGCTCGCCGACTTTTCCCTCTTCTCACTTCCTTCCAGTCTCTCCCTTTACACCTTTGCGCAAAACTCTTTGTACTAGTTTGGCCGTCAACTTTGTCGTCATTCTTTGCAACCCGTCTTTTCATTACAGTCGTTCACAAACCTTTTCCCTGTCCTCATGTAAGTATACTATAAACCTTCATTCTTTGTTTTCGATTTTCATTTCCCGTTTCTTCCGCCTTATTCTCCTCGACAATTTTCTCGCTCCTTCCTTAGCAGAGAGAGTACTAATTACCCATCGCAACTCAGAATACTTTCCCGTCAATCTCCAGCCGGCGGCTAGGTTCTTCTGGAGCTACTGAGCACTGGAACTTAGCTCCGCTGCAGCAACATGGCGAGCGATGGGGACCGAACGGCCATGGCCCTAGAGGCTATGATGAACGACCTCGGTAATGATCGTCTAGAGGACCTGGCCAAGGACAATAGCCACGCAGGAACCCGTCAGTTGCGATGCTCTATGCAAAGTATGGCCGCACAGGCTGCTCAAGGTCAAAATTCACAGGGTAACCGTGTCCTGACGAATGAGAACGCAAGAGGTTGGAATGGTAAGTTCTCGGCGAATCCTCCCGCAAGTCGTAGACTGACGAAAATCCAGTCGCCGTTGAGTCTGGCGCTTTTCAAGATGGCGATGCACGAGAGGTCGACGGCCTTGATACCATTGCTAACGGTCGTCTACACGCCATGAATAGGGCCAATCAAGGAGGTGGCTGGCATACTGGACAGCGAGACGGCAATGCTCGCTTCGGCCAACACTCTGGCGATCCCATCAACTCCTCATGGGAAGAGATGAAGACTAGAAGAAATGCTTCAAACATGCCCGTCTCAACCTATGATCCCAAGTAAGTTTCTATCAACCTTGGTTGTGACAGATCGGAACTAATTTGAACAAGCTGCCCGAGTAGGCCCCTGTCCACCACGCCCAGATACCAGACGACCGTTCAGACTCCAAGTCGAGCCGAGATCCGTACCCCGAGGCCTACGCCTACACCTCCACCCAACAATGCTACTAATGGATGGAATGCCTTCAGAGCACAGCAGACGTCAAGGCCAGGAAGCTCTCAGGATACGAGCCTCCATTCAACAGTCAGGAGTACTGCGGTGAATGTGGCTAGCGGTGCAAAAGCACAAGAAGCAACTCCTGAGTCGAACAAATCAACCACTCAAGTGGTCGACCACCATCGTAGTGAAAGCATTGGTGTCTCGATGGAAAGATCAGCTCACAATTCGTCCCCGGCAGTCCTGCCGCACATGCGAGGTCCACCAGCCAGTCATCAAGGCAACTCATCTACAAAAAGTACGGCTACTACGACAGTTACTTCTCTACCGGGCAGAATAGTTTCGCAGCAAGTCAACCCTTTGATTTCGGCGCAACTCAAATCCATCAATTCGACGATGAAGCGCCCTCCACAATCGATCAACGGTGATGGAAAGGCAAGACAGGTCCATAACACAACAGGTCGAATTACCCAAGGTGTCAGTATATCCACGATTTCACAGAGCTCTGTTTCTCCTAAAGTCGGTTCGGCGCTTCTGCCCCATCAACGAATGACATCACAGGCAGCCAATGCACCAAAGGCTATTGTCCAACCGCAACTCAACATTCTGTACGATAAGAAGATCAAAGCTTGCAGAGCAATCACGCCTGGTAACATCGAGACAGTGACCGGCCGGATGTACTTTTACCAGCACCCTAGACGACATCTGATCATCTGGGAAATCAAATGGTCTGATGGTTGGGTCGAACGTGAAGATATCCGCTGCTTCATCGACCTCTTCCGCAAAAGCCCCAGCCGAATGATTGTGCGGCGGTCTGGTGGCTCCCAGGCCGGTATCCGAACTACAATAGTTACTGTTGAAGAAGAGCCTCCTGCGCCTCTGACCGCTACAGTAGAGTTCGAAAAAAAGATGAAAGACTTGAAGTCGAACATCTCAGGTTCTTCGGAACCTTTTTATCCTTACACATTTGAGAAGCACGACCCAATTGAGGATGATCGAGTTGATCCATTGACTCTGCTGCCTCTTCCGACTGAATCTGTGAATGGACACACTCAACGTACCAGATCCCCTGGACGTGAGAGTTCCCCTCAACGCAAGGTTTCTGCAGTACCCAAGGCTCCCGAAGCACGGGCGCAGCACTCCGCACCAGCGATCAGCAAAGGAAAGGCACCTGCTACCTCCCTCATAGGCTCTCATACTACCTCGTCATCAAAACCACTCCAGACCTCTGTTCCGATGTTAGATCTCCATTTCGATGCACTCCACGAGCTGTCTCAGGGCCTCGGACAGGGATTGAATGGCAAGACAAGCCAGTCTGTCCAAACTGTGAGAGCAGATTCCGAGGCTATGACCAAAGGGTCTATTTCGGATAGAGAGGTAGCAAAGGTCTTGCAAGACTCGGGGGCAAATGGATCTAACGGAGTGCTTCTTCAGCTTTCTGAAGAAGATGACAAGGAAAATATTGGATCCATCAACCGTGGCCCCTTCCAAGAAACTTCAAGTGAAACTATCAAGATTCAACTCGAAACTAGCAGTGAGCAGCTCGAGAAAGAACTTGCTGCGCCTACTATGGGAGCCACAAGACAATGTGATGAGAATCTCGCCGAGACTCAGGTCGCTCACCAGCAGCCAACCCACGGGAGGCGCACTACGGGTACCGAAGCGATGGCATCATTCGACCTGATCGACACCAGTCCCTTTACAGTTGAAGCTCAGCCTTCTTCGTATACCATGGCACTTGAAGAAATCGCCAAGCATCAGGATTCGAGCCGGATGCCCGAGACTGACAGCTTCAATTCCGGTCATCCTCGGTCACGGATCAAAGAGGAGTCCCCAGAGTCCCCAGATCCTGCCGTCAAGGCCGAGTCAGATACCACAGATGACCGATTACAATCCATCGAGTCCGAGGTGAGCCGGGATGTACCTAGCTCACAAATTCCATCCAAAAACTTGATCAACGCAACTGTCCTTGCCAACGTGCCCCTTGGAATAGGTTTGAGTAAACCATCTCTCATCATTCTGTCAGCCTTGAATCGTGCAGACTATGAAGAGCTTTCAAAGAACTTTGATGAGAGCCTCTATTGGCTACAACAAACCGGCATGTACAGCTCTGGCTCGCTCAATGAGTTCGCTGCAGTACATGAGACTCTAAAGCACCTTGGCAGACGCACCCAATTCAAGATGCTTAATAACGAGGATCGCATCAAGGTTGCAGCTGTGGTGTACTACAACCTCAAAAAGCTCAAGGTCGGCGGGGTGGCGAGGTACAACGCAAAGTCTTTAACTGCGTTGCGTCGCCTTGCCCATCCTTGCCCTCCGGCCATTACCTTGGTCAATTACATTTTGGTGTCGTCACCCGGAAGACGTCCTATACGTCAGACAGGACCAATCCCGGCGGCCCCAGTGTTACGATCATCAAGCAGAGACCGAAGCCGCTCTCCTAATTCATCTGAGGCTGCATGTCAGTCATCCTCAAAGCAAACATCTTCATCGACGGCAGCCCAGTCAGCCCGCTCTGCAGAACCGGTCGCAAGAACCGCACAAGTAGACCGACCTGTGCCTGCCCATCTTCGAAGTATGGGCCATGGACCTCATCAATCCTTGTATCATTAAACTCCAATTCTTACAATTATGATAGACCTTTAGCTCTGCCCCGTGCGAGCACATGATTTCGGTTTATGAAGGCCAGGTTGCAAACAGTACAACCAACCTCACAACAAATTCGGCCAACAAACCGATTTCGAAGCTGATATGTTTTCCTAAACTATGGTTGTCTAGTTGTTTGTTCGGTTGTTTATGAAAGTTGGACGGTTCTAGTCCCAAAGGCTACATCAGAAATCTTCTATTCATTTGGAACGAGGAGAGAAGAGGGGGAAAAAGGCATGTAGGAGTATGGAGAGAGCGCGTGAGACTGGCTTGTGAAAAGTTTTGGCACAATATCCACTGCCTAGGACAAGACCTGTAAGGCGATGTCGCTCGGGAATGTCACTTTTCATGCGCATTAGGACCATATCTTCTAGGTTTTGATAGGTTTGAGACACTTCAGAATAATATAAAAAACAGATTGCCGAATTTCTGTCACTTTTGAGCTACAATGTGTATGCGTAGAGGACAATACACCACATTGATTATCTGCATAGGTGACTGTGCATTAGATTTCTGATTGCCATTAGTCAGAAGTGGATTGCCCTGATCAAAGTTGGAGATACAAGGACATAACAGGAAAACTGATCATCAGCATTATACACTACTGTCGCATACCATAAACGAATAGGCGCTGGTTAATTCCCCAAGCGGTAAGATGTATTGCTTCCACATGTGTTTTTTTTTTTTAAAAAAAATAAAAAAATCAAGCCCGTAATAATATTGTCGAACTCTATGATCTTTCTACTCCAGATTTGCACTGGCGCTTTTCCAGGGCGCTGAACTTTGTACAAGGGCCCGCATCTTGGCCAATGCGTAGGCCAAAAAGAGTTGCTCAATATCGACGTGGGTGTCTACTTATCAACCTTTGCCTGCAAAGAGTCGGAAGCATGATAGTCATTGATCATTTGCTGCGGCTTGTGGAAAGATAATTGTGATTTAATAGTATATGAGTTGTCGAGCTACCACTAAACGATGCTGCTCCTCTGCGAAAGACGTCTTATTGCTGTGATCTTGTTGATCGGGCGGCTGCGCGTGCGAATCAATAACACCTTGGTCCGAATTCGAGGAGACCAAGGCCAAAAAAAAAAGATGATTGTACAAGAATGGGTATATGCGATGAGGGGGTTATATTGGTATTCTGATGCAAGGCTCCTCCGTTTCAAGTTGTGATTATTACACGTCTTCCAGCACTCGGTAATGTTCTGTTCCCGGCCTTGTCCCCGAATGTGCCACGGCATGCATTGTTTCGACTCGTATTAGACTCGTGAACTCGACTCGAACGAGGTTGAAGCCGCTGGAAACTTGTGTTGTTTGCCGTGTCTGATATGGGTAGGTATCTAGCCATGCTTGATTTCAGAGGACTGGACCAATATGGTGGGGATGCTTGGCTGAAATGGTGAGCACATACCGGTAGTCTCCTGGTGTTGGTGTTGCCGTCGGCGTTCAGCAAGGAACTTGTACAAGGGAATGATGGTGCCGGGAAGGGCCAAGGATAGACCGACGAGTGCGACGGTGGCTTCTGTCGATATGTGCGGCATATTCGATGAGCAATCGAGTGAATAGTTCAGCGATGTGCAGGTATTCTGCGCCCTTTATTATTGCTTGAGCATAATTGTATTGGTCCCATCTTCTCGTCATCGCAAGAAGTCTTATCAGGGGATAGATAGGTATATATCGTGCCTCTACAAGAGGCATTGTATACTCTGCCTTTGCATCACCTCGGTGGCTCTTAGCAAGGATTTGGCAAGCGTAGGCACATGGGTCGCAGACATATGGTCTTGCCTGCACGGGAGCACTGTTGAAAAAGAAAAGAGCTTCGTTGGGCAATAATGGGTTTTCTGGTTTTGGAGCGAGCAAATGGTAGACGCTGTCAGCCCTCGATAGCTGGGCTAGGCTCTTTCCGGACAGCAGATGGCGTTCCATAACGGTTTTCTGGTTTTGTAGGTGTCCAATAAGAATCATCACTCGGATTTCAAGGATCTTTGCAAGTGAGAAGCTTCAGGCTGTGGCCGGTGTGGTTGTACAAGGCCTGCATATTCTGGTTCTGAAATCATCGAATCAAACTCATCGCTGTACTGCCAAATGTCCCCACATGATGGTGATGCAAAGAGAAGCCATGGTTGGTGTATATCTGAAATACGCATGGCCTGCATATTTTGGTTTCGACATGATCCAATGAGACTCGCAGCTGGGTGTTCTTTGCCCGGGCGGAGTAGACACCTCCAGCATGGCTGCAGATACATCAGGCTGCGTTGCTTTACATAAAGGTCTTACAGCCCGCCCATCTTTTTTTTGACGTGCAAACTTTGTCGCAATCACCAATAATGATTATTTTGGTCGTCATTCGCTGGCCCGTCACATTCATTTCCGAGCCTCCCACTCTTCTATGATCACTGTGTTCACTGAACACTTAATGTGTCGTCTAACCAGAGGCGCACCATTTGATTTCTGTTCGAAATACCACAACAGGGCTGTGGCGGCGCAATGTCCAAGAAATGGGAGCCTCACAAGGAGGAAATCTTGCGCCTCTACATAGTCGAGAACCTGAGGCTCGACAAAGTGATGGACCACATGTTAGAAACGCATAAGTTCGATCAGAAGTGCGCGCATTCCATCTCTTGGCGGGTGTTATTATGCTAAAGACTGTGTAGGAAATCACAATATGAATACAGACTCAAATTATGGGGCGCCCGCAAAAATGTCAAGAAGGAAGTGCTGGAATATCTCACACACCAGGATCGCAAAAAACGGAAACTGCAAGGCCACAATTCCGGCGCTTACGTTGTCGATGGGATACTGCTTTCAGAGGCTCGTTTCAATCGAGCGCGGCAGAGACATGATCCCGGCCTATCTTTGGCCAGAAAGTATGGCAGAGGTGTGTGAACCATACAATGACAACGTCGTTTACAAGAATGTGGCTCATGTGTTTCGCAGCTCCAAGTCCACGACTTCCGCCGGGCCACATCGTTCGCAGAGCTAGTCCGGGGGCTCCTGAAGTTGTCACTGATTGGCCACAGTCTCTGCCCTGGATTCAATTCGAGAGACGCTTCAATATAGGTACATTAAGCAGCAGCATATTGATACATCAGCGCCCCAAAATACTGACATGATCCGCTAGTCGTGCCGCAGTCGTCCAGATTCATGCAAATTCTGGCTAAGGCTGTACTTGGCTGTGGTCTCATACCTGGAATAGAATTCAACGAGCCATCTGATTTGGCTCGAGCAATTTACGCAGCATCGTACGAATCGCCATCTAATGCAGCAAACCTTGCGCGAATTCTGCCTTCCATCCCAAGCGACTCGCAATCATCAATGGCGTGCATCGGCCTGTCGGAGCCTACCAACGTGGCGACAAAGATATTGAAGGCCTTTCTGTTCCAAGTCTCGAATAAGCTCTACAATCTTGAGGGTGCAGTTTATGATACCCACCATGACCGGGGAAGTCATTTGCTTTTGTTATTCCTTGAACTCAACAATGCATATCCCGTGTTTCTGGGCCAACTCATTGTTTCCACTGATCCTACTTCAGAGGCTATTCTCGAGAGCTTGTACGAGATTGCAGTAGAACATGGTGCAACAGCGTTGGTGTCGAGACTATTGGAGGCTGGCAGAGATGTCAATACGCTCATCCCGATCGCCTCTTACTTCAGGGGTTCCGTTTATCGTGGACGAGCCTATTGCAAAATTAACGAAATTGTGAAACCATCGACAGCCCTTCAGTTTGCAGCTTCAACGTGCAACTTACAATTAGCTAAGATCTTGATTGGTGCCGGCGCAGAAACAAATTTGGGAACGCCCACGCCCTTGCAATGCCTGTGCCTGTCCAAAAAAACCAATCATCCGGATGTGTTATATTTCGCTGATCTTCTCCTTCGCAATGGCGCGCGAGTGGACGCACGGGCAGAAGATTCGATCACTCCTCTTGAAGGGGCAGTCCTCTCGAGGAATATCAGCCTTGTCCGCTTGCTTTTGCAGTGTGGTGCCACTGAATCGCTACAGAAGCCGTGCGGCTATAATGCCATACGTTACAGCTTTCTAGGAATCAAGGAGTATGAACTCCTGCTCCCACACACAACCGATACTAGAGTGCCAAGTTCCCCTTTGCAACTCGCTATTCTAGTAGGAGATAGAAGCATCACAGAAATCTTCATTTCGTCAGTCATGGAACAAGGGCACAGAGTTAAATCACTTGAGCGGGCCTTCATCACTGCCTGCATTACAGGAGATCACGATCTTGCTCAAATCTTTTTGGGCCACCTCGATACTCAACTTCAAGACAATGAGGATCTGGCCAATTCAGCCTTTTTGGCCTCTTCATGGGACAGGGACTGCCGCGTTTCCCAGCTCTTGATGAAGCATGAGGCTGTCCGTAATCAGCTGCATAGTTCCCGTTTCCCAATCTTTCACGCAGCAGCATTTCATGGCAATACTCGCCTTATAATGCTGCTGAAAGATAGCGGATTTGACATCAATCGTGGTTTCAGCCTGATACACGGGATGGGAATAAGGCAGAAAGGCTGGTGTTCAATATCGTCTACTGCTTTGTGTTGGGCTACAAGGATGGGCCACAAGGATGCTATATCGATTATGTTGGATCTCGGGGCTGATGCAGCTGGCACTGATCTCGTCTCTGCAATAGAGACTAAATCAGACAGACTGATCACTCAAGTGCTGAATCGGTGCAAGAACGTTGATGAGCTATGCGATGTGCAACGTGGACTGAATACTTACTCATGCAGTCAGCAACGTGCGCTGGACGTTGCTATTCGGTATCGACACGGACTAAGACTCATTCAAAAACTTGTCAACCATGGCGCCGTCATCCGAGGCCACGAAATCATCGATGCTGTACGCAGCGACGACCAAGAGGTTGTGAATTTCCTACTTCCAGGTTGCGATGTGGTTGGAACCAACCCAAGAGGCGAAACCGTTCTAGAGGCGGCTTGTTGCACAGGGAACCTTGGCATTGTGCAATTTTATTTTTCCCATGGAGGAGTCTACGGCTCCAACGCCTTATTTCTCGCTGTCAACAGGGCAGTCGAGATGCACGACTACCGTGTTATTGAGCACGTAATATCAAACCGGCATCCTGGGCCCATTGACGAATACGAGGCCAGCGCTCTCGCCCTTTCCCTTCGAATGGGTGGTCAAACCCTCATCAATATGCTACTTGACGATGCCTTCAGAGCAAGCACTGCATTGTCAATTTATCTCATTTACAGCACTGTCGCTCGCAAAACGATTGAGTGTATCATCGGGCCCGACGACTACAATGATCCAAGCATTGGTATCGGGCAACACTTTCAAGTCGACCCGATGAGAGATCAACTCTCGCCGTTGCTGGTTGCAGCGTTCATGGAACAAGAAGAAAGTGTGAGAACCATGCTCGATCGCGGATACCTCCCCGACCCTTTCCTTGTCGAGCTGCTGTTTGATTCATCATCATCTCTGAGGGAAGACATTAGAAACAAAATCATGTCAGCTCATGTTTTGCAGATATCGCATGTTTCGGACCAAGAATGGCATCAACGCATGCTCCTACCAGCACTAAGTCATTGTGCGGATCTGGGAATTGTTAAACAGCATTTGGCAAGGCTCGAGTCCCTTGACTTTGAAGTCCGGGGTAGAAGCAAGGCCCTCAGTTTCAGTCCGTTGGATGTTGCGGCCAGGACCGGGAATGCCGACTACGTGAGAACTGTGCTGGAGGAAGGAGCGACTGCTGATTCCCGAAAATGGTTCCAGGCCGCAGAGGCAGTCTACACCGCAGTAGAATTCGGAAATTTAGACATTTTATCACTTCTCATGGAGTATGGGGCTGACATCAACCATCAACCACATGAAGTATTTTCTTGTGCTATGTTGAACGGAAATTTCAAGAATATGGTCTTTCTCCTGGACAGCGGCCTTGACATCAATGCACATATTCAAGTCTTGAGGGACGAATTCACATGCCTGGAGCTCGCAGCGGAAGACGGAATGATTGATGCCGTTGAGCTACTTCTGTTGCGGGGTGTAGTCATCCAAGGACGTGCGAGGATACATTACATCAGGTCTGTGGTCCTTGCCATGGAGAAATGTCATTATTCAACAGCAAAGCTCCTCAAAGAGCGTGGTGGCTGGAATGAAAAGGATGAGGAGATTGCAAGAACGCGGCGCGGTACAAATGATCTCGATTGGTTCATGGACGATGATTCGAGTTTCGAAGAGTGGTTTGGCTGTCCTTTGGAGACAGACACCTCATCATTGATATCCGGTTCCCCTGAGGGGAATACAAGCACAACGAGTTCTTCGCGTACTTTTGAAGCTGCGGACGAGCAGTTAGCCGCTTACGAAATGGATCCCCGCACTGATGACTTGTCCGTGTTGGACATTGACGCGGACTTGATGGATTATGAACAGACTGCTGAAGTACTCGAGTGGCCTTTTGTTTCGTACAATCAGCAGGATGTGGAACTTGACATGATTGTGGAAAAGCTACTTCTCGAGGACGGGGTGATCTTTTGATCTCATCTGAGCCGTACAGAATATTGTAGATATTGTGGCCCAAAGCTTGTCCGCATTGCTTTCGATGATTGTCATGTCAGTCTGGCGTTAAGGGTTACTAAAGGTACGATTGTTTTTACTGTTTGGCTCACATAGCAAGTGTTAACATTGCACTTCGATATACCCATCCTAGTGTTTCATTATACAACCAAACTCGCAATGTTTCTCACTTTCATCATGATTCAACCTCATCTGGTGCGCTAATGTAGATTGGATATAAACATTATATTCTTATATTTAGGGATCTCGTCGAAATCCTCTCATACTGTAATCTTTTTTCTATCGCTAATGGCAAGACATTTTCGAAAATGCACATCATCCAACATCAACCGTCCCAATCGAATCAACTCATTTCCCCCTATTTAAGCAACGTTGCAGTTGAGGACGGAAGCAGTAAAGTTGGCAGGGCCAATGTAGCGCTCATCGCTGACGGCGCCGTGGTTCTCGGTCAAGATCTCGTCGGCGGCGACGGAGTGGCAGTAGGTAATGTTGCTGCGCGAGTTGAAGGCGTACCAGATGGCAAAGTCGAGGCCGCCCTCCTCGGTCCTGGTGGCCGACCAGGTGTAGGCGACGTTGTCGGGGCACGAGCCGGCAGTGACGTTGGGGAGAACGTCGGGGCCCTGGATGAAGGCGCCGCAGTGGCTGGCGGGCAGGCTGGGGTCCGAGGTGACGGTGAAGTTGTAGCTGTGAAGAGCACAAGGTGTTAATGAGTGTTTCTAGTATTGTGATTGTTGAGAAGCAAGAGACTTACGAGCAGTAGGTGCTGTGAGGAATGCAGGAAGCAACAAAGTTGCCAATGGGGTAGTCAAGGGCCTGCTTCTTCTGGAGAGTGGCAGCAGAGGCCGAGGCGGCGAGAGCGACAACAGCGGAGAACTTCATTTTGATGGTTGAGTTTTGAAAGTTGAGAGACGAAAGAGTCGTTTATAAGAGATTGGTAGAGCGAGTGTGTTTGTTGTATTAGTTTGTATAAAGCGATGGTGATGATGAGTAAAAGAAAATCAGGCTGATGAAGAGGGCGGCGGCAATGCCTATATATACAAAACTTCTCGTGTGCTATACGGGTATTTTTTTTTTGCCAATATATTCTAGCAACGGCTGCCCAGCCCCATCGTAACGTTCGTTTACCAGTGCAACGTTCAATTGAGACTATGACCCCCAGAAGAAGGTGTAGATCTTCTCGTATCCGGCCCGCTTGCCCCTTTCAGGACCCAGTAGCCGTCTTGGCTCCAATCAACGTCATTGTTTTTGAGCCAAGGAAAAACATTCATGGTATTTTCTTTAACTCTTTCTCTTTGGGAAAAAAAAAAAAAAGACGGTCTTGCTAGTGAAGCCAATGACACAATTTGCGTGCATCTCATAGACACATGATCGATCCTCTAATTCGCGGTCATAACCGGCGTTGATGAACAACCAAAGCCAATATAGACAGACCGTTTCACCTCTCCCGCCCGTTGCGCATGAGCCGGCGGCTTCCCCGAATCAACTGGCGGCAATTGTCCGCTAAAGGCAGAGTGCCGCAGAGCCGGGCCCCTAGAATACGGTACTTTACTTTGCGCAGATATTGGACAGCGCCCTGTGCCTCATGCACACAGACAGACGACTGCCAAAAGAGATCCAATATTTGAAGGGAGCGAGCGATCAGGTACCGTTGCTTCCTCGTGATAGTGGAACCTCGAATGGATTTGGGGGTTTATAGTGGATACCGGTAAAGTAAGGTTAAGCTTGAGCTTCTACTAGGAGGCCCCGAATTAGAGCCCCGTGGCGAACCCTTCAACCCTTCGCCCCCCTGGCAACAATGGCCGCCTGCTGGACCAACCTCGGACAACCTGCAATCCCTATGCCAAGGACGGTCGAGGATGTCATTTGATCTGTGCAACAAGGCTTCTCGTAAGTGTATCGAGCGAGGGTAACATGCCAAAAGGGCCCAGCAGCGCTCAAGGCGTTACCAAGCTGTGTGGATCTCCATCGCTTGTGGGCTCAGGGGAGGGAGCGCAGACATCACCCAGGACCGATTACCGTCTTGTTGTTATTGTCATAGTAATATATTAGGAGTCTTTGATGTTGGCAGTTGGCAGGCATGGGGGCTGCTGTTATAGTGGACCGTGCTGTCCCTGGAAAACAAAGCTTGTTTGTTTGATGAAAGCCAATTGATGAGATAAAATCCCGCCCGAATAGGATGACGTCGTGGCGATCATCAGGTACCGTACTTCAACAGCAATTTCTCCGCCAGGTAACCCCAGTCGACTGACTGACTGACTGACTGATCCATCATACTGTCATTCACTGCCATTATGCAAATAACACTCACTACATGGTAGCATTTGATCGGTCGGCAAGAACGGATCTCGAAAGAAGAAGAAAATGTTACGGGTGCACCCGATTTTCGGCACCGGATATATAATTAATCCGGTGCCTAAATAGGTTACGATAAAATCTGCGTATAAGAAATAGCTTCCTTTTACTTAAGCTAATTTATAAATTATATTTAGCCATAATTACGTAATTATACGCATTTAATAAGCTTATTATATATAAATTAGCTTTATTTTTGCAATTTTATATAAATTAATAGGGTATTTATAAAGTTTTTAGTATTATTTTTTACCTTTAATAGCGCAATATCCGAAAATCTTAGTAAATACGAAATCGCTTTAAAATTTCCCTTTTTCGATAACCTTTCGCTCCTTCCCCTAATATACGATATTATAAAAGGTTCCGATCCCGAAAATACGGCTTAAGCCTTTTATAATAACGCTTTTAATTATTATAAGGCCGCTAAATAGCCTTTTTAGGATAAAAAAAT